GAAAATATGTGATTTTACAGTAGTTTACACAGGTACAAGAAGCTGTTATGTTGGCTCTTCCATTAACTGAAGCTTACACGAAGGATACTACTTATAATGTTTATGATATGAATCACATTTGTAGTCAAAGCAGAGAGTTAAAAATGTAAATATAAGCAATGAATCATTTTTTTAAGGATTTATCATATAAATCACAAATTTTCATAAGCGCTAACGCGCGTCAAGTTTACACACACCGCTGCAGAGAGTTAAAAAAATAATGATTCTTGTAAATATAAACAAATTGTGTATTTCGAGACTTTTTTAAAAAATTGTTCAAGGATTTGATGTGTCTTTACAGCACTTTTGTATTTCACTACTGATTCAGGTACTGTAACTTAGAATTATATTCACGTAGCTACAAAGAAAGTGATTAAACTGAGAAGAATGTTACGTGTTTTCATGACCAAAATAGAAATTACAAACTTTTTATAAAGCAATATCCATAAATTATTCCCAATTTTCCAATCAAGAAATGTTTTTAACAAAACGAATAAAAAGAAAATCCCAAAACAAGTGCATTTCATTTAAATATTTCAATCAACAGTGTATAAATAATTCTCGTCATCGTTGTTTTTATCAAGAAACAGACAGTTATTACTCGGCACTTGACAGCTGATTTGTGTGATTGTTAATTTATCATCTAATCACGGTTCACTTAACAATGTAAAGAAATATATGTTTAATAAAAAAACCCTATTATGCTTCCTGATAATTAGCAATCTAAATAATATTTTCTTCCTCTTTGTTGATTTAATTCCTTTGGGGTTTTTAGGATTTGGTAAGTAGAAATGCAAAAATTAGAACTACTTGAGTGTGGTGATGTGTATCATATAGTTTTAAGAGGACTGGGTGGTTGCGGAAATGATCAAATTTCCAAATGATCTGATGAGAATTAAAAGCTTAAGATATAAAATTTAAAAGATTAAGTTAATTATATCTGACCCAAAGCCTCCTTTTTTTCATGGATACATGTTATAATAAATCAAAATATGTTCAGCAGCTTTCTGCATATGTTATTATGCATTGATAATGTTAATTTTTTTGACTTGAACAAAGTAAATAGAAGTTTTGATTAGATTTGTGTGATTCAATTTTAGACTAGCTGTACTTACTTATGCAACAACAAACCTTCATCACCTGCATATGGAATTTCGTTCTCTCAGTTGATTCAATACACAAGAGCATGCGCTACGTATGAACATTTTCTAAAAAGAAGTAAATTATTGACAAACACCTTGATGAAACAAGAATATCAGCAGTCTCGTTTAAAGTCATCATTTCGGAGGTTCTATGGTCATTGCACGACAATGACCTTGTCAGCAAATACAATATATCATAGAGTATAATGCTCACTGATGTTTTTCATACCAATTGTTAGTTTATTATTTATACACTTAATTGACGACGGCTTTTTCTGTTATTTCTCGATCATGACAAGAAGAACACGGCGGGTGTAACCATTCGTAAGGAGATACTCATTCCTCAATGGTACCTGGTACCACCTCTGATGTTTTGGAGGTCCGTGTGTTTGCTCTGCTCCTATTTTGTATTGTTTTATGGACTTTTGAGCTAGAATACTGTTTGCTATCTCCATATATTTCATTGGTAATCAGGGCCAATAAGCAGTGACAGGATTTTATGGTCCGACCGCTAATCATAGCTTGAATGACATATTTCATGCACAAGCCGAATAATCAGTGACTGTCACTTTTAATAATGGGCGGTTGGCCCTACTTTGTTTGCGTTTTAAGATTTCCAATTGACCCGTTGCGGTAAGCGAGAATCAAATACAATTAATCCACGCTACTGTTACCAGTTAGATAAGTGGAACATGTTCATTTTTAAATAGTCAGCAGATTATAAATTTTTACTTACAGTTTTGCAAGATTGGTTGATTGACACTAATATGGAGACGTCACCGTATGCCGGTGAAGGGCTTTACATTTTGACCTTTACTCGGCACTAAATTTTTCAGCAGTGCATAGCCTGACGTTACCGTATGCTAGGTTTTGAAGGGCTTTAAATTTTGACCTTGCACTTCAAGTGCACTTAGTGCCATTGAGCAGTTGCTACCCATTTTTTATCGACTTAGGTCGTGCCAACGAGCCTGCGCTCTACACGGGACCTGAATTTTTAATGTTAATAACAGTGCCTACCTTTTCTTCAACATTGACAAAATTTTCCCTCTTTAAGGTTTTAAAAAATCTCAATGCATTTTAAATTTTTTCCTTCAAATGATATAATAGTTATCGAAAAATGTCTGAGTACAGCATGTCAGCTAGATGTAAAAGGTATTTATAAGGACATTCTTTGCAAATTAAACATGTCATTGGAATGTTTATTCCATTATGACAAACAGATAACTTTCAGCTGCTAAATACATGTATATCGGGGCTTGACAGGTGAAATTACTCGACAGTGGATGTTGATTCCATACCTTTTTCAATTCTGATTTTTCTGCTGCTGTTTTTGTCCTGTTCATGAATCGTATTCATTACAAGATTTGTGAATTGGATAATTGTTCATTTACCCATCTTCACATTTTAAATTCTCTCAAGTTTATGTCGAAACCAGAAATAAAACCCGGGGAGCATGTCTGTTATTTAACTTGCAAAGAAATAGATAATATTTTTGTTGACAACGTTTGATTAATTAATAATTAATAATTTCAATATAAATTGTCTTTCTGAAAAATATGTACAAAATTTTCACTCTTTAAGGTTTTAAAAAAAAGTTCATAATAGTTATCGAAAAATATCGAAGTACACATCTCAGCTACATGTAAAAAGTAATGTGTAAATACATGTTCTTTGCAAATTAAACATGAATCTATCACACCTTTTTTATCGTTTTTTATCCTGGAATGTTATGACAATAAAAACTTTTTTCAGCTTTTTCGACCTCAATTCTCCTCATCTATTTAAAAATATTCTAATTTTAACCTGCAAATGATGTTTCAATTTTTTCGGCAGCCGCTAAATACGTTTATATTTTTGAAACAAGGGGCGTGACAGGTGAAATTATCTCAACAATCGTGTTTCAAATCAGCAAATTTAATGTCGTGGTGTTATTATAAGCTACCTTTTTGCAGACATCAAAGAAATTTTCTGTTGCTGTTTTTTCAAAAAATTATCAGTTCAGAAACACGTATCAAACCTCTTGAAATAAATATTCTCTTTATCTATTTGAAAGTATTCTTTTGCATCTTAACCTGCATCAAGTTGATTTCGTTTTTATAGCCTCTCAATTTGTTAAACAGCATGATTTTGTTAATATTCATAAAATTAATCAGTACTATGAGGACAAATTTTTTAAAAAGGCTATTTCTACTGGTACAAATGGTCAAATTGACTGCATTCCATACACATGTAAGCAAACAAGTTAGGCTATAGCGATCTCAACAACCGTGTTTCAAATCAGCAAATTTAATGTCATGGTGTTATTATATGCTATTACAACCCACCAATGGGCTCACTGTAGTACATTGCCTGATACATACATATCATGCCAATAGTTAGGCTTAAAACTATATTATTACTATATTACTATACTAACTTTGCCATTCAAGACGGGATATTTAACTCACCAATCCGAAGTGTTCAAGGCGGGTATGCCAGCTCGACAGGGGATGGTCACCTAATCAACCGGATTTCCAAGAGATCCATGTTTTGTGCCCTTTTTATGTATATTTGGATAATAGATCACAAAGACTTGAATTGATGAAGAATTGGTCATTATAAAAAGTGTGATAAGATTGATTATAAAATTATTGAAATCTCAATTTTATCAACACGGATTAAAACAATTTCAATTGCACAAATGTCATAAAACACCTTCGAAAGGCTAAATATTAGTTATTTTTATCATCTCTATGATATATTTTAGTTCACTGTGCTCTGATCATGAATTCGTTAATAGACTTTGGTGTTTTTTTTTTAAATTTTCAAAATCCTTTTTCAACAGTTTGAATTGGTAGGGAGACCACGAATAAATGTCATTTTATATAAATACATTTTTTCTTCAGTCTTACTGTCAGATAATCGGTCTTTCTATTTAACAAATGTTAATGATGTGCATAAGATATTTGTAGGCAGGGAGTATCAATCAAATAGTTCATCTTCAAACAGAACTGTGACACAGAGGAACGATAAATGCACCATTAAAAACGACACATACAACGTAGTGCAATTAGGTACAATTTACAGTTTTTATTGGGCATTAATCTTTTCTTAATTATTAATGTTATTTCCATTTTTTATGGGGAAATCACTGCAATGAAATTTACAACTGAATAGGAGAACGCGAGTGCGAAACAAAGAGAAATGTAACCATTCATGATTTTGCAATTTCTTTTGCTATAGCGTCATTTAAAAAAACATAATAAGGATCTCTTTTCAGCGGACTGATGTGAAAAGACGAGAAGGGAAGCCTTCTCTTTAATGACAACATATCACATCCAATGTTTTTTGGAGATACATGTTTGCTCTTATTCCGATTTTTTAATTCACCTGTAAGCTTAATTATTGATATCTCTTTGTACTCTAATCAATTGAATACCATTAGAATAGGAATTTTTAAACTCTATTTATATTCATGTCAGTCTTCTGTAATTTTCAAAAATCATAAAATACACAATTATTAATCAGGAAAATCCTCTTTTAGGGAAACAATGTAAACTAACAACGCACTTAAAGTTTGGAAATTTTATCTGGAAAGATATTGACGCATCAATCAAATGGAAATTCGTCTCATTAAAATTCAAATATCAATAAACGTATAAGAAAAGAGAAAATAGCCGCCTATGCTAATAATTTTGGATATAAATAAAAAAAGAAAAAAAAAACAAAGATTTTCTTTCTGTGAACTTGTAAGGTAATGTGTTCAACACGTCCTTTTTCTGTCCAAGTTTTTTTTTTTTGATAGTGGTCTTTTTTCTGGAACAGTGTTGGGGTTAAATTGTCACAATCTTCATGTTATCTTGTTCTTTCTTGATTTAATTAATCAGAACAGGTCACGTGACTAATTATTTGTTACATTTTGCTTAATTCCGGGATTATATGTCATTAAGGAATCATAACTCTGTCAGGTAAGGTTTCAGTTTAATTGTTCTTAATGAAATTTTATCTTTTGATTTATGTTTTTATTGAATAAATTTTTTTCCAAACTACGAAAGAAAAGAAATTTTAAATAAAAGTATAAAATGTTCTTAATAATGTTTAAAAGAAAAAAAAAAGTCATTTAAATAAATTGATTCCTGTAATATTTAGAAAATCAAATTATCTTAGTATATAAAACTTTTGATATATATCGTAAAATAATATTTTTGCGTTATTTATCAACAGGGTATGTTTGAATTTTAAAAGTCATAATTTTTTTTTCAATATTGACAGAAAAATGTATCCAATTCATGTGGGAAACTTCTAGATATATTTATTGTTAATTCAGTAGCCTTAAAACATTAAAGCTTTGTATGTAACATGTCCAAAGTTAATTTTTTATTGTTCATTGACTAGCAAGTAATTATAATCTAAGGAAGTGACAAAAACAAAACAAAAATATTTTTTATGATCGAGTTGTTAATAAAACATTCATGTGGCACATTATAGGGAAAATTTTACTAAATAAATGTTTCTCATTGCTTAACTTTTGTGTTCAGGAATAAATTTCAGATGTGGATATATACGATCCATTTATTTAGCCAACTACAGAAAAATCGTGAAATTCAGACAAACTGTATTTAAATGTTAAATAAGTTTCTAATGCACAGATACTTATTATAGCTTAAAAATTACCCCTGAGTCAATTCACACATTTTTCTAACATTGCACAAATAGCTCTGTCGTATATAGGGGATAAATTTTTGTCAAGGTATAAAGGCTTTAAAGCATCGACAATTACAAAGTATTTGCGGTTCTAGATAAAACAAAATTCATGAAGATACATCGACGACGCATTGTAAATTAATAATGATTATTTCCCCTCTTATGTCGACATATCATGTCTCATGTCGGAATATGTCCCGGTGAGCTTAAAATTAAAGATACTACAAAGTTTGACACATCTATTTCATATAATATTTTACTTTAAAAAGACATGAATGGTAATGTGACAAAAATTCTTTATGATAAACATGATGAGTTTTACTTTTCAAACGCCATTTTCCCTTATTTATCCAACAATATAACTTTTTCAAAGGTATACGGGGTTTATATGTCTCCGTTAATTCGATTTCATCATCAGCATACGGGGTTTGTATCACTCAGTTGATTTGATACGAAAGAGCATGCTCTACGCATTTACAATATCTAAAACGAGGTAAATTATTGACGAACAAGTTGATGGAGCAAGAATATCAACAGTCATGTTTGAAGATATGACTTCGTACGTTCTATGATCGATTCAATGATTTTTCAGGAAATTCTATTTATCATTGAGTCAAATGCTGACCAACGTTTTCATACTAATTGTTAGGTTATTTTTTACATTGTACATACTGAATTGTTGACAGATTTTTTTCCCGTTATTTCCCGATCATGATAAGAAGCAAACTGTGTTGTCACCGATCGGCAAGGGATTCTTACCTGAACCCACCTTTGATGTTTAAGAGGTCTTTGTTTCCTCTGTTTTCGATTTGTATCGTTTGAATAAACTTTTGATCTTAAATGTTGATTGTTATCTCCATATATTTCATAGCGGAGATTCTGATGCATATTTTTTCAGATTAGGCAATAATCACTAGAAAACTACGTCATTTCTCCATCGTAAACGTCTCTTATTGATCAGGTAGTTATTAACGCATAGTAGCAAATACTCCATCTGAGAATTGTATTGTTCCCCGGATTTACGAGAACTTTGTGTAAAACAACTGTATAAAAGCACATTTAGCACATGAAATTGGTTCCATCTAATTTTAAAATTATATTTTCCATCTATTAACGTCCATGTTATTTACATTACAAATTGTAACTGATAAACAGATATAACAGAAAAAAAGTTATAAGTTTTTCATGTTCCGCAAGCGTAAACCAACACGAAATTTAATCTGGAAACGAAACTTTGATTGTGAATTGTTAAAAGATTTTTAACTGAAATAAATTAATGACAACATCAAACGTACATCATTATTTTGATGTCTAAATTACATTTTCAACATTTTTTCTAATGTTTCCCAATCATAAGAATACACTATAGTGGCAAATTTTGAAAAATAAGTCAACTTATATATTCTTGACAACTTCATGCATATAAAATTAGAATAGGTTGATTTTGGTCCTTTGAACTTTTTTTTCTGTGCAACAAGTCGATTAATGTCACGCAATATCTGAATACTAACAGTTTTTGGTTTTAAAACAAATAAAATGAATATTCTTGACTTGTTTAATAGATTTTAACGGGTGTTTGGATGTTGAGTAGATAAAAGGGAACTGTACATGTATCTTGTGTTGAAAAGAAACCCTCGTACATCATTATTTTGATGCTTTTTTCTACTCCTTCTTCATGCATGGCACCTAATCTCAACTCTCATGTTCTAAGATGTTCCTGATTTGAATTGTTTTAATGGTCTTTTTTGCTTAATAATTATTTGTTATCTCTATATTTAACCTTAAAATACATTACCTTGTATTCAGCTATATAGACACTTTTTCGACTCTTTCTAAAATTCTTTTAACTTTCTTTATATTTTTTCTGTGGTAATTGTTTACAAAACCATATTTAATTCAATGAAATGGTTTTATGTAGTATGGTAGGTGTTATCTTTTAAACATGTAAGAAACAAAGAAAAAGTCACTGCACGAGATACAGCGGTAATGGGAGGAAATAAATTCCAGCACTGCCTGGTTTATAAAGTTTATTTGGTGTAGAACGAGCATTTTCACTTTCTAGCATTATAATCAATTTTTATTTTTATCATATAGAACAATTCTGGAATATCAGATAACCGATCTTCGTTTATTTTCAACGGTATTTTTTCGTGTAATTAAACGAGACAGGTGACAAACCATACATTTCATGACTTGTAAGTAGATTTCTTATAGTCTAAACACTATCAGGACAATTACTTTGGAAAATGTTAAATGTGGTTTTCTTTGATAATTAATAACCAAATTAGGTACTTTTTTTATTTTCATTTAGTCAATTTTTTATTTTCATTTTTTTTTTTTGAGGAATTTTAAATGACAAAAAATTGTAAAGAGTTCGTTTAACTCTTTAAAAAAAGATAACGAATTGATTATGTCACTATGCTGACAACTGTTCATTTTTCGTATTAATTGTTGGGCCGTTGTTTGCACGGGTTTCGGTTTTTATGATCATAACAAGATGCACACGGCCGGTGTGACTGGTCGGCAGCGGATTCTCACTCCTTCATGGCACCTGATCCCACCTTTGACGTTTTTGAGGCGCTTGCTTTGGTCAAAATTTTTATTGTTTAATGGACTTAGAGCTCTTTTTTTCCCATATATTTCATCCAAATTTTCGATGTCAGCAGTTTTTCTATGGAAACCGGACATAATATAAGACAATCCAGCCAAAGTCATGTTTGCAAAGCACTTATCAATCTTTTTTTTCATACAATCACAAAAGATCTCAATATAACTAATATAAAGAACTTTTCTTTGTTCCAAAAAGTAGAATATAAGAACAAAACCAAACAGACAAGCAAGATGAAACAATAAAGTTTTTTTTCTTTTAATACACAATTATTAGACTGTTTTTCATATATATTTATCAAAGAAATTTTCTCAAAAAAAAAATTTAAAAAGTGGGGAATTTTCCCCCCATCTTATTTTGAGTTCAAGCCATACCAAAGTATTCAAAATGAAGAAAAAATCTTTACCAGAAAAGTAACTATACTACTTATGCTAGTTCCTTTCTTATTGAAATGGACACGCATTGGTTCCTGTAACCAATTTGATGTCCTTTTTCATAGGAAATTTAAATGGATGCTCAATATTCTCTGTAACTTTTCGCCTGTGTGATTTCCTATGTTACAAGTGCTGCAGATCGATGCTCTGTGTTCCCCCAAAATTTTCATCTGTTTGATTTTCCTGTGTTACAGGTGATTGAGATGGACGCGCGATGCTGCGTGTTACTTTTCATGTGTATGGTCTCCTGTGTTACTGGTCAGAGTATTGATGCTATTGTAAATGAAGCTGTGGATACTGCATTTGGTGGTGGAGCTGGAGGGTTAGGTGGGACTGGTGGGGCTGGTCTGGCCGCCTTTGGGGCTCCAGCAGGGGGCGCCCCAGCATTTGAGGCTGCGCCAACAGCAGGGCAAATTCCAGCAAGTAAGGATTTAATGAAAAAAGATTCGTCATGATTGTGATATTAACATACCTAGTGATTTATTTCAGGATATGCTTTTACTACAAAACTGTAATAAATAGTGTGGTTATTGGTGAATAAAATGATAAATCATCATCAAGTTGAAATCTTATAAATCAATATTAACACCTTTTTTTCAAAATCGCATGACCAACTTTTAGGATTTTGAAAACAAATCGTACTTCAATATCAAAAGATAGTAATAATAGTTTGTTGCAAAGTTGAAACATTCTTGATAAAATAACAATTAAATACCAGAAGTCTGTCTGAATCAATTGAGAATTATTCCATTTACATGTATCATAAATCATTATATTAGATATGTATCTTCTTTATCTGACATTGAAATATTGAAATAACGATTGATCTTTCATAAGACTAAATCTAAATCCCCTTCACTGAAGACAACACTTGTAGCAAATTTGAATGAAATTAATGCAGTGATCCTTGAGAACACATCGAAAATGTGCAAAATTTGCAAACAGATGGACGGATGACAAACAAAAAAAAATATCAGAAAAAATCACTTAGCTTTCGGTTCAAGTATACTTGCACTTGAAAGGTTTTGTCGTTTGAATAGTTTGCATTTTATTGAATCAAGACAATTTATAAAATTAAATTTATTGTTTGCAAAAATATGTCACAAATAGTAGCGATTTGTCGAAATATTTAACATTCAAGAAGTATATAAATAAACCTGATAAAATACCTGTGGTGGAAGCTATAAAAATGATACTTGACGTCCTTTTAATTATACCACAATGAATTAATTTGTGGACGTATATTTTTTAAGGTCGAACTGCTACCGGGCCGGCCCCCAGACCTGAAGGCGGTAGAGGCTCGGGGGCAGCCAGGGCACTATCCAGATTCTCCCAGAGTAACTCCCCGGCGACAAATGCTCTCCTCAGCGACCGATCAACAAGGGCGTCGTTTGCTTCCAGGAGAATCGCACAAAAGTAGGTACATGTATCAACCGGTAAAAGGTAGACAAACTTGCAAATTTTGATTCACTGGAGCAAAAAGAAGAATCCAATAACAAGGTTAAAAATGATAAGACAAATCAATCATAATCCTTAAACTGGCTCAGAAATTTACACTTGACCTAAATTTAGGTTGAATGGAGTATTCCTTTATTGTTTGACACACTCTAGTTAATGGGAAATCATCGACTTTTATTGAGCAACTAAGCTACATTTGCTTAGCCATAAAACTTGATAAAGTATAAGCATATGTACCTTTGGAACAACGATGCATTCACTAAGCTCTTTGGGGGACCTCTCTGAGTCTGTTCGTCCGTCTTACTGTCCCACTGGCTATCTGTCAGTCTGCACCACTTGTTTTTCCACACTGTTTTTAAACACTTCCTTACTGAGCTGATTTTCGTATGTGAATGTATCTTGACGTTTGCATTTCGTTCCGTTTTCAAAGAATTCAAAGAGTTTAAAGAATTTAACAGAATTAGTATATTTATATGTGATTTATTAACTTAAATCAAATTTTCAACCTACTCAACTCAGGTCATCATCCATACTTAAAGAGAGAAAGAAAGAAATATTTAGGGGTCAACAATTTAATACAGTTTTAATTCCACCCAATTGAAAATGTTTTAACATGACCCATTCATATGCATTTTATTTGTTTTTATTTCTTTAATTCTTAAATTTCGTACAAAATAAACCTACTCTTTTTCACATAAAAAATTGTACTTTCGATCACAAGGTTTAGCCATCCAGTGATAAGAAAACCCACTAACCAGATGGACACAGTCCTCATTGTGGGCTGCATCATTTGGTTCGCCGGAACCCCAACAAGTAAATCCTGGGGTCCTCTGGGTAGTCTCCCACACCCAGTGCCCTTTCACTAGAGCAGCAGTCAGACCAATCCAATAATTACCTTCAATATATATTTGACAACAAATTAACATACCTAAGTAAATGTTGAACCTGAATTGAAAAGTCGGTTAGCAGCCAGATCTAGAGATTGATCACATTTCCGAACAAAATTATTCGTAGAACTTATGCAGCAATATACCATCATCACATGCACACGGTGTTTATGTGTCTCAGTTGATTCGATGCACAAGTACATGCTCTATGTACATGTATGAACAATTTCTAAAACGAGGTAAATTGTTGACGAACAAGTTGATGAAACAAGAAAATCAGCAGTCTCGTTTAAAGTCATCATTTCGTAAGTTCTATGGCCGATACAATGACCTTGTCAGCAAATACAATTTATCATTGAGCCGAATGTCGACTGACGTTTTCATACTAATTGTTACTCCATTATTTATACACTGAACTGACGACGGATTTTCCCGTCATTTCCCGATCATGACAAGGAGCACACGGCGGGTATGACCGGTCGGCAGGGGATGCTCACTCCTTCATGGCACCTGATCCCACAACTGATGATTTGGAGGTCTGTGTTTGCTTGCTCTGCTCCTATAATGTTTTGTTTTATGGACTTTTGATCTTGAATACTGTTCCTTTCTCCATACGTTTCGACGATTTATTTTAAAAGCACAATTTTCAAAGTACATTATCATATTCATCGTCTTGGCAGAGATCATTAATAAACATTTTCAGCTTAGTGTAGTAACTATGCATACTTATGGATTTCTTGGTTTGGGAGAAAAAGGAAAAAAATAGGGTTTCTGTGATTAGGAGCCCTTTAATGGTAATTTTCAACTGTGAAAAATAAAATGAAATACTGTATATTGTGTTACTAATTGAACGACCCTCGTAGTTTGCAAATATTGACATGCATACATTGAAAAATAAAATACATGTTGAAGCACAAAATTTTTGTATGCAATTTGTTGGCTCTAATTATGTTTTATGTAGACACATCGATCAACAAAAAATACCATGCTTAAGCTCTCTTACGTAAAGAAAGCAGAATTGTATACATTGTTTTACAAGGATTTAGGAGAGGAAGAATAAATGTAAAGACTGCATGCAGAAATAGCACAATTCTGTTGGAGCATCATTCTCTATCCTAGAATAGTCGCTTGTGTGACCTCGAACCAACGTCTCTGTCAACATTTGTTGTAAAAGATTCTTTGAAAAATTGTAAGTGGTGAAAATTGTACTCTTTATAGATTTTTTAATTATATTTTTCTCAGAAAACACAATATATCTCAATCAATTAGAACTTAAAGTGATCCATATATATACCCCGAAAAATGGATCTCTCAAATTAAACTTTAACATAAATAGTCTAAATGAAAACTATGGAGATAACGAACAGTATTTAAGATCAAAAGTCCATAAAACAATGCAAAAAAAGGAGCAGAGCGAACACGGACCTTCAGAACATCAGAGGTGAGATCAGGTGCCATGGAGGAGTGAAGTATTTGATAATAGAATTAAGGATTATACTCTTAATGAAAAATTCCAGACATTATTACGATTTAAATATCAGATTGTCTACATTTTATAAACTATACAAGAATCTTGTAACACGAGTGTAGACAGAGGTAATCGGAGGGAAGCGGCAGACAACCCTAAATAAAGAATGGTTCGGCAGCAGAGTATTTAAAGTATCTTGAACGCAAACATCTTCACAACATCAGGGGTTTGAGTCAACACGTTGTCATTAGACTAATGGCAACGTGTTGACTCAGGACCTTTTTCTTTGCGAGGATGGAACACAAATAGACAAATTCTTTTTACAGATTTAATGTATTGAAAAAAAAATCTATAATTTAGGATAGTTCGAGACTCAACAAAGTTATAATTTTACACATTGTTATACGAAATAAGATATTTTAAAATAATATATATACATTAAGAAACCACTAAATATCAAACAAGTAGTTGCACTTTCATAATTATTCTGCCAAAATCAATACTGATAGACCGCGGTCGATGACGAAAGAAAAACGTTTCTTTCTTAATTTTATAGATATACATGCTGATAGGTATAATAAGAATGGAATTAAGAAAAGTAATCTATGAAGCCCGACACTATTACACAAACGTAATTTTTAGCAAAGAAGACTATGTCCATTTTTACCATTTACAAACGAAATCAGATGACGTACAAAGATTAAAAAAAAAAGCTCATACTTGTTACCGTCAAATAAATTGTCAGGAATTTTATATCCATTGGATTGTTCATTTTCCAGAAACGCCATAAGTTTGTATTGATAAGGGAAAAAAAACGCAGCTTGATTAAATTCAAGGATACCTTTATCTTATGAAGAACTAGTGTATAAGATATTTTTCTCATGCAGTGCTACATTGTAAGATCTGTTGTAAAATGTGCTTTATAAATATATGAAAATTATTTCATGAAATGAATATCGACAACGGCTTTCTAATAGATTATTGTTCAGATAATTGTATTTCACTTCCGTTCTTAATGACGTCTACTGTAAGGCGGCGGTTCGAGAATTCGATCGGCATCGAACATGAATAGCCCATATGACCGCTTATTATAATGTCCAAAAAACTGTTTCTCACCTCCAATCTCAATGACCGTTTAGTGTAGGACGGCGCTTCGAGAATTTCATTCCAGTTTTTGTCTGTGGTACTGTATTTTGCAAATCTTTGTAATATGACTGTGAAATGTTTCTTTTACATGATCAATACTTATATAGCTCAAAGCTGGATGTAGGACGATTTTACTTTTCCTATTCCTAGACAACTAATCCCACCTCTGAAGTTTCCAGGAGTCATTGTTTTAGTGCCCTGTTCACAAATTTGTTTGAAGTATTTATGAGATCAATCATTGTTCTTAATCTTTACCATTTTTATAATATAAATTGAGTTATATAGGTTCAAACAAAATAACAAAATAACTGTTCATTCTTATATTGTTTCCTCCTTATATAATAGTTTAGCTGGAGGTACGACAGCAGCTTTTCAGGGAGGCATGGGAGGAACGGGTGACATGGGAGTGGCCTTACAGAGGGCTGCCCAAGATGAAGAAATCGCAGCAAGCTTTCAGCGAGCGTTTGAGCGTTACTGCTATGAGAGACCCCTTTGTGATGTGAGTGATCCTTACCGGAGAACAGACGGACAATGTAATAATTTGTTCGAACCTTTGCTAGGATCAGCCCTTACGCCTCAACAGCGTGTTCTACCTGCAGCGTATGACGACTGTGAGTATAGTATTAGGTTATAAAATACTGGTAAATTATTTTGAGAATATTTTCATTAATTCTCTAAATATTGAAAAAAAAATGAAGTCTATATTATAAAACATCTTTTCTCAGTCATTGACACTCCTAGAACCCGCTCTGTCACCGGCGGAATCCTGCCTAGTGCGAGAACAGTCAGTAACAACGTCTTCCAGTACCTGGGAGGGGGCATGACCCCAGTCAGTGCCGTGTTCTCCACCTACCTCACTCATCACGGACAGTTCATTGATCATGACGTCATCGCCACTCCCTCTGAACAACGTAAGAGTAAGAAGAATTATTCTAAAAATATCAAATATTATCAATAAAAAAAGAATAAGTTTAATTATTTGTATTTACAGTTGGAACTCCAGAAAACCCCAGGGCTATTTTAGACTGTTGTTTTCCGGTGAAGTAAGTTTACATACGTATACCTTAACTCATAGGATCTGCATTGTTTTGAAATTTTTTTTCTGGAAACATATAACGCATGCTTGTTTCATCCTTTTTTTTATTCATGTACCTTGTAATTAATTTTATTAGTAATGATATTGACTATCTCTTCTTAACATTATAATGGGTAATATTCTGCACATTGGTTTTTGTCGTGTATTGATAATATGTTGTCAGAGAGAAAGAAAGTAAGAAAGAATAGAGACATTTTCCAAAAAATTTGCCACTATCTATATCTTTTGCTAAATATTTGCCATGCAACAAAATAATATTTATTTATTGCTGTGAAAGTTTGAAAACAGGTAACCCTACAAGGGCGTTTTAAAATAGGGAATTGTATGCATTACATGGAGAAATTGGTTAAACACTACTGAAACACAATGCATTGGTTCACTATACAGTGGCAAAATTATTGTTCTATTTTGTGGATAGTGAGAAGCCAGATGCCTGTTTTAACATATTTGTACCTCAACCAGATCCATTTTTCCCGCCTAACCGATACTGTATGAACTTTGTTCGTCACGCAGGTGCTCCTCCGTTGAGATGTGAAAACGGTATGTAACTTTTCTTTGGTTTTCTGAACTAATGGTAACGATATCTGCTGCTGTCGATCGCCAGTCAAATTGTCATTTCGTGCACATATATTTTTTTTAATACATTCTTGGATTAAATAGATTGAAATAATTGAAAACAGACGGGTTAAATTTGTCAAATGAATCTTTCTTTTAATAGTTTTATAAATAAAATGAAAAAATTACGCAAGATTCCATTGTCCTTTTGATTTTTTTATAATCATTTTAAATTACAATACACATGCATATATTTAGGTGTCCGCCAACAAATCAATCAGAGAACAGCATTCGTCGATGGTTCTATGATCTATGGATCTGACCTCATTCTTGAGGGAAACTTGAGATTAGGAGGTAAATATTGATTAGCTTTCAACCATCTCTAAAAAGTAGTGGCGTTTCAAATATGTAGAAAAATTCTCAAAGAGATGTCAAACAAACACAAAAACCTCTATATATTTCACTTGTCTAACCGAAACAAAGGATGCCCTGCGGAGTGCAAGTGATCGGCAGTGGATGCTTAATACTTCTTATCATTGGACTTAACTTCTTGTGTTTTCAGATGTCAGTAATACTCTCTGTTTATAATTTGTATTTTATTAAAGAATTTATTAGATTAGCAACGTTTGTTATCTTCATTTGTTTTTGTGTTTAAATGTCAAACTGAATACTGAAGCTCATATTTATTTTAAGCTTTTGGAAGACTCGCAGAAAATTTCCAGAATCTTCTGCCGCCTCACCCAGAAGGATGCCCTGCCGAAATCATGACTAGGTTTCACTGTTTCATAGCAGGTATTCTTATTGCAGCATTTTTAAAAAAATGAAGCATGCTTATTTTTAAACATTTTCTTCTCTGGAATTTTTAGTTTTATTTTAACTTTAGCATTAACTTTGAATATTTATTAAGTTTTGTTGACATTTGGCATCTCCAAATTTGCGAAAAATTCTCGAGTGGGACGTTAAATAACATATAACAAATAAAAAAACTTTCTGACAAATGAGTCACTGTTTGTAAAAGCTATTAGAACCATGTTTATTCAAATTTTTAGCAATTATAATTTACATCTTTAAAATACAAATACGAGGGTTGTCTGGTAAAATCATTGACAAAGCGTTTTTCTCCGAGTCGGAAAAAAATTGGGCGCACTTCGAAGAAATTTTTAGCAAATACTTATTATATTTTAGTGCATATTAAATGTTTTGATAAAATATAAACATGAATAAAGATTTTTTTATACTTAAATGTGTACAGTTCCAGTTACCAATAAAGTCACATGAGGTTCCTGAACAAATATATTTTTGATAATCGGAGAGCTACAGTACCCATTGAAATAACTGTATATTTATTGCGCACAAAAAAAGTGCTTGCACGCAAGGATTTATTTCTCCATGTTTTTAAAACTGTAATCTCAAAACTATTACTAACCGTGTGTTCCTAAATGACATATAAATGAAAAATATACAAACATATGCATAATTGTTGTTTCCATATTAACAATATATAATTGTAATCATCGAACATTTCGCTTATTTATACTGCCATTTTGGGTTCAAAGATAATTCGGTCCAATATGCTTCGTTCAGACGTCAACTACTAGAGTAATTGATTGGGATAAAGGAATCTTTTGAAATATTTCTTTTTTTGCAATTGAGGTAAGAATTTGGAAAAATTAATCAAGAACTGAGCGCACTTTTTTGTGCGCAATAAATATACAGTTTTTTCAATGGGTGGCACTGTAGCTCTCCGGTCTATCAATATATTTTTTCGGAGAGCTACAGATCTGCAGCTAGTAAAGGGTACGGTCTAACGGCGCACGATAAACAAACCAGGGTTTCATAAGAGATTAATACACAATTTTGATTTCGAAATTAAAGTTAGATAGATAAGATTGAAGTAATACGAGGGTTGATCCAAAAGTTCGTGGAATTTCTTTCTAAAATTTTATCTTGGTGTGATAAAAGCAAACAATAGGCATATTTATAAAATGGTGCTACTTTGCAATAATACTGGAAAATTTCACCTCGTTCCAGTTACCAATAAAGTCACATGAGGTTCCTGAACATGGATAGTTTTGAAATCAGGGGAGACTTCGACGTAACGTTGAGTTAGATATGTCATGTCATGTTTTAGGAGCATCTTGCACGCAAGGATTTTTTCATGAAGCGCTAGTGTGCTTTGTGAAATGTGCCTACGTGACAGTTCAACCAAAACTTTAAAACATTCCTTAAATGACAATATAAATGAAAAATATACAAACATATGCATATGCATATTTCCATATTAACAATATATAATTGACTAAAGCCACACTGTTTATTTTCTGAATGAAAATAACTATATGTTGATTAATGTATCAAGACACAGTACAGAAAAGCATCATATCAAGTACTGAAGCTAAATTATGAGAAATTAAAATAAATTGGTATTTTACATGTACCAATAACTCGTTCAAATTTAGCTCTTAAGAAAAGTTTCTTAACAAAAATCTATTCTTTTTATTTGTTATAGGATATATTACAAAAATTGAACAATTTGCTAAAAAGGATCGAAATATATAAACACATTTAATGGACAATTAACAGAGCACGTCAGTCAACTCATTAGGAACTTTTTAACAGCCTTTAATTAACTTCAGATATGATTTTAAAGAGTTGTTTTCATAAATTTATACGAGGTATCAATCTTTTACTCTAAAAGTCCATTGTTTAATCATTCTTTAATTTATTCTTACATTTGATAGATAGCACAGCGATGCATCTTCGGTAAGATGGTGCAATATGTCATCAAACCCCTTGTGTGGTTATGCACTCCTGTAATAATGTTAATCATTCGATATGAATTCAAAAAATAATACAGAGTCTGTCATATCTGCTTCAAATTTGGAAATTTAGTGACAATAGACGATTTGGCCCAAATTAATAGCTAGATTATGTGACAAAAAATGGCCTTCAACTCTCCTTTTTATGCAGTTATATACATATATCGTACTAACAACTGCATATGTTGTTTACATTCCCCAACTTATTCGATACAAAATAACTTAAGAACTCAAGGCCATTTACTAAAAGTCAATACATCCATTTGACAGTCATTACCTTAACCTACATCTTATTCTCCAGACTTACCCATTTTTGATTTCTTGGCAGGAGACCACAGACCAAGCGAGACACCAACTCTTACTATTCCACACATCACGTGGTTAAGACGTCATAATCTCATTGCTGATGCATTAAGACAGGCTACTGGCATCCAAGATGACGAAATTCTTTTTCAGGAAGCAAAAAGAATAGTGATAGCAGAGCTTCAACATGTGACATACAACGAATTTTTACCCGCCGTTCTTGATAATTTCCACATGACTTCTTTTAATTTAAGATCAAGCCCATTCGGACATGCTAATGTTTACAGTCCTCAAATTGATCCAAGAACGATCAATGCTTTTGGTGTAGCTGCCTATCGAATGGGTCACAGTTTGGTAAGAAACACAGTAGGTCACGACAGGGGAGTAGGGGGTGTTCAGTCATTTCCTGTAAGTCAACATTTTGAGCGTCCTGATCTCATGTTTAATAACGGATATGAATATATGGCTCGTTGGATGTCCCGTGAACCTAAATCTAGGGGTGATAGATTCCTGGTTGACGGAATCAGAAATAGATTGTTTGAATTCCCACCGGTTGATGGAATGCATCCATCAGAAACCCTGTCCTTTGATCTGGGAGCGTTGAATGTCCAGAGAGGCCGAGATCACGGCATACCTTCTTACAACGCTTACAGACAATTCTGTGGACTTCAAAGAGCGGTCTTCTTTGCTAATGTCCCAGGAGGACTTGTTGACCACTCCCCTCAGGCAGCAGCTGCTCTGCAGCAAACTTACAGGTATACTTAATTGGTCTTTTAAGTTCAATAACTGTTCGATATGTCTTCTTCTCTTTCTTTTATAGTATTGAATTTATTTTTTTTACATCACAACATATTTGATTTGCTTCTCCTTGGGACTTGTTACCCACTCCCCTAACCAAGATTTAGAGGTCATTGTTTACTCTGCTCAGTTTTGGTATTGTTAGCTAGTTTAATGGTCATTATCTTCTTATAAACTGTTTGTTATCTACTATATTTCATTATTATATAAGCTCAGACAACCGTGCTTCAAGAGATACAGATTTATATCGAAAAGAATATTTTAGAAAATAATGTCCTTTAGAAGTTACAACGTCAAATAACTAGCAGTTAGGAAGAGGCACATGTATCTCACCGCTGATGAGTGAAGGGCAAGCAAAATTTTACATAAGAATACATAGGAACGATTTAGATAAGAACCTTCTATGAAGACTCACAAATACACACCACTCTCATGGCTTTAATTTTATTTTATACTATCCGAAGATGCTTCTTTATAAACTCGATCAAATTTAAGATTTCCTTATGTTTTTTCCTGTAAAATCGTGATTAGCACTTGAGGTAATAATTTGAACAAATTAAACCTACACTCTGTAAGGGAAACCTTTAAATATTATTATGTTCATCTTTATTTGCTCAGTTGTTCGTTTTGAAGATTTTTAAATGACCTTCATCCATTTATTTTTTTTTTTTTTATAGATTTTTTAGCATTACTTAAGTATCCTCACCCTAGGAATAAGGTGTAACCATTAATTTGAACAAGTCTGAAACACTTCACCTAAAATATCCCTTTTCGAAAATATGCTTTGTGCAAAGTTTGCCCGATAGGTTTTGAATAGCAGAAAAAATTAAAGGTTTCCGACAATGTCGGAAATTACGGATATATTTTGATTGCAAAGTTCTCTTGATGCTGCGACTCACATGTGCTAAAATCTTACCTGTTATGAGGAGTGAATTTTCAATATATTTTCTTTGATTTTGTTTTCTTTTTTACAATTATCAAGACATGAGGTATATTGATAGGTATTTCTTTTTTCTCGATAAGAATATATTAAGAATTTTTACAACTAATGCTATTTGCATCACAATTATTGCCATCATTGAATTGATTTTTTTTCTTTCGCCAGTCACCCTGACGATCTTGACCTCTTTGCCGGTGGTATGTCTGAAACTCCTCGACAAGGAAGCATTCTAGGACCTACGTTCCAATGTCTTATAGCATTCCAATTTAGTCTTTACAAACACGGTGACCGATTTTGGTATGAACGCACCTTCCAAGAAAATCCACTGGCCGCTTTTACACCAGGTAAATTTGTATTGAAGACACAAATTTCAACTGTTTACGATCAGGAATTCAATACAGTTATCAAGCTTCTCCGTGGTTTGAAAAAAAATAAAACAACACAAATTAAGGTTATAATATATAGTTTTCTCAATTGAAAGAGAAGAGGTTAAACTACGGTTTAAACAGTATTGTATATTGTACATTCAAGTTTGTTCAAAACATGTTTCTGGGAGAGGGGGGTAAGATGGGACTTCAATAGGCGATCAAAATCAAAGTTCAGCAAATAATGAATTGTCATATTGATACTGAAGGATCCCCAGGAAGTGTGTATTCGGATTTATTTAAATCATGGTGGTTGGGACTTCTAAAAAGCAAAAAAAAAAGATACATACAAAAATATATTGGACAATATCTCTTTAATCTTCTTTTCATGAAAGTCAAAGACTTGTTTGGTTAGGCATATTAATATAAGATCCTTTTCTAGTAAGTACATTCGATTTTTTAATGCTGACTCATGGGGGTAGAGGAAAGATACAATTGGTGATGAAATTTTACATAGGAATGCTTGAGAAAAATAAGTCTATCGATGAAAAAAGTTGGATGTAGTATCCAAATGGAACTCGTGTTTTTATTCGACTGTTTTCATGCATTTAGGTATCTGATCTTCTTCTTTCAGCTGAACTAGCACAAATTAAGCAAACAAGATACTCAAAGATTCTGTGTTCAGTTGTGAAGAACATTCCTGGCACTGTCCATTCCTTTCAACCAAATCTGATGTTACGTCCTAACATCCAAGGGTAATCTCTGTCTCTCATGTTAATGTTGCTTTGTGCATAAAGCAGTAAAATAATTTTTTTTTTTGAATTTCCTTCGTCCACCTGTTCGTCAATAAACATTTTAAAATTGATAATTCTCTTGCAATTTTAGTCCATTGTTTGGAAAAGCTTAAGCACAAGTAGAATGCTTCATAATGCTTATCCTTTTAAACGTTTTATAAGACTTCAACATCAAATACAGTCTGTATAGTGAATGAAAACTTTAAAAAAAATCAAATGCAGGTGCAGTTTACATTCCTCTATTTCAACTACAAACCACATATCCTATTTTCTAATCAAAGTGTCCCTGTATGTGTATTTTAAGTCTGATAGAAGAGGTGTTTTGTCCATCGCCTTAATTATACCAAATTGAAAGGCTTTACAGCAACGTTATATCCATTGAAGGTAATTCTCATATATTTCTTTTAATAGGAATTCTCCACTCCCATGCAATGTCATTTTACAAGGAAACCCGCTAGGGTTTGACATCACACCATTTGCACGACAGCTTTTACGATTAGGCGGCCGAAGACGTCGACGTCAAACATTGCGGGGACCCAGTCCATTTAATCCGGGCATGCGCGGTATTCTTCAGACTGCTACTTTGCAAAATGATGCAGCAATTTTATCTTCGATTAACACCAGAGGTTCTATCCCAAGCGGAAGAAGAGAAATACAGAGAACCAAAGTATATTAAAAATAAAAAAAAAAATAGCGTCACTATCCTTTCTGTTCTTACAAAAAATTGTTGGGGTTTAGGATTTGGATGTGTTTTAATGTGTTTGAATTGAGAATCTTTATACTTACCATAGCCCTGAAGTATTCCATCTTTTAACAGTAAGAGAAAAAATGATTGAATCTAACGAGATTTTACTATTTTGTTAGTTTTATAATCGATTTGAAAAGAATTAACTTCTGTCGACAAATGAAATCTTTGAAATGATATATATTGAAAGAATAAACTTAAACAATTTACTTACGGAAAAACTAGCCATAATATTTTATTACTTCTTTTGTGTTGCACAGTGTTTTGTATTAATAAACTGTTTTGTTTGCACCGATGACTTGTGGTATATATCTTTGAATGAAAAAATAAAATTACGTAATAATCGTCTTTTATTTACCGGTATTTTATTGTACACCAATCAGATATAACAAAATAATTTCTTTGAACCGAATAACACATGAATGTACATTAAAGATGAAAGGGAGTATGTAAATGAAATGAAATCATTAAATCATACGGGAAAGTTTACTTCAGAACTTATGTCAAAAATTCCATTGTAAACATTGTTCAAAACATATACAATTTTCAGTCACTTGATGTAATATCATTTTTTTTCTCTACGGATTTATAAATGTCAAATTTTGATTTTAAAAAGCACAAACAAAGCTATATTTATTGAAAGGTGGAAGGATCGAATAGCTTGTGAAAAAAGGACAATTTATGTACGTTCATTGCTACGTATAATAAGGTAAAAACAACATTAATTTCAATACTGATTCATACAGATGGCTCGTTTCCCACATCCATTAATCAGTGATCATAGGTTTTTATCCATTCAGCCAACATTTGTCAGTTAAGTGGTATACAGTTTAAGGAAATGATTCCGATATTGCCCTGATTTATCTATTCAGCAGCAAATCAGAAAAGGAAAACATATTTGATATAAGATAATATAATCTCTTAGAAAAACCCATTGTTCTTCTGTTTTGAAATGCCTAAGATTATTATGTTCCCCAAACGAAGTTGGGGAACATATTGTTTTTACTCTGTTTCTTATTATTATTATTATTATTATTATTATTATTCTTTTTTCTTCTTATTTCTTCTCCGGTACTTTTTTGTCCGGAAGTGTTCTCAGAAACTGTTCACCAAACTAAGTTAAAACCTTTTTAGGGTTAGTAGGCATGTTGTGTAGATGTGCTGAACGAAGGTCATTTTGCGCGCATTCGCATGCACGTGCGGGCGCGTGCAATGAGTAAAATGACTGATATATTTAATATGGTTGTAACTTTTATATTTTTTGATAAAATGTTTTGAAACTCATTATATAATGATATATAAGATGTGTAGACAAGATGACATGGTCATATTTGCATAAACTCACGCGCATGCACGTGCGCTTTGCTCTGATTGGCTGAAACAGAAATCTTAATATCTTTTTTGTTTTATGATGAAATGCTTTGAAATTTCTAACATAGACATGCATTAGGATGTACTACAATACGATATACAAAATTTTTCATGAAATCACGCGCATGCACGTGCACTGCAATCTGATTGGCTGAAACTTTAAATGACTATAACTCCCTTGGTTTTCAACCAAACAGCATGAGATTTAGAACATAGATAGACATAAAGAACTCCTACAAGATGGTATGGTCACCATTCACATGCATGCACGTGCGTGCACGTGTGCTTTGCTCTGATTGGCTGAAACAAAAATCTAATATCTTTTCTGTTTTTTTACCAAATTTTGAAATTTAAAACATAGGCATACTTTAAGATGTCCTACAATAAGATATGTAATAATTGTCATGAAAACACGCGCATGCACGTGCGCTGCAATCTGATTGGCTTAAACTTTAAATGGCTATAACTCCCTTGTTTTTCAACCAAACAGGATGGGATTAAGAACATAGACAGACATAATGGACACCTAAAAGAAGGTATGGTCATCATGCACGTGCGTGCACGTGCAATGAGTAAAAAGTGTAGACAAGATGATATCGTCATTACGCTCATGCAATCACATGCGCACGCCTGCATTGCTTAAATTTGAAATAATTGGTATACTTTTGGGAAAACTTTGTTTACGTCTTAAAAGCATAGATTTTGCCTTCTTTTATGAAACTTACAGGGAATATGGCACGAGAAGGGAGTTGGGGAGCGTTTGGGGAAATCTGTATCCAGAGGCAATGGTTTCACTTTTGCCAAAAGAACGTAGCGCAAGATAGTAAGGACAACAGCTAAATAAAATTAATACATCTCTATATTCTATAACGTATTGTCAATTTTCAATGTCTCTTACTATTCTTATGCTGATACCATATATCCCGGTAAGTCTCATACATATGTTTCATGTTTGGATATTTATTAGAAAATGACGTTAATATGGTAATCTTACAATCAAACTTTGTATTGACTTAACTTTCCAATCATCAATTTTCCTTATTCATTCAGCATTATACCTTCATCACCTGCATACGGTGTTTACGTCTCTCAGTTGATTCAAAACGTTACAGCTTGCTCTAAGTAAGAACAATTCCTAAAACGAGTTCAGTTGTTAACAAACAAATTGATGAAACAACGAGGCCCATGGGCCACATCGCTCACCTGAGTAGCTTTGACCTTGCTGTTTTTTACCAGATATCCCCCTTCTAATAACCCATTGTGATTCCAAATTATGGACCCGTCCTACCCCAGGGGGTCATGATTTGAACAATTTAGAATCTACACTATCCCAGGATGCTTCCACATAAGTTTCAGAATTTCTGGCCCAGTGGTTCTTGGGAAGATTTATTCAAGACCCCACACTATTTTTGTCTTTTCTTGATTATCTCCCCATTTGGAGGAAACTTGGCCCTTTTTCGGACAATTCGAACTCCCCTTTACCCAAGGATGCTTTGTACCAAGTTTGGTTAAAATTGGCCCAGTGGTTCTTGAGAAGAAGTCAAAAATGTGAAAAGTTTACAGATGGACGGACAGCTAGACAGACGGACGGGCGTACGGACGACGGATAAAATGTGATCAGAAAAGCTCACTCGAGCCGTCGGCTCAGGTGAGCTATAAATAAATTAGCAGTCTCGTTTAAATCATCATTTCGTAAGTTCTATTGTCGATACAATGCCCTTGTCAGCATATACAATCTATCATTGAGTCAAATGGTGATCGACATTTTTTTCATACTAATTGTTTTTTAGTTGATATAATGACCTTGTCAGCAAATACAATATATCAAATGCTGACTGACGTTTTTTTTTTCATATATATTGTTAGACCATTATTTATCCAGGGAATTGTGAACAGATTTTCCATTATTTCCGGGTCATGACAAAAAGCACACGGTGGACGTGACTTCCCATTTCTCATGTCACCTGATCCCACCTCTGATGTTTTAGGTCCGTTTGTTTAGCTCTAAAAATTTTATTGACTTTTATGCTTGAATTAACTGCCGATTAAAACGTCTTACTTCTGAATTATTGAAAATCTTCATTAGTAAGAGATGGGGTATCAATATAAGTTTGAAGTATTAGAAGGTTAGGGTAAAATAACATACAAATAAGCATTTATAAATATGATTATAAAATAAAATATATATTGAAACGAAACAATTTACTTTCTTTCGTTCCTCTTTTGTCCTATATTCTTTTCATAATCAATGAAATTTATTTAAACTCTATGAAAACTCTGTCTCTTGTTTTTTGTAATAGACCAACAATGAGCCCTAAAGTCTTCAAAGGTTTTTAGTCTCGTGTTTTGTTCCTACAAATATAGGTCAATGTTCTTGTCCTTAAAAGGATTGCTAGGAAAAGAAATAAAATGAAATTATTGCAATATTAAAAATGGCTTCTGAGTGACGAGGAAAAAAGGTTAATCTAGTGTCTAAAGGTTGGATTTAGCACATAATTAGTTTTACATGAGTTCTAATAAAGAAGGAAGGAGACCAAACCAGTTCTGATATGCGAAATTTACATCCACCATTTGAATTAATGATGTGCACCATTCGAAATGAGCGACAAACCATGAAGGATACAACCACCACACTGCCTTTAGTTTTATAGATTAATTTTTATTATATTAATTTTTCAAAAGCCGGACTGATTTTGGGATATTTTGTTTATCAAAAAAAAAAAAAAAAAAAAAAAAAAAAATCAACAATTGTGTAAAAAGTTATGTTACTAATTATAAATAATGCATGTTTTATTAATAAATGAGTTCTAAGAATTAAGTGGTTAAAAATTTTATGCTAATGTACGTATCGAAGGTCAACTTATTTTAAAAAAAAACTTTGAAAAAAAAATCATGTACAATCGATGATGCAGTCATGGTCTTAAATCAAAAAGAAATTATATCGAAATGAAAAGTGTTGATGAAGTAAATTGTAAGAAATAGTTTTTAACTTACTAATGCCTCTTTGAAAACAGGATGTGAAAGAAAGGAATAACCTTCTGGTGGTCGGAAATATTCAAACGTGGGTTGAATCTTAATATTTTAAAATTTAAAAAGGGCGGAGCAACAAGTTGTTTAACATTCATTTTAAAATTGATTCTGTTGGTTTTAGTTCTATACACTCCACCTTTGTGAATCTAAAAATACAAAAAGCCTTTATTTTATTGGTCATAAATCTACATTTACAAAAAATGCCTTATGCATACAGACAATGTCTTCTTCAAAATGATTTGCAATTAAAATACCTTGCGATTGGTCAATAAACAAAATTCGCATTCGATTAAAATGTTAAAACTGAATTCTCAGAACTATTGAGACACAGATGACAGGATGAAGGAAGTGTATGTAGTATTTATTTGTACAGCCTTGGTTTACCATTGTGATGCTCAGGGAACCGTTGATTCTATTGTGAACGATGCTGTTCAGGCAGCTTTCGGTGGAGGCGGAGGGGGAGGAGCACCCACATCAGCCTTTGGGGGACTTGGAGGGGTCACCTTCGCTCCCGGGGGTGTAGGACAAATTCCAGCAAGTTAGTTTATTTTTTTTTGTGTATTATGAAAAGTGGTTCTCAGAGGCGTAGACGATTAAACATTGTTTAGTCGATTTTTGTAGCTTATCATTAATGTATTTATATTTAAATCAAAATATTTGTAACATCTAGAGCTAATTGTTGAAATGTTTCCGGATTGTCAGCTGTCTCCACGCTATACTTATTTGAATTTTTTGTAATGTTTTCTTCCTTAATTAATTTCATGTAAAAAAAAATCTTAAAACATAATGTCTTTAGATAATTTTCTATTTGACAATCTATATTTACAATTAATGTATTTTTCTACTAAATCAAATCTGAAATAGGTTTGACATGTTGCGCTAGGAATACACTCACGACAAAAAAAATGCGTCACAATAAGACTACCGACACAGAAAGAGAGAAATACGGATAAAGAGGAGCTTAAAATCCATACCTTTGGTTTATTTTCATTAGTTTAGAATAAGTTAAAGGATAAATTTAAGGGATTTTCTTCGTTTGTAAAGTTTGAATTATTCTGGTGTATAACAAATCGGGGAATTTTTCTTGAAGCACTACCATTTGACAACGTAAAATGTCTGATAAACTCACCAATAACATGACCAAAACTTTTTTAAAAAAAACTCTCGAATATATAATTATACAAAATTAAGATTTGAAAATGCAATTTTACCATTGCTTCGTTTTAAGATCCAAACAATCAAAAGAAAGCTTTAAAAAAAAATTACAAAAAACATGTATCCACTAAAACAAATAAGATAATTGAAACAAATTACAAACAAACGTATAATGCCGGCAAAATTTTTTCCCCAACAAACAAACTGTACAAGATAGTCTTATCGATAAACTTTTATCCGTAATAATTAAATTAAAATTCATGTAATGCAATATAAACAACATCTGTCTGAATGAAAACATCAACCCTCGCGGGCAAATAACTGAAATATAAACTTTCTGTTAAAAAAAAATGAACAATTTTAAACCACATGTCTATAGATAGTTTTTTATTCAACAATCTATATCTACTTACAAATAAAGTATTTTTCTTCTAAATCAAAATGAAATAGACTTGATTATTGTAACGCTAGGTAATACACTCAGAGAAATCGCGACAAAAAATGACGTCACAATACACATGTAACACTATCGAGACAGAAAGAGAATTATACGGATAACGGGTAGCTAAAAATTCACACCGTTGGTGTATTTTCATCAGTAAAGAATAAGTTTAATGATAATTTGAAGGGTTTTTGTGTTTGTTAAGTTTCAATTATTCTGGGGTTGACAAATCGGGGAACTTTTCTTGAAGAACTACAATTTGCAAACGTAAAATGTGTGATTAACTCACCTACAACACTATCAAAACTTAAAAAAAAAAAATTTCTCGAATATATAATCATACAAAATTCAGATTTGAAAATGCAATTTAACCGTTGCTTTGTTCTTTGGAGCCCAACAACCAAAAGGAAGCCCACAAAAATAAATCAAACCAATTGATAAACAAATAGATCAACTAACACAGATATAATAATTGAAAAAAACAAAAGTATAAATCTGGCATCAGGGCGTTTTTCACCAACAAATAAACAATACAAGATAGTCTTATCAATAACCTTTTTCCCGTAATAATTAAATTAACTAATTCATGCAATGCATATAAACCGCATCAGGTTGAATGGAACCATCATCCCTCGCGGGCAATTGAAAAAGGACATGATTGAAATATAAATGTGTCCTTTTCTTGTGTTATTACCTCTGACTTCAGAATAACTCAATATTGGACATGAGACCTTGTTTTATGCTGTAGCTAATTGTCTAACAGGCTTTGAAACAACATTTGTCCTAAAACAGTTTCATAAATTTCAGAGGAATGTTAACTGTTCGACTAATATACTATAAGGTTCTTTTACGGAAATGATTGTGTCCAGGATTTAAACGCACTTATATAATAAAAAATTATGTAAATCTACTCTTTCAATGAATATACATGTATGCTTCTTTGAAAGAATTGTTATTCAGGGGTCCACGAAGACTCCTGTATCTTTAATATCCTGAACATAAATGTAGAAAAACCTGTCTTATCGGAACAATCTGGAGTTTAACTTCATTGAATGTAAAAAAAAAAATCACCTAAATTGTACTATGAAGTAAGTCTGTCCATCTAATGCTATAAAATATAAAGTGACTTTTGTTTAAAATGTCAACATTTTGTAATGGAAGTAGACATTGTATTGTTTGTGTTTTTTTTTTCAAGCTTAAAACGTAAATGTCAAAGTTGCAAAGTCGAAATTTTATATTAATATAGTTTATCACTGAAGAGTAATTCTTCAAAATCGGGGAAGGGGAGGGGTTGGTTGAACAAATAAATTTTCTTTTTCACTGGAGTTTTTATCTGGTCTTTTTTCCCGAGGAATTCGTTTATAAAAAGTGGAAAAAAAAGGTACCTTTAGCAGATAAACTATAATTACTTTTGAAATATTTTTTCATCTCAAAGGCTCTTTAAAGTATTTTTTATAGAATATGTTGCAACACACTATCTCTGAGGACTCTCCTTTACAGCAGTAAATATGAGGAGTTTTTGTAGAGCCATTTAAGAAATCATCAATGTTTAATATCTTTTATAGATGATGACAGATTGTATTCCTTTAAGAAATGGTTTACTCATTGTATTTCATATAAATGTCAAAGAATCTATTTTTATGAAGAGCGCAATTTTAAGGCAATAAATGTTTTGGTTTTCTTCATTTGTATTTGTGGTTAACAACAAATACAATTGATTGTGCGAATTTAATTAGAGGGACAGACTGGGCTCTTATTGCGCAAAACGTTATGTGAAAACAGAAATAAAACGTATTTATAGGTACAAACTGTTAATTTCATTATTAAAACCAAATTTTTAATTGATTAAATAAAAAAAAGTTTGAAGACAAATTTATAGCTGCACTTTTTTAGTTGAAAATCCAAAATAAAAGGTTGAATTACAAATTTTAAAGTTTGAAAAGCCAAGAATAAAATTGGCTTTTTCAACTTTGAAATTTGTTTGACCAATTTTTAAGTTGTAATCTCAAACTTAAAATAATATATATCATGAAACCAAAATGCTCACGTAAATAAATGGATTTTTTTTAAAAGCAAGGAATGCAAAATCATCATTTAATTATATAGATAATTTTGTATATTTGTCATAAAATTATTAAGGCTTATGAAAAGAAATATAAATAAAACACAGTTTACAATATTTTTTTCGTTTTTATAGAGAATAAATGTAAAGAGATCTGTCTTATCGGAACAATCTTGATTTTAACTTCATTGAATGTAAAAAAAATCAGTTAAATTGTACCATAACAAGAAAAAAAGTAAGTCTGTCTATCTAATGCTATAAAATATAAAGTGACTCCATTTTGTATAAAATGTTAACATTTTCTGATGGAAATAGACATAGTGTGTTTTCTTTTCTTGCTTAAATCGCAAAATCAAAATGTTATATTAATACAGTTTATCACTGAATATTTATTGTTTAAAATCAGGGTTTTTACGAACAAATAAACTTTCTTTTTCATTGGACAAGTTTTATCTGGTCTTCATTTTTTTCCCGAGGAATTCGTTTATAAAGTGTGAAAAAAGTGGTACGTTTTGCAGTTAAACTATACATGTACTTACTTTTGAAAAAAAAATGTTCATTTCAAAGTTTCTTTAAAGTTTTTAAGAATATGTTGCAGTACAGTATGTCTGAGGACTCTCCTGCAGAGCGGTAAATATGAGGGGGTTTTGTAGAGCCATTTTAAAAATCATCAATGTTTTAGTATCTTTTATAAAGATAAAAAATTGTATTCCTTAAAAAATGGCTTACTCATTGTATTTCATATAGATGTCAAAGAATCTATTTTTATGAAGAGCGCAATTTTAAGGCAATAAATGTTTTGGTTTTCTTCATTTGTATTTGTGGTTAACAACAAATACAATTGATTGTGAGTGTTAAATTCAAGGGGCAGATTGGGTTCTTATTGCGTTATACGTTATATAAGAAGATAAAAATAATACGCTGCTATAGGTATAAAATGTTAATTTCATGTTTAAAAACTTATTTTTTAATTATTTGATTTAAAAAAGTTTGAAGACAAATTCATAGTCGCAATTATAAACTTTTTTGAGTTGGAAAGCCCATAATTACGTACAGTTGGAATTACCAATTTTATAGCTTGAAACGTCAAGAATAAAACTGGCTTTTCAAACTTTAAAGGTGCATGGACGGTTTGAAGTTAATATTTTCTGTATAACGTTACAACTAATATATTTTGATAGCATTTCACACAAAAATAAATTAAAAATCTTATTTCATTTAAAAGTTATGAAACATTTGAATTTTTTTAGGAAATTCAGAGTAGAAATGTTCGAAAGCAAATCATACACACAGTATATTGTCACTTTGTGGTGACAAATTTTAATTTTATTCTTCACGAACATCAATAACAGAGCTCGAGACAAACTGTGTATACGTTTCACGGGTGTGATCAATTTGCTAAACTACACAACACTTTACCCGGAAAAATTTTAAAACTATAATTTCTACTCAGAATATAATTATTTTTCTGTATTAAACAGGTAGAAATGTTCCTACGTAGCTATTAATAGCAAATCATACACACATCATTGATGATGGATATGACAAAAATTTGGCCATAAAATGATTACTTCTTATATTATCAATGATCTTGCATAGAAACTAATGTAAAATTGTCAATTCAGGAAATAATCATTTCTTGACCAAATTTTTGTTGTATTCATCATCAATGTGAGTGTATCAAAATATATGGTATTCACCATGTTGTGCCGTTGGTCTTTTGGTCATAAAATGCATATAATACAAAAAATAGGCAAAAATAGCTACTTTGGGTAGGTTTAAATACCTACGTAGCTATTAATAGCTACGTAGGTAGAAATAGTCTTTGGACTGGACCTGTTAAAGTTTTAATATTTTTCATTAATACACAACAAGATTGCCACTTTTCCTAAGTATTAAGAATAAAAGTAAAATTTGTGAGAGTGCAAGGATGTGTCAATCAAACCCATCCAAAAATTTGAAGTTTCAATAACTTTAAGATGAAATAAAATTTTTAATATATTTTTGTGTGAAATGCTATTAAAATATATAAGCCGTGGATTATAAAGAAAATACTAACTTAAAATCTGTGTCCATGCTTTTTTAAAATTAGTATTACCAACTTTAAAGTTGTAATCGCAAACTTATCAAAACACATAACATGGCACTATTCTGCCCCGTAAATAAATGTTTTTCTTTAAGAGCAAAGAATTCAAAATCATCTTTTAATTATATGGATAATTTATATATTTGTCACAAAATTATCAAGGCTTAATTATTAAAAGAAATATTGATGATACACAATTACAATTTTTTTTTCATTTTTATGGAGATGGAAATCTCATAACTCATTCTCGTAATGTCAATTTGTGATTTCTTAACTCTACACAAACCCTTGGCATAAGTCGCTTTTTGTAAATTGGGCTAGAAAGCTACACTTTTTCATTTGATCCTGATCTAGGACTTGAACAAATCAGAAAACAGCTTTTATTTTATGTAATTATTACATAATAATATAATACATTATTTCATGTAATTTGTTAACAAATCTGAATGGTCTTTAAAATAGAAAGTGTCGATATTGTAGGATTTGCGACTAGTTACTTTAAATGAAACATTGGAAATATATATTTAAAAGATCGTTCTCCTTACAATCACAAAAGATAAGCTGTGGAATTGGCCCATGTGAAAATTACAAATTTGAAATAGATATATATTATAATTGGTTAATTTACTATTACCCATAACGTCATATTTAACCACAAACCCAACTTTTAAGTAACTACTTAAGTCAAAGGTTTGTCCGGGGTTCTGAAATCACAAAATCTTGATATTGTGAGGATACATAATTGCAAGTGGAGTATTCTGTACATATTTAAATTTTATTTCATAGTTTTTTTTTATTAGAGTACTTGTGATGCTAAAATAATTATCCTCTAATGCTAGTTTTAGTCTCTGATTCAGAAGTTGCGACCCCTTGCCTCAATCAGTTTTATTGACGTTGTGATTAATTGAAGTTCTTTCAGGTCAATGAAAAAACTAAAACATATGTTATTGAAATTTTAAACACAAAACTGATAATATGTAACTATATTTTGTGGTGGCCTCCAAAATACTAATCCTTAAACATTGCATGTATATTGAAGTCAGACAAATCTATACACGGTGTAACGTTAAATATTTTTTCTAATTGAAGTTTTTGCACAATGAAAACCCCTTAAAAGACCGTTAAGTTCCAGTACTTGATACACTTTGTAACTTTACATGGCATATGAATCCCTACTGGAGAGGGAAATGAATTCTCTATTGATAATACAATTCATTCTTCTATAAAATCTATAAAAAAAAATGTCAATTCCCGAAATGACGTTCCTATGCTGTATTTTTCCACAGAATTTTAATGTTTAAACATGTATTTCCTTTTAAGTGATTTTAAGTCAATTCATTCATTGAAGAGATACATGTGTTTGCTTAGCAAACAATGACACTGAATTTAAAGGGTATAGAGTAATATTCCATGAAAATAAAAATATTTCTAAAATTAATCATATTGTAATTCGGAAACATGTTCATCGATAAACGATCTGCAGTTCTTGTACGTATAAATACTAAGTATATCTGCTCATTTGCCCTTGTAGGTCGAACAGCTAGCGGGGGGATAGCTCCGTTCCCCACACCTGGCGGGTCTGGCGCCGCCGCCGCCTTAGCGCGGTTCTCTCAGAGTAACGCGCCAGCTACCACTGCCCTCCTCAACGACAGGTCATCGAGAGCTTCCTTTGCATCGAGAACCATAGCTCAAAAGTTGGTATCAAAATGAATAGATGTACACATTGATTACTTTAAATGGTGATTCTCATGTTGAGAGACTAGTACTGTGTGTTTATATGGGTTTACATCCCAATCAACAACAACTTTACGAACGCGTTGAATTGGTTTATTGAATCTTGTAACCTACGAAATTCTGTCTCCCAAAGCAGTAAAATTTTGATCGAGAACAGCCATCGACTGTCACTCTTAAAAATGATTGAATAGTATGTGAAAAAAAGTTGTTTTAAATTTTCTTTCTATCATTCTTTGACCTTTAGTCCAGAAATTGGAGGCGGAACTGCGGCCGGTTTCCAGAGAGCAGTGTCAGATCCTGAGGTTACAGCAAGTTTTCAGCGAGCCTTCGATCCATTCTGTTTTGAGAGACCAGTCTGTGACGTCAGTGAACCTTATCGAAGGACAGACGGACAATGTAACAATTTAATCGACCCCATCTTGGGAGCAGCGCAAACTCCACAACAACGAGTCCTCCCCGCCGCATACGACAACTGTTAAGTACCTTTTGTCAACATTTTATAAATCAACTTTCAAATTATCTCAAAACGAATACTGCATCTAGAAAAGCTACTCTTTTGGCATATTTAAAAGAATGTCACATAATGTTTACTATGCAGACATGAAGATGAAGAAGTCTGTCTGTTTGTCTCTCCATGTTGTCCTAAACACATTTTTTTTTACACTCAACCAGAATGGATTGAAACATATGTTGTTGCCAAGACCTGTATGTTTGTGTGTGAAATAACTATGATGAACAAATAGTTCTTAATAATTCTCTTCAAAAGTTTGTGCATAAAATATACAATATTTCCTTTAAAAAGATTACATAATTTTCATATAATGTTTATCAAAAAGTAATGAAAAAAAAATTTGGTCTTAACTCAGGGTGTAATGGCCTAATATTTTGTATGAAAAAGGTCAGTCAGCATTTGACATAATGATAAATAGTATAATTGCTGACAAGATCATTATATTGACCATTGTACTTGTATTATGATTTAGATACAAGGTCATATTTTAAAGACCAAGCTCAAGCCTCAATGAAATAGAGAAGTGACGTCTTGGTTCTGACTTTAGAACACTGATTTGAATGAAGTCAAACTCAAATATATTACACTCTCAGTAGCCTGAAGGTGTTTCCAAATTCTCACTTAAAGTTGAATTTCATTGATCATTCTCACTGTACAAAGATATCCATATTTAAACATGTCCATACAATTTTGTTGGAACCTTTGTTATTAATTCAACCATAGAATGAAACATATGGAGATAACGAACAGTATTCAAGATTAAAAGTCCACAAAACAATACAAAATAGGAGCAGAGCAAACATGGAGACAAATGGTTGAATTCTTTAAAAACAAAAATCATACCATCAATATATCAATTGTAACTTAGATTATAATTCAAGTCTGACTATATACAGTGATCAACACTCCACGAGTTAGGTCTGTTAGGCCCGGAGCTTTTTTACCGAGTGCTCGAACTGTCAGTAACAACGTGTTCCAGTTTACGTTTGGGGGCATGACCCCTGTCAGTGCTGCATTCTCCACCTACCTCACCCATCACGGACAGTTCATTGATCATGACGTCATCGCCACGCCCTCCGAACAATGTACGTACTCTCAAATATTTTATAATATTAGTTCAATTCTCAAAATCGAAAGTTTGAAAATTGAGCATTATATATCTTGATTACATTGGCAATATTTTTTGATTTCAGTGACTGTGAATGACTGTTGTATGCCAATGATGTGAGTAAACAGAAAATGGTGTTGAGAAGATTGCAATGAAATGAAAACTTTCTAGTGAATGTTCAAATTCATAGCTTATTAACATTATCTAAATAGATCAGAAAATGAAAATCTACCGAAGATTCATAAGTTTTTTGCATTATTTTCATGTTATTTTCATAACTATGGATGAAATTACTATGCATGCACATTCTAATATTCGTTAATTCAAATTTTGCTTCTTTTTAACATCTCCGTATGAGTGAAAAATTCTTGAATGGGACGTTAAACAGTATATAATCAATCAATCAATTTTTAGGATAAGAAGGACTTAAACAAAATTAAGCAAACTTAAAAATATTTGGTTTGAATACCTAAATCAGATTTATGCAGTTTACAAAAAACAAATCAGTTGATCAGGTAACAATAATTTTAACTAAAATCTTTTTAAGGAACCAGCAGAATCCAGAGGCCTGCTTTAGCATAATCATACAACCAGGCGATCCGTTTTTCCCGCCAGATAAAACCTGCATGAATGTCGTTCGTCACGCCGGATCACCGCCCATCCGATGTGAAAACGGTTAGTAAAGACTCTGAAAAATCAAATAAAATAATCAGTAATATGCGGTTCCTGAAACGTTCATCTTAGGTAGGATTTTTTTTCAAAAATCTGACAGGAATGCGAGAGTTTGACCTGTTTTGTCCAATTGGGAGACATGATTATTTCAAATGCTCGTGAAATACAAAATAAAAAGCGAAATATGATTGAATTCAGGCTTGGGTCTAAGTTTATTATACATTGAAGATGCAGTGTGCGATCTTTCTTCCATTAAATTATTTCTGTAATTTATATGAAACTTTCAAGCATAAAAGTTTTACAATCAGATTTTGTGTACGATGATTGCGTTATATACTAGCAGTGTCTTTGTATACTTGGACCTAGGTCATAGAATTTTGCTAAGTAGATAATATTTTTTATCGGTTTTTCACTTTATTTTTAGAAAGCTTGTTTTCTCCTTTTAATCTGGGAACCAAGTTTTCTCCAAAACATTATCAAAATTGAGTTTTCGGCAATTTGTAAAATTTATCTGTTTTCAAAAAAAATATTTGTATGTAGAAATTTGTTTTAGAGGTGACTATTACAATTATCTTTTGTAGGTGTCCGTGAGCAAATCAACCAGAGAACAGCTTTCGTTGACGGCTCCATGATCTATGATTCTGATGTCACCAAAGAGCTTCAATTAAGAGCACGAGGTAAAATACACTTAGATAATATTCTCGGAACGTATGAAATATATAAAGTTTCATACTTTATATCATTTTATTTTATTTAAAGGAATGTAAAAATTCGGTTTTGAAATTTTCTAATTTAAATACAGTTAAGTAAAGTTTACAAAATTCTTTTGTTTTCGTTGAAAAAAAAAACTGAAACCCATTTATTCTAACACTAGTCGGAGGACGAATGGCTGAGAATGAACAAAATCTGTTGCCACCGCACCCGCAGGGCTGTCCTCCCTTGGTGCCTCCGGCGCAGCGCCAATGTTTTGTGGCAGGTATTGAAACATGTTCATGCATATAATTTACTGAATGGAAGATTGAAGGAGTACTTTGTAGTAAATGTGCTGTTTTCTCTTTGACAGGAGATCACAGACCCAGCGAAACGCCAACTTTAACTATTCCACACATCACGTGGTTACGACGTCATAATCTCATTGCTGACGCATTAAGGCTGGCCACTGGCATCACAGATGACGAAACTCTTTTCCAAGAAGCAAAGAGAATAGTGATAGCAGAGCTTCAACATGTGACATACAACGAATTTTTACCCGCCGTCCTAGACGATTTTCATATGAATGCCTTCAATCTTAGATCAAGGCCATTTGGACATGCTGAAACTTACAATCCCAGACTAGATCCTAGAACAATTAATGCCTTCGGTGTGGCGGCCTATCGTATGGGCCACAGCTTAGTGAGGAACACTGTCGGTCATGTTCTAGGTGACGGCGCCTCTTTCAGTTTCCCCGTCCACAGACATTTTGAGCGCCCAGATTTAATGTATGACAGAGGGTATGAATTTATGACACGTTGGATGTCAAGGGAACCTAAATCAAGATCAGATAGATTTTTGGTCGACGGAATAAGGAACAGACTGTTTGAATTTCCACCAGGGAATCAACCGACAACAGAGACTTCCTCGTTTGATCTGGGAGCTTTGAACATCCAGAGAGGCCGAGATCACGGTATACCTTCCTACAACGCCTACAGACAATTCTGTGGACTTCGTAGAGCGGTCTTCTTTGCTACAGTCCCAGGAGGTCTTGTTGACCATTCCCCACAGGCAGCAGCTGCGCTTCAGCAAAGTTACCTGTAAGTTAATGGTTCAGTTAGGGGCTCCTCCATGTGTATACATGTACATATGGATTAGTTACCCTAGAAGAAGTTTGCATGAACGATCCAGTGTTTATAGCAAAAGCTAAAATTAAACAAACTTTTTAGAACAAGAAAGACAAAACTTATATTCTTTGAAATTAATTTAGCATATCTTTTTCAAAGAGAACCAGATGATATTGACCTCTTTGCTGGAGGTTTGTCTGAAACTCCTCGTCCAGGAAGCATTTTAGGACCCACCTTCCAATGTCTTATAGCCCTCCAGTTCAGTCTCTATAAACATGGAGATCGTTTCTGGTACGAGCGCACCTTTCCTGAAAATCCACTGGCCGCTTTCACACCAGGTATCATTTTTATTCTCCTGTTTGAAAATCAAATGTAGAAATTAAAACACGATATGGATAAACATAAAAATCTGGCGGACAAGTGTCTTTTACAAAAATAGTTTTCCATGTTCTCTTGTGTTTTCTTTTAAAGCCCAGCTTGCTCAGATTAAACAGACCACATACTCGAAGATTTTGTGTTCAGTTGTGAAGGATATTCCTGGTGCTATTCATTCCTTCCAACCAAGTCTGATGATACGTCCAGATATACCGGGGTAATCTTTTAAGCTTTAAGTATACTCTCTCTCTCTCTCTCTCTCTCTCTCTCTCTCTCTCTCTCTCTCTCTCTCTCTCTCTCTCTCTCTCTCTCTCTCTCTCTCTCTCTCTCTCTTTCTCGTAGCAGAGGAGGTGTATGTAGCCATGAATTGAAAATGAAAGGATTTGCACTAACCATCACACAGTTTCTTAATTCTAAGATCTTGGTTGTTTTAAACAGAAATTCACTTCAACCATGCCCAGCATTGCTAGGAGGAACTCGTCTCGGTTTCGACATTAGGCCATTTGCACAACAGCTATTGGCATTGGGTGGCCGACGACGGAGAATGGCGTTAATGCCCAGCCCACTTAACCCGGGCATGATGGGAATGCTCCCGACTTTCAACAGATGACGAGGGATAGACTGCAACGTGTGTAATTCCAGGAATAATGATGAAGAGAAAAAAGGGGGAATAAATAAAGTTCTGTGTATTATATAATGTGTTTGTGCGATGTTTGATACATATTAAAATGATATATATTTTTATGGATCATTTTTTTTTAAAAATCTCCAATGATTTTCCTTACAATAAACATACATACCATTGGTGTTTCTATTCTTCGTGTGGCCTGCGTTGCGTACTGGTTAGAGCGTCTGCTCTAGAGTGGCGAAGTTACGAGTTGATCCTTACGTCGCGGGTTCGAATCCCACTGTGAGACTTGGAGACCGGTCCTTCGGGTGAGACCGTATAAACCGAGGTTCCGTATCGCAGTAGGTGCTGGCAAGAAGAAGACCCCTCACTGCTCCTTGGCCCTAAGTGCCGAGTATAGGACAAAATTTGTAGCTCTCCACTGGCAGTGGTGGCGTCTCCATATGAGTGAAAAAATCTCGAGAGGGGCGTTAAACAACATACAATCATTCAATCAATTTAATCTTCGTTATTGAAATTATATTAAAAAGCAATTGACAAAAATAACTATGTATTTATCCCTTTACCCCTCAATTAAACCATATTAAATAGACAAAATTGACTCGACTTCATAACTTTGCTTTCAGAAGATTTGCAGAAATTGTTTTGCCCATTTGTGCAGTAATCTGAATGTGCATTCTCTTCATTACCAAATAAATCAAAAAGAAAAAAAAACTTTCAAAATTAAGAGCTCAATTTGTTTAGCTGAATTAAAACATGTTGCATTGTATGTCTTATCAAGATTTCACACTTGAACAATAATTATTGCTTCATCAAGAGTCCAACGTAGTTCATAAAAATATTGTTTAAAAAAATAAGTTTAATCATGATAGTTTAAATATTTTGCCGATTTCTTTTAGATTTTCTGGCATGCTTGAAACAGTAAAAACAAATTGTCCCCTTTTTAAAAATTAATATTCTAAACAAATTTCAAAAAAACTTACAAAAATTTCCAGCGGAAATAACGAAAGACATAAAAAATAGAGCAAAACCATTAATCAAAGTCAGTATAAAAGATGCATCTGGATTTCCTCTTAATCATTACATCAGTATACTATTAGTGATGCCTGTCAAAAGACAAAAAAATTATATTTAATATATGTCATTTATCAAACTGTCCAATAAAAAATTGACTTTGATACTGAATTAGAAATGCATTTAAAACAATAAATAACAAAATATAAACTTCCTAGACATTAATAGGGGTCACCTTGTCAACCATCAATCAACGACAATCCTGAATTTAGAAGTGTTGCAATTCATCGTAAGGAGAATCAATTTTTCTTGAGCTGGATTGATTAAGGAAACATTCAGAATAATTTGACCTACTTAACAGAACTTGTTGATAAATACATGTAGATTTGAAGAAAAGGTATCTAAAAATCTTTAAAATATGTTTTACTCATATTGAGCAATATTTTGCATTTTGCAGCAGAATACATTGTGTATTTCTAATTTTAGCTTTTGTTTGTTTCTTTAATTGAACATTGATCAGTGATGCTAAAACTAGATTTCTGAAACTATTCCAAGACGAACAATGAAAGGAAAACATGCTAGCAATAAAATCGAGTGAAATACATGTATACATGAATGAAGTATAATATAAATCGAAGATTGATGATGCATGATGCATCATGTTTGATCTTAATTCTTGAAAGTCTTTTCTAGAACGCCCTTGTTGGATCGTTTTTGGTTTTTTCATACAGAATGTTTGGCTTCCGTTTTTATACTAGATTTGACTATGTAGTACATCAATGTTCAATTCTTACGGTTTGATGGATTTTGACCGGCCTACAAGGAATGATTACTCGTCCTAGGTATTTGACCTCACCACTGGAAATTCCAGGGGCCCGTATATTGTGCACCCAACATTTATTTGTATTGCTAATGTATTTTTTCAGATTGATCACTATTCGTTATTCTCACCCTTTACATCTTGAAAACATGTCTAAATTCTAAATTTGTCTCCTGTACAAAAGTAAACATTTTCAGTAAATGTTATTATGAGGAACAATTATACAGAGTGTAAATTGAACTAAACACTGATCCCTGGAGTGTTCAGATGTGGGATCCCGTGCCTAAGAGGAGTAAACAGCTTCTGTCGTCTGATCGAACCCGTCATGAATTATCAACTATTTAAATTACTGTAGATTTAGATACGTCTTGCATAGCTTCCAACACCCATCGAAGAGGGAGCGTTGAAAACAGGCATACAAAAAATTTCAGGACATAGGACATACTTGCGTACGTATTTCAAGTTACATGATGGTTTAATAAATGTCAAAAGATTGAAAGCGAAAATTCTCCAGAATTTTGGTAGTTTTTTTTTTACATAGACTATATATTATCAAAAAAATGGATTATGTACCATCTGTCTACGGATTTCCTATGAAAGAAATATATGGAGATAACGAACAATATTCAAGCTCAAAATTACATAAAAGAATACAAATCAGAACAGAGCAAACACGGACCTCCAAACATCAGAGGTCGGATCAGGTGTCATAGAGGAGTGAGCATCCCCTGTCAACCAGTCACACTCGCCTTTGCTCCTAGCGGTGATCGGTAAATAACGGAAGAAACGGTGTGTAAATAATGGACTAACACTTACTATAAAAACTTCAGTCAACATTTGACTTAATGATAGATTACGAACTTACGAAATGACGACTTTAAACAAGACTACTGATATTGTTTCAGATGTAAACGGGAGAATGACGGTCAATGGGGCTGTTTTCTCCTACGTGGTGCCTTATCATATATCCGATGTTCTAGAGGTTCGCATAAATTACCAATTGTATTTTTGTTGGACTTTTCAGTATTACTGTTTTTTTTTTTTTTTTTTTTTTTTTTTTTTTTTTTTTTTTAATTTTATTCATAATTGATTTGCCCTCGACGACCGTTTTTCTAGTAGATCTCAGGTGACGTTCATATTCATGTTAGATTGTAATTAGACACCTGATTTTGTTTACTTGGTTCAAAATTTTATGCATGTTTAGCTTGTATTTTTGTCGTTCTAATTAAATATTTCCGCTGATTGTCCTTAGGGAACTTGTTACCTGCATTTTTTAAACAGGAAACACCACGCAGGCAATGGGGATATGCACTAATAATTAGTTATTTTTACCAGAGATGTGGTAAATAAATATTATATCTTACAAGAAATTACACATTAATTATTTGTAAGGATTTTTTCCAAGAAATTGATTTTTAAAATCAAAGTAAATTTACCAGTCTTTAACTTATCTGCGCACTAATTTTTGGCACTTTTTAAATTAAATACAGGAAAATTACGCTTTTAAAGATATTTTTAGATCTTATTTACGAAATGAAAAAAAGGAAAGAAACACTAAAAAGATAAAGGAAAGCATTTACCTTAACGAATAAAAAATAATATTAAGTGGACTTAGTCATCACAGAGCAGCAAACGCTCTGCAAACTGCGCTACCGTGACGGCGGCTTTTGACTTTATTATAAAGCGAAAGTACAAGTACTCTACGATTTGCATTTTATCTCTTGGCAAAATTTATATTTATTCTTTTCTTCCATTGTTTCACATTTCGAAGTTTTAAGTAATATAGATATTGTTCTTGATGGTACACTAACAATTAAACGAATCAGTGTAAAGAATATGAGTTTTAAAAACTCAATTCAAATAGTGACAATTCCAATTTAGCGTCAGGATGTAACTTGTCTGTACTGCTTCGATACGGAAATATTTTTACATTTCAAATGTTTGGGGGTTTTTTTCGAGATAAAATTCCAAATAGTCAATGTTCTTGATTTCTACATAAATGTACTGGATCATCAATAGGCGAAGTTAAAAAAAATCACTTGCGGGGCGGGACAAATAGAGACAGAAGCGGGGCATAGAGACAGAAGCGTGGATTGGCGCAATCAATAGCATGTAAATATAAGGAATAATTGTCAGATTTTCATATTTCATGACCATGAACAATCAATTGGCTTGCGTGATAATTTTGTGCATAAACGCCTCGGCATTTATGCAAATTATCAAACAAGCCAATCGGTTGAATACATTATGAAATCGAAAAATAGCCAGTTATTCCTGGAGACCTTGTTCTCAAACAAATTATTCCCCATGCGATTTTTGGGAGGCTTTGGAGGTCCGTGTTTGCTCTGCTCCTATTTTGTATTTTTTCATTGATTTTTAAATGTTGAATACTATTTGGTATCTCCATATGTTTCATTGTGATTTTTTTTTTACTTCTTAATACTTATTTTATTATATTTAAAGTTGTTTTTATACCTGATACACATGAACAAAAACAATAAGACTGCACATCCTTTTCGCAAAAGATTGATAAAATTCAATTTTGAAAAAAGGTCCCGCAGAATCTTCTTGAGAAATAGTTTCCATTCCAGTCCACTCCCGAGGAAGTAAAGAATACTTTAAAGGTTAAATTTAGAACTTCTTTAAAATGAAGAGGTATGTATATCAGAATCAAATTAATGGAGGATGTGACTGGTCGGAGGGGAAGCGGAAGCTCACTCCTCTATGGCATCTAATCCATCTGTGGTTTTATAGAAGTCCGTGTTGACTAGGCTCCCGATTTGTATTGATAACATGGTTTTTTAAGATTTTTTATTTCAATATTCGTATTTCATTGTACAATGAATTTATTCTCATAAACTGACATAAGTACAGTGTTGAGAAAGATTACAAGTATAGTTAAACATATGTGCATGCGTGAAAAAGAAAAAAGTACAAAGTAACAAAACTAACAATGAGCTAACAGGAGAGCCAACTCTCTCAAAAATAATTTTTATAAATTTACACAGTTTTGTCAATTTAACTGGACTTTTTGTATTAAAAAGTTGATCAAACTTATACACATTTGGATGTGAATAGTAATATTTTGATAATAATAATAACCTTGAATTCAAGATAAGTGAATCATTACAATTAAATAAATAGTGAAATTCATCACCAATTTCATTTTTGGAACATAATTTACAAATTCGGTTTTCTCTTGGTACATTATGCCATCTTCCAACTTCAACTGGTAATTTATTATTACAAGTTCTAAACTTACAAAATATTTTCCAGTATTTAAAGGGCAAGGATACTAAATACTTTTCTAGACAAAATGAAGTTTTATATATTCTATAATTAAGACCTTTAGACGAGTTAAACATTTCACTATACCACTTCTGTTTAAAGTGATCATACAGAGTGTTAAACATTTTTTCTTCAGCCATGATATATTTACAGGTTGACAAGTATGCCAAATATAAGAAAGTCCACATTCATTCAATATAGATTTGACAAAGTTACACCATGGATTATTGTAGTTCTTTAAAACACTTAACAAATTCGATGATAATTTATCCCTTTGTAAAAAAGATAGTTTACACCAAAAACTTATCATTCTAACCTTTATATTAATTGAAATAGGGTATCTACCTAATTCGCCATATACCAAAAAATTTGGTGTTGATGACTTTCCATGCAAAATATGCTTACAAAATTTTAAATGCAATTTTTCAATCAATGGTGACTGATTAAAAACTGATAAGTCTATGTGGCAAATAATTGAATAATAAAAATACTTATGATTAACTTAATGATTGATTTAACTTTAAAGTGTTAGTCTTAAAAGATGTTATGTGCGATTAAAACGTATATTAAACATATATTTCTTACATAATAAAATCGTTCGTGTATGCATGAAGTGATTCAAAATAAAACATTTATCTATGATTTTCGGTTTGTAAAAACTGGCAAAACGAACAGACTTTGAATCTTTAAATGGACCGTAACCTCAAAAGAGAAACATTATATATATATATATATATATATATATATATATATATATATATATATATATATATATATATATATATATATATATATATATATATATATAGATATAGATATATTTTTCAACACTCTCACCCCCCAAAAAAAAAATTCGACTTCTTAAAAGTCACTGCAAATGCGCAACTTTGCTCTATTTTTATGTGACCTAACAAAAGTTACAGTTAAGTTCTATATATCATTGTCTCTAATAGTCCCTTCAAACAAAAGCCTTATTTCTACTTTGTATGGAAGATGAACATAAGCAATTTATTTATGATTTTAATACTAATCAAAATGTTATTGATCTAGGAATATAAGTTGATGAAGTTCTCGTGCAATTTTAGTATAATTTGTATTATTAATGCTTAATTTCAATAATCTATTTTTATCAGAAAATATTAAGCGCATACATGCATAAAAAATGAATATTTTCAGCAAGGGTGTATCAAATCAAAACTACAAGTAGTTACTGTCAGGAAAAAAATCTTTTTCATGTTCCGGAATTCCTTATTTCTTATTTCCAAGCTTCTCAAGAGTAAGAACTTATTTTATGTAACGTGTATACGTGTATATAACGCTGTGAAATATTATTCAACAGTTTAAATAGGTTAATGAGAGAACCTGTAGCGAATAGAATTCACTAAATCACGCCTTCAAATGCTTCCGTTTGACATTAATTTCAGAAAAACCGTGTGTAGAGAGGAACCTGTTATCATGATGAAAATGCCATGAAACAGTTCCAATTATTAGCACAGCACATACAGACTTCTGATAACATGGAGGTGGGACCAGATGTAATGAAGTTGGGAACGTTCTTTGTTAACCAGTTACATCCGCCTTCTTCTATTTGTTATACATAAATACATAATTGTGAAATAATAACAAAAACATTTTAATATTTATATAGAAAAAATCTGAATGAATTTTAGTAATGAAATGTTTGGAGATACTATTCAAGCTCAAAGGTCCATTAAACAATTCAAAATAGAATCAGAGCAAGCATGGACCTCCAAAATATCAGAGGTGGGAGCAGGTGCCATGGTGGTGTAATCATGAAACATACGGAAATAAGGAACAGTATTTAAGCTCAAACGTCCGTAAAACAATGCAAAATAGGCGCAGAGCAAACTCGGACCCCCAAACATCAAAGGTGGGATCAGGTGCCATGGAAAAGCATCGCCTGCTGACCGGTTACACACGCCGTGTGCTGCTGCTCCTTGTCATGATCGGGAAATAAAGGAAACATCCGTCGTCAATTCAGTTTTTGAATGACGACTAACATTAGTATGAAAAACGTCAGTCAGTATTTGACTCAATGACAAATTGTATTTGCTGACAAGGTCATTGTATCGACTATAGAACTTACAAAATGATGACTTTAAACAAGACTGGTGAAATTCATGTTTCATCAGTAAGTTACCTCGTTTTAGAAATCGTTCATACGTAGAGCATGCTCTTACGTATCGAATCAACTAAGATATATAAACTCCGTATGCTTTGTTGTTAGATTACCATTAACGTCTTTTGCCAGTAAAATATCCAAATATGAAACGGATGTGTCAGATTTGTGGTATCTTTTATCTCGAGCTCTACTGGATATATCGTATAAATCTAAATGTAGATTTGAAGGCCACAGTAAGTATTTCCTTCTTTTCAAGCAAAAGATTTTGCACAAATTCTGCTTCATTTGAATACAAAAATATGTCCGCTAATAACGGGGCGCAATTGGTACCCATGGGAATTGCAATAGATTGTTTGAAGACCTGGTCTCCAAAAAAAAAAACACACATAGATATTGACAATCAGGAATTCAAGCATCTTTTTGATGTCAACTTAATGAAACGCTAATATAATATCTGGAGTTTTATTTCAACTTTTACAACACCGAGTATTTGTACGAAAACTGAATCTTTCAATTAAAGAAGATTTGATTTGTCCTCAGTTCATTAATTTATAAATTTATACACTTTAAAAATCAACAATAAAATATATGTACAGTTCTAACAAAATTACTAAGTACTCAACGGTATCTACAAATTAATTCATTAATTTGTGATTAAATACAATATTTGCAATGCTACATAATTTAAAATATGAAAACTTGTATATCATACTTTCTTAATATTGTATATTTTCTATTCAAAATTGCAATTTCTCATCATTTGCATGATATTGAATTACTGTAATATATAGTCAATATTTATATTTACAATCATATTTCTAAAAAAAATCTTTTCAGTACATCAGCTTTATTCCAAATCCACTCTTATTTCCCACATATATTATCAAAGTACCCGTAGTTTTGTGTCAAAAATTAAACTAGAAATAATTTACGATGATAATGTTATCAATTAAACCATCAATGTGACTAAGGTTGCAATTTCTAATATATAGAGAAAAGTAATTATTTTAAAACTACACATACGTATCTGCTATCAATGGATTTTAACCATACTCAACACAAAGATTTCACAATATATGGTATTCAATCTTTTGTACAACTTGGACATGGCTTCGACGATACAATCATCCCTTCCTTTCCCCATCAATGTTATGGTCAAAATACACTATTGCATAAATCGGACTCGATGAATTCTTAAAAGAAATATTAATATAATAAATTTCAAATTCTTTTACAGGTTCATAGGTAACATGTGTTAAGTAAAAACACATTTTGATATAAGTATCAAAATTGAAAATATAGAAGATTTTTCATTTTCAATTATATTTTTTGCACGCATAGGCCTAAAGGGATGCTTAATAACTTTCCTTTTTTTTTTTTCAAGTTTGGGAGATCATGTTATGATAAATAATCTATCAAATGTACTTTAATTAGAAAAAAATAAACCATAATTAATAATCAACCAGTTACCTTCATAGTCGATCTTTCCATCCCCATCTATGTCAATTTCTTTAAAGAATTCCTCTATCTCCTGTACGGTGATATCCTGGTTTTTGTGACAGAGGACTACTTTAAGCTCCTTTAGTGTCACATAACCGTCATTGTCTTTGTCTATATAACTGAACGCAGCCTTCATCCGTTCTCGTTCTAAATCTACCTCCTTGTAGTTTTCTCTCATTATGTTGAGGTATTCTTTGAAACTTATAAACCCATCGCCTAGAGAGATAAATACACGTCCATTATTCACAACAAATTAGATGACTTCTCAAAAGTGTGTAGTTACAAATTAAAAACTAAAAGTTCAATTTAATAAAAGAAGATTTGTTTGTGAAACTCTGGTGCTACTGTGTTTCAGCTCATGGCAACGTTTCTCAAATATAAATCAAACTAAAAGTTCAAGAGAGATAAGAAATTCTGGTACCAAAAGAAAGATCTTTTCACAAATAAAACGTAATTGAATATGAAGACCCTAGTCCCAACCATTTTAAAGGTATGGCTAAGGTTTTCAATGGTAGGCCAGCTTCCAAGGTCAAAAGAGTCAAAATGGTTTAATCCCAATACGAAAGACCTTTAACAAAGTAAATACAATTGCATACGTATATTAATATAAAAGCCCAAGCTCTAACCATTCGAAACTTAAACTCAAGGCAAAAGATGTTTTCAAACGTTGGTCAATCTCAGCGTTCAAAGTAAAAAAAAAGTGTTATCAAGGAGATGTCTTTACAAACGAAATTCACAGGTAAAGTACTGGTATAAAAGATTTAAGAACAATCATTTACACAGATAGATCAAGGAAGATTAAGGTTTACGAATATTTTGCAGTGGAAGTCAAAATCTAAGGTCAGGAAATCAAATATTTGGTATCCACGGATTAAAGAAAGGCCTAACCACAACGTATACCCGTATGACATATGAACCATAGAGCTAACCAATCAAAAGTTGAGAGAAGTATTTATAATTTTGTGGCGAAGCAGACAGACAGAGATCTAGAAAGACGCAAGGAAAAAGCAAAAACTGTATGCCTCGAATTTTCGACTTCGAGAGCATAAATGAAACACATGGAGATATCGAACATTATTCCAGATCAAAAATCCATAAAACAATACAGGAGAAGAGCAAACACGGACCTCCAAAACATCAGAGGTGGGATCAGGTGCCTTGGAAGAGTGAGCATCCCCTGACGACCGGTCACACCCGCCGCGTGTTTCTTGTCATGATCAGGAATAAAGGGAAAATCCGTCGTTAATTCAGTGTATAAAAAATGGACTAACAATAAGTATATTAAAAAAAAAACCTCAGTCAGCATTTGGCCCAATAATAAATTGTATTTGCTGACAAGGTCATTGTATCGACCATAGAACTTACGAAATGGTGACTTTAATCGAAACTGCTGAAATTTTTGTTTCATCAACTTGTTTGCCAATAATTTACCTCTTTGTAGAAATTTTTCGTACGTAGAGCATGCTCTTGCGTATCTAATCAATTGAGATATGTAAACTCCGTATGCAGATGATGAAGGTATATTGCTGCATAAGCAATTCATTCTATATTGTCCTTTTTTAGAAAGAATTTCTTTTTTATTTACCTTCTGTTTTACGCATTAGAATAAATTTTAAAAATCCTATAGAGTAATGTTCAGTTATTCATATCTGTTTTGTACAATTGACAATTAAGATGGAGGAGGTTCAAGTTTTTCTATTTCATTGTTTTTTTTATTTTCATTGCTATCATCTTAATTTCTTTTTGACATATGTAACAATATTGTTTCTATGCTCAGAACTTTATTATTTATAAGAAGAAATTATTTAAATGAGTGAACCGTTTGGATTACCTCCATCAGTCCTTTACGTCTTAAGAACAAAATGTCTTAGCCTTCTTGTCTTGTCGCAATATGGACTATTTCCATTAAACGTTAAGGGCGTGTATTGATTTTTGTTTGATGATTGCCGCTTGGTTCATTTTAATTTATTTATCCTGAAGAAAGACTGCTACCGTTTATTCCGATTCTTAATTAAGTGTAAAATCGCAAACAATGACTAAATAATTCAATATCGTGTAAATTGTTTCATACTACGATCAGTTAACAATTAGTTCATCTGGTTAAGAAATTTTCACATTTAAATTATGAACACCTGCATATGAAATTTCTTTAAGCATTAATATCAAACAGTTTTACAGATCTGCTTTGACATAAATGGCCTACATTATAGGTTATTTTGTCAATGTCGTTGTGACAAAACTGCAAGCAGTCGACGAGCATGTAGCTAATCTCATTATCTACGGCTTAATGCGCCTAATTAGATACGTCAGTCAAAGGTGTTTGGAATACCAATTTAACTTACCTGCCTTAATTTTGTCTTAGGATAAACATTTAAATTTTGTAAGCAATGGTATTTTATTATCTAATAAATCAATTTAAAATTGATGACTTAAAAATTGATGACATCATTTAACAAATTTAATATCTAACAACTAGTAATAAATCAATAAAGAGAGAGGGCTTAAAATTTGTCTGAATTTAAATAATTAAATATCCAATAACTAGTAATAAATCGATTGTTTGTCTTGGTTACGCATATATCAGTATTTTTATCATTGAATATATTTTGTATTATTATGTTTTCCTATATTATGGATCGATGATGTGATGTTTTATTGTAAATATATATATTGTTGTGTGATATGATGTTTTATTGTTTTATTATTTTATTATATTATTGTTGTTTTTATCAGTGATTGTTTGTATTTAACCTTATTTTCATATATTATTGCTTTTTTATGGTTGAGTTTTATTGCAAAGGCTTTTATAGTTCACATGTCTATGCCTTAATTATTTTTTTAATGATACCAACATGTGGATCTAAATTTCTCGTTGATGTCCTTTGAAGTGACGAAAGTATTATCCCAAGTTCTGTTGACTTGCAAAATTTTATGGAAAGAGATTTTAAATCGTTTTTTTCAAGTAAGTTGTTGCATATTTTAAAACGTTGTATGCACTGCAACATGTTTTCCGGCTTCCATATTTCAAATGTGTATTCTTGTGATAAGATCTTTCGTTGAGTAAAAATATTTGACTTTTGACCTTGACCTTTCCTTTAATTTTTTTACTATTTTTGATTTATTCGCGCAAAGGACATTATAAAACATTAAGCCTTAGCCATAAGTTTTGCAAAGGTAGGGCTTCTAATTTTCGTTTAACATTTTTACCTTGACCTTATAGTTTTGCCTACTTTAAAAAAACCGCTATTTTCCTATCAAATATCATTGTTGTTTTTATCAGTGATATGATGTTTTATTGTATTATTATTTTCATATATCATTGTTGTTCTTATCAGTGATATGATGTTTTATTGTATTATTATTTTCATAAATTATTGTTGTTTTTATCAGTGATATGATGTTTTATTGTATTATTATTTTCATATATTATTGTTGTTTTTATCAGTGATATGATGTTTTATTGTATTATTATTTTCATACATTATTGTTGTTTTTATCAGTGATATGATGTTTTATTGTATTATTATTTTCATAATATTGTTAACTGCGTCTAAACCAATCAGATTTTAGTATTTAACATGAAAGTATAATAAATATTATTGTTGTTTATATCAGTGATATGATGTTTTATTGTATTATTATTTTCCTATATTATTGTTGTTTTTATCAGTGATATGATGTTTTATTGTATTATTATTTTCCTATATCATTGTTGTTTTTATCAGTGATATGGTATTATTGTGGTTTATTTCCTCACCGTCCTTGTCGACGTCCTTCATCATCTTGTTGACGTCTTTTTCCGTGGGGTTCATACCTAGGATGGCTGCGGCCTTCATTAACTCCCTCTTAGATAACCGGCCGTCTCCATTCAGGTCTATCTTATTGAAAGACTCCTTTATTTCTGGTAAATAAAGATATTGGAAAGATAGAAATTAAATATATGTTTTAAATACGGTGCTGAATAATTTAATTGTAGCTAAAACACATAATTTCTTTGGATAAAAGATTTAAGTTATATATATTGTATAACATAAGTTGACTACATCACAATGTGTTACGTCAAAATGCGTTGCTTTTGAAATATGCTTAATTTGGCGGGAAGCTTGTCTTATTATTTTGTCTACACTGAAATTAAATTATCAGGAATGGAGCTTATTTTAACCTATGCAATACGATATAACAAAACTTTGGGCAGTTCAGGCTTTTTTACGCTTCGCAATTAATATAAGACATAAACTGTCCCAAGATATGTATATAGTATAACATACGTTAAAATAAGCTTCATTCCTTAAACAAATAAAGAGAAACCGAAATTTTCATTATTTTTGTGGGTTTTTGTTTGTTTCCTTGTAATACATGTGTGTTTCGAAAATATTAATTATTTCAAACGGTCATCAGTAGAATGCTTTTCCAACGTACACAAACATTTACATACGAAACGTTGACATGAATGAATTGTTTGAACATGATACTTAACATAAATTGCTTCCTAATAAAACGGTCTTAAATATTTGTTTTTAGAATTGTTTTTCATCTTCAGATTTTTTTTAGGTCAAACAACTTATTATTGTCATTTTGCCCTAGTTTCGTGACTATATATGACTATCGCGTTTATATTCCATTTCATTTCTTTTTAAAAATAATTTTACATGATTTCATAGAATTTGTACTTCTAAGAATTTCTCTTTTTAAAAAACTACTACTTTTAATGCTTTTTTTAATGTACTAAGTGCGTAACTGCTGGTAATTTCTGCGAATTTGTTATGCTTATTTGCTAAGAGGAATATATCTGGGGCGATGTCTTTTAACTTTAATGAACTGTGGTTGTACTTTATTTTAAAACATATCAAATGACCCAATTTCTGAACAAACTGTCGTTGACGTGAAACATCATACTTATGAGGTACGAGAACACGACTTGTTAATGTTGTTTTGTGGGTGAACGAGTGCGTTGATAACGGATGTTAAAAGTTTCGTCGATATCTGGATCGATATCATGTTCAGTCTCGATGGATTGACTATATGTTGTTATCCAAACATTTTTTAAATAAAAAATGTGTATAACAATCATAAAATAATTTTTAAAAATAATTTTAACACTCAGAAGAAAATCAGCATTTCTGACCTTTTTTTAATGAGATGGAATATATCGAGTTATCGAACAGTACTCAAGCTCAAAAGTCATTTTAAACAATACAAATCAGGAGCAAAGCAAGCATGAACATCTAAAACAAAAAGAGGCGGGATCAGGTGCCACGAGGTAGTTAGCATCCCCTGTCAACCGGTCAATCGCAACGGGTTAATAAAATTAGCAAATGAAATGCATATTTTTTTATTTATATAAATGAAGATATTCTGGACTTACCCTCAAACTGTTTGTCGGTAAGGTCACTGGGTATGACGACTGTCTCGTGTGGTGTTATCTGACTCGTCCGCCTGGCCATCGCTCCTTACTGATATCAATATTCTCATAGATCTTCTCGTCTTGTAGAATTCCAAGAAATAGCACAGATAAATCAGGAACGTGTTAATCAGTCTGAAAATCGTTTCTTTTTTCAATTCAAGTCAGTTATCCTGAATCGGGTGACTACATTTCTTTCAAGGTGATGGATACTCATCAAAGTCGTTCACGAACGATCTAGAAATGGCAAACAAATCTTAGATATTTTTCTACGTTCTTCAATCATTATTGGGAATTTCAATATCTTCACGCTATATCGGCAATTTTTTTATGTTCTGACTTTTTTAAACGTTAGCTAGCCCTCCGGTGTTCTAGAGTATCGATTTATCAATTAGGACTATTTTTGGAAAATTCTTGATCTATGTCAATTTTATCGAACAAAACAGATCCTCGATTGATTATTTTTATTGAAGCTATTGTTTTTAACATTATTTCAAACCTATAAATAAAGACCTTTTATATAAATAAAGGCATAAATAAAAATACATGTCTTTAAAAATGCGGAAAAATACTAAATTTTGACTGAGTCAAATCTGTGGCATTTGTTTTTGAATAAAAAGTAAATTTTGACAGTTCTTTTTCATTGTATCTTTGTCAATAAGATCATTTTTTTAAAAAATAATTTCTGCTTACCTAACCCTGTTATATCACTATAAATATTTATATCAGATAAAATCACAAATGTCGTTCGAACTTTGAATTTTGATTGTCGCACTCTTTTGTCTATTTTTTTCTGAATGTCGGGCTACAATTATTTTGTTAGGGTCGGGCATATAATTAAATAGTTCCCATATAACCAGCTTAATTTAAAACTCTTTAAGAGATTATTAATGTAGGATTTTGTTTAGTAATGTGTTAATATTTGTTAGCGAGATAACAGTGCGTAATAAATCCTTTAATTTTTGAGTATCACATAATATTTACAGAACTCTATTATAATCGTGGTTTAAAAAGTTTTAATTTAGGTATTGTCTTCATAAGGAAGATGCAGTTTACATTTGTAGTGCAGTTGTGTAGAGATAAACTGAACATCACTGCCTTTCATTTCCCTAATTAAAACAGTTTAAAACCGAAACTTTTAAAGTATGTTTTAATAGCGTGTATTTTTACACATTCCAGTAGTCATTAATGAATTTTAACATTTGCTTCGAAACATACATTTTTTTTATTTTCTACATGGTAAAATTTAACACTGGCTGATTTTTCAAAAGTCGAGATTTTATACATTGTGTGAGCCATAAAACAAATTGAATTAATTAATTCATATTATGATTTTAAAAATGATTTAAGATAAAAATTGAAAGAAGTATACTCACACCTCCATGGCACTTGATCCCACCTCTGATGTTTTGGAGGTCCGTGTTTGCTCTGCTCCTAATTTGTATTGATAAAAGGACTTTTGAGCATGACTATTGTTCTTTATCTCCATATCGTGTGTTAACATTTGAACATTTTCAGCTGCTTATGTCTTCGACGTTTTATCATTTATTTATAGAATTCATTTTCATATTTTTTGCACTAGGATTTAATATATCCTTTCAAACATGAATTAAAGGACACCACAAATACACTAGCTTTCTATTAGGATTTTTCACTAGGAAAGGACAAAGGGACAAAAGTGACAACCTAACAACAAACCTTTTATAAAAAACGTGATGACTTCAACTTCCCATGTTTTTGTTGCAATATACATGTAGCACTATCACCTGCTTTAGGAATTTAGGCTTCCCAGTTGATTCGATTCTTCCTATAAAGTATGTGTATTCTATTCTATTTGTATGAAATATATGGAGATATTTCGAATTGAAGATCCAAACAAGAAACTTGTATATAGAGTTTTATTTTTTGAAGAAAAAAAATCGCATTATAAAAAGTAAAAAATAAAAATAACTTATACAGTGTATTCAACAGTAAGTAGATATCGCTGGACAAATAAGTCAAAATGGACTTCCCTGATGTGATCTTGGAGAATTAGCAATGTTCTAGTAAAACCCATACCCTACCAATTCTTATCTACAGATATTATCACGAAATTAAATAATCCCAGAAGTAACAGACTAGACTGAGCGTCAACTAGTCTGGACTTAAAGTGTGAAAAAATTATGAGGAATTTAGATTACGCCATGTTAGTTTAAAAACGCAGAGAGAGGTTCAATTGCTGGTGAATATTTCAAGCAGACCTACTGACATAATTAAAAAATATAACTTTTGAAAAAAAATTGATATTGAAACAAAATTTTTATCATATATTTGAATTTAAATGTTATATAAAATTGCAAATTTTTAAGCAAGTACATGAAAGAAAACTCAAAATATTAAAAATCAAAATTTTGACCCTATTCTCAGATTTAAATCTGATTCATAAGAATTAAATCATTTTATCATTTTGCTCAGCATTTACTTTGAGAGGTGCAATGATAATGGCCTTTTCATTAAGAACTTTACATTTCTCTAAGGTTTTTTAGCACCCATTTTATCAATACCCACGATTACTTAAAGTCAAGGCTTTTCGATATCATTGACAGCTGCTTTTCAATAAAAATGGAACATCGTAAATACTTATTTTCTCATAATTGATCAGTGGTCATTTACAAATTTAAATTATTTTGTACACAGAAGTACTCTGAAGTTTATAATAAAAATATGCTTAAGTTTCTGATTGACAATTTCTATGTGGTTTTGAGACCATGTCTTCTACAATCTATTGGAATGCCCATCGGTACCAGTTGCGCCCTGTTATTAGCAGACGCATCTTTGTAATTGTGCGAAGCAGAATTTGTCAAATATCTTACACATAAAAAGAAGAAAACACTTACTGTGGCCTTAAACTCAACATTAGATTATATTGACGATGTATTGTCAAGTAACAATGGTTATTTCCATTCTTATGTCAATACGATATATCCCGGTGAGCTTGAAATAAAAGATACCACAGACCCTGACACATCCGTTTCATATTGAGATATATTACTTCAAAAACTGGTTATCTAACAACCAAGATTTATGTAATGAGTGAAACATATGGAAATAATGAACAATATTCAAAAGTCCAATAAACAATACAAAATAGGAGGAGAACAAACTCCGAAACATAAGATGTGGAATCAGGTGCCATGGAGGAGTTTGATAATTGATTTATGATATTGACCATTATGTAGTTTTATCTTAACCATTTATACTGGTGTCACACCCGCCCTTTTGTGTGCAAATTTTTTTACTTTAACTTTCATCAAATACTATCCATAAAATAACTTTTTAGGAAAACGTCAATTCCGTGTTTACATAACAGACTTACCTGTTCCATATCGAGGACTCACAAAGGGTTTTACTGGTTTACAGTGGTGTTTGGTGCTTCTTGACTTTTCCCCATAAAAAGTGCTTCCAATATGATTTGTGGTGTGCAATGGTAACTTGAATAATTGATTTATAATATTGACCATTATGTAGTTTTATGTTAACCATTCACATTTTTTGGCCTTGGTCAAGATTCATTAGTTTTGAAATGAGTACTCAGAATGAATATTTTGAACAAATTACAATAACATTAAATGAAATTAAATATTTTAAGTAAAAGTCCCTCTGAAAGGGATAAAAAAAACTTTCAAAATATTATTTTTTGATATATATTATCTTTTTCTCTTCAAGTGTTATGTAAACAATAGTTACATGTATGCTCATTAATATGTCATTCCGATATATCCAAGTGAACTTGAATGAAAAGGATAAAAATCTATAATCGGTATAATTATGTAAAGAGGGAAAAACACGGATCCCTGAAAATTCCGATGGTTGGATAAGTTGCCCAGGAGGAGTGGGCCACCGAGAGCCCTATGTATTGATCAGGTAGGCAAAACTTTCCATAGTCTAAAAAAAAAGTAAATAATGTATTTCCATTGCTAATTTTTTTCTCTATGATAACTCTTTGAAAGTTAGCAGTTTATTTCCTGCCGGACCAAGAGCCAATGCATTGAACTTTCCGTAGTTTAAAAAAAGATTAAATAATATCCCTTGTCTTAGAGCCAAACGTTCAGGTGAATCTTTCGGATAGAAATCAGTCGCTACATGTTGTTGTTTTCATCGTAAACCTTTTCTCTTTTCTATTAGGATGGGATTATAATAGGCTAACAAATAATTTACTTAAAAAATATCTATGATACTAAAAATCTTTAACAATAAAAGTCATCATCGTTAAGAATAGCAAATACTTGATGTCATGTTTATATGGCAGCGTTATCAGATAGTTTTGATTCAAACACGTTCGTTTTATGACCACCTGGGGTAGCAAGCGCCACATTTGGCGAGTTTGACATTAATGTACATAAATAATCTTGATTATTTTTTCAAGAACAGCAATGTCATTACTATTCAGTCTGTCTTCGGGTTAGGCTGGGACTAAATAAGCGATCAATTTGATATGGAAAAAACTTCTTCTTATGGACAGCAAACCTATGGTTAGTCAGCTTTACAAGCATGCATCATACTCCAGTTAGTTTAGATTCAAGTTTACTTAAATCATAACCCCTTGGAAAAGGTTGAGCTAGAAAATGTGATGTTTTGCATTACAGGAATATATTTGAGAAACAGTAGATAGGGCGATAGTGTCCACAAAGAGCCTAGCTGTACATGTATATCGTTCCTTTTCAGTTGCAGAAGTAGGAATGGCCGTGTTTATTCTTGATAAGAAAGAGGGCTATTCATCAATGAGAACATATGTATTTATCCTCACACGGTTTGATTCTAATAGTCACAAACATATCGAAGCATTGCAATAGCAGTATTTGTTGCTAATTTTACAATGCATTCTGAAAATAATCTTTAAAATAATATATTTGATGTGTAAGTGTTTCTGTTTTGATTTAAGCTGATTACAGATCAGATTTCGATAAGGCACAATTTAATATGACCTCTATACAATCAGAAACAGTAATCCACAAAATATCTAAGAAGGTTAAGAGCCCTCGTTGACATCTCTTTTGTTTGCAAATCAAAACATTAACATTCACCTGTTATATATATAATCTAAAAGAAAAGTGAAAATCAAGTTATAAGAAGGTATAAAAATGTTCATTTTCCTTTTTTGCACAATTTCATCAATTAACATTTTATGCTATAAATCATATTTACTTAAAATACCACAGAGTGCAGGTTGGCCTCTCTGAAATTCATCTTCTATACATGTATATATGACAAAATTGTAGAACATGTCATTAAAACAGCTTGCTATCTGGATGGTTAAAGATGTATCGAGGTCAGTGGTTAACTAGTACACTAATCCTGTAAATCCTTAGGCAGGACTCTCGGACTCCACTTTGCATTAGGAAACAAAGGGAGTTGTGTAACGTTTATAGCTGCTTATCACGCTTTTGTGGAACTTAATCATATAATCCTTCTGAGCACTTTAAAATGACATAGTTTGTACATGTACTAATTGGGTTACAAATTCTAGTTTTTTATTCGGAAACATTGAGTATGAAACTAAGTCTTGATAAAAAAATGTTTCAAATGACCATTTTGCCATAAGTACAATTGATGTCCACATAAGGAAAGCTCTTGACATTCTACTTTTTGTGATTTTCTTGTGCCATTATTAATTATCATATGCGGGGAATTTTCTGGTAGAAAGAATTGGTAGTTTAGGCGGCTCTGAAAAGACTCACAGATTCTATTTAGAGAATTTAAATCTTATTCAAGCGTTATTGAGATGTAAAGCCCATTTTTCCATCGATAATTGATTAATCAAACTTCACCATTCAGCCTTGGAAAAGCATTATCCAGTGCTGCAATACGTCCATTCATAGGGTTTTAGAATACTTTGGTACATAGAGATGAATTCACAAAGTCTTCATATGAAAGTAAAAGAATGATATTTAATGCTGATTAATCCCTCAATATAAGAGTATATTGTTATTTAAATGTGAATTTTTTACTGTTTGATACTTAATAATAAAAGTCTTTAATTTGAAATAATAACTTATTTCCCTTGAAAGAATAGTTTATATTAATTGTTATTTACCTGTAAATAGTACCTATTTATTCGCCTTACCTGTGAAGTTTATAAAACCCTGATTGCTTGTGTCAATTTCTTTGAATAAAGATTCGATGTCTGTTGCAGAAAAAGAGTCGTTGTGTTTCAAAACTAATGCCATTTCCTCTAGTGAAATCTTCTCGTCACCATTAGTGTCAAACACTTTAAATGCAGCTATCATCCTCTCTCTTTCAATGTCTATAGATACATAGTTAGTTTTCATGACGTTAACGTACTCCTCTCTGCTTATGAAGCCGTCCTCTGTGTTAGGAATGCAACTCATAAATTTGATATTATCAACAAATACTTACAATTAGTTAAGACTTTTAAAATGAATTACCAAACATATGTATTAACATTAAACTTGTGAATAAAAATGAGAATAAACAAATGTTTAACAAATATTGATTTATGTAAAAAAAAAAAAAAGTTAATTCGTCAACCTAGTAGACATTAGTTAGAATCAAACTAAAAGTGTTCAGAGGAATGATGACCTTAGAAATGATGTTCCTACAATAAAAAATAAAGTGCTTTACCATAACTAGACTATGCATTGTAAAGAAAAATGGTTTTTATGTACATATAGTCGTTATTGTTGAACGTGGTAGATAAAGTTTTCAGATATTTCTTTTCGGGTTGATTTTACTCACGATTACTATCGGCTTCCGTCCACCATGCCTCTAGCTCTCTTTTTGTTGGATTTAATCCAATCAGAAACGCCGCATCCCTTAACTCCTTCTTAGAAATCCTTCCATCTTCGTTTGAGTCAATGATTTGAAAAGTATTCATTATTTCTAAAAGATTGAATGAAGGCAATCGAAAAAGTTAGCATGGTTACTGAAAAAGTATAATTGTTAGGTATTATTCCTTTAGAAAACTTTTATGTATAAAGAATATCAACGTTATATCTTTTGAAAAGTATAGGGTATTTTGAATCATTGATCTTGACTGTCTTTTGATCAATTATAGCACAAGTAAATAATTAATATTTAATATATGTACATCAAATGCCAAAAAACCTTCTTTTTTTGTAAAATACTATCCAAAGGAGAAAACTGCTTTAATTTTCCTGATTTCTTATTATCATGATTATAATAATTATATGATTTATATTGATATTCTATTCTTAAGTATTTATTTATTTATCGCATACATGATGGTGAAAACATTTCAATTATTGAAATTTGTTTTGTTTTTTTAATAACTTACAATTAAATGGAAAAGATGTTTTTGAAACATGTCGAAATTATTCAGTCAATTTTTTTTTTTTATAACGCACTATTGAAAAAAAAAATGTTCATCAGCATAAAAGGACATGTATATATGGATATTATACATCACCTTGAAAGTTTTCTTCAGATAAGTCCTTTGGTTTTTTCGGTTTTTTTAGACAAGCGGAAAGTGATTCTTTTCTTCTCGGTTTCCTAGCAGGGCGAATGATTCCTACCAAGTCTGTGCTCGATGCTTGATTCTGCATGGTGCACATTTGTTCCTCTCCAGTTAATGTTAAAGATCGATAACTGTTTGGTAGTAAGAGTTTTTTCCTTTAAACTATCTTATCCAGGTCCACTTGATGTTTTAACCAATTTATATATGTGTATGGCTATTATATCGCCTAATTTTGATGGGATAATATGTATATTCAATGTTTAATGAAGTAAAAATATAAAACCGAAAGGATAGTGTATCAGTTATAAGAGGAAAGCTCTTAATAAGGGTATTTAAACTATGATTCTTTCAAAACAAAAACCTGACAAACACGACAGACTAAGTGGCGCAAGTGAAATTAGACTTCGGTCACCCTAATGGCCATGAGTGATATTATTCGGTCCCTGACAGATTAATTAATCTTAAGATTAAATGACTAAACCACTTCTGTAAATGCTGTTATACGCAGGCTTTAGCCTAATTCATTCTGACTTAAAAACCGCACTTAATGGATAATTTCTTTTATTATTAATGATTTTATAACCGGGTGTTAAGCTTTTCATAGACCTTTAAAAGCAATTTATATTTTCAAATGATAAATAGATATTACGTACATTACATAATTTGTTTATCTCTGTGCATATTTGCAAGATATTAATTATCATTACCTTTTCAAATTTTGTAAGAAACTTTTTGAATTATCAAGTGTATGATTGAATTCAGTAAAATAAACAACATAAGAATCGCGTTTAATTTCAAAGATTATTTTTTTCCACCGAAAAATATTATTAATCCAATCAAATATTTTATTTGGACGTGAATAAACGCGATAACCTTTATTCAACTGAGAGTGAATGCCATGAGACACCTTCCCCCACCAAGTTAATGTCTAGAGTATTTAATAAATTAATATACGTTTTAATATGACTTAAAAATAGAAATAAAATGATTTTTGGATTTATTTCCCTCTAATACCACGCCCTCATATGAATTTAACTTAAATTCATTATTTATTTTCTTAAATTACTTCATTTTAAGTTTTAAAAATTAAACTTAATTTTGAAAAATATATCTTATGATTTTTAATATCAAAAAACATTTTGTATAACATGTATTGTTAGTTTTACATTTTCATAAGGCATTTTAGCTAGTGAATTTTTACTTTTGGTTTGTGATTATATTGGTGGCACTAGCTCTTGGGCTAATAAGTAGATAAATTTTAATGGCACACTTTTATTTAAGCCAATGGAAAGATCTTTACAAACCTACATCACCCGACACTTGACATCCTCGCAATGCCAATGTTCCTGAGTCAATATGTTGCCGTAGGACCCCCGGCAAATTTTATTTAATAAGTCGTGGGCTGACTGAAGCGACGCCTTTGGGGGAAAAATACAAATCTACTTTGATTTCTTATCCTACAAATCCATTTAGCCATTTTAATATAATCAACTTGTAATACGTGCATTTAAGGTGTGAACTGAATCCTTTCTGTTTACTTTACCTCACCATTATAAAAGCTTTAATTTCTTTGGTGCTTTTCATGAAAGCAGCAAGACCTACATAAATTTTTCAGGGGTCCAATGGCAACGTGTGGACTAAGGACCCCTTACTATGCCAGGGTGCATACATGAAGACGCGAGAAAAGAAAAAAAAACAAATTAACAGAAATCGATTAAAAGTGCTCTCGATGGAAACGAAAACAATCGGGGTTTTTTTCTCATTTTAATTGGTGATGATGAAAAGATGAGACTTCAACAAATGAAAAGAAAATTTCATTTTTGATAACACATGAAATAAAATTCAGAATTGTCTTTCTTTAACATCGAATATCCTCTCCACAATTCTTCGGTGAACAAATGCAAAATCTTCACTGAAAAATCGATGTGCATAGCTTTGAATCGACAAAATCTGAAAAAAGAAAAATGATATTGAAATTTTGATATGAATAAGTAATTTTGCATTGTTGATGCTTAAAACCAATACTATTACAGAAGTTTAATACAAAGTAGTTAAATCTATCGCATTATACCTTTGTAGACAATGAAACCTTTTCTTGAAGTATCTGCTTCTGTGAACATTTTGTCCGCTTCCTCTTTTGAGATAGAACTATTGTTACAGGTTAATATATGAATAAAGTCCACCCTGTGTATTAGCCCGTCTCCGTTCCTGTCTAGAACTCGGAATGCCGCCTTAAGTCTTTCTTTTTCTATGTCTAACGTGCTATAGTTGGATTTCATCACGGCTACATACTCATTGACGTCAATAAAACCATCCTCTATTGTAAAATATGTTTTAAAAGGTTAATTTGTATGGAAGAAGAGTACACCAACCATAATAGTGAATACAATGTATAGTTAGGATAAAGGTTCTGAGCAATTTGTGCTGAGAGAGAGAGAGAGAAAGAAGATAAAATAATTAAGCTTTAAAATGTGTTGGGATAATGTTTTGGAGCAGTGAGCTGCTAACATGAACTTCCAAAACTTTCAGTTGTAGCATGAGGTGCCATGAAGCATAAAACATCCCCTTTTGACATTTCTTGTATTAAAAAATTAATGAAATTTTCATAGAATCAAGAGGACAATATCACTAAGTGATTGTATCAGTGAGAATAAATTTGACCGATTATTATTAGAGGCAAAGTCATGTCAAGGTCAATACCTTTTTCCTGGAAATTAAGAATAAGAAATTACTGTTTCAAATCATGCTATCCCTACTTGTAATTCAAAAGATTTAATGTTTTTCTTTTTGCATAAAAAGATACTACCATATAGGGCCTATAAGATGATATTACCAAATTGACATGCATGGATAATTTACATAAAATGGATATTTGCTAATCCGAATTTCCTCTACTTTTCTTAAATTTTTAGGATTTATTAGTTATTTTTATATGCTTAATATATTTAACTTTTTCCAATTTTCACATATAGTAAAGTTGTCACATAAAGGTACAAAATGATACAAAAACTAAAAGTTTTGAGTTTACAGAATAATAACACTTTTTACGGATTTTTGCTCACTTTATTTGAAGCATTTAAAAGCCACATAGTTATAGTATGTGTGAAAAATCTTATTTATTTGATATATTTTTAAAAATTTAGTCCCTTATTATTAATTTAACTTACATTTGGAATTTTGTCTAGTATTTGATTGCGTAAAAATAACTAAATTCAATTTTCTATAATAATTTTGAGAGGCAGAAAAGAAGATATTTTCATACGCCACCATTCCGCCAAAAATGTAGTCCATGATAGTTTTCAAACGTTGACCATTTCTATTTAAAGTTGTATAATTGTATGATTGGTCTTTTAAAAATTCTTACATCTAAAAATACAAGACATATCAACAAATGTACTTTGAATATTCCATCTAGTCAGAAACCAGAGAAGAATCCTACCTTAATGCTCAGTTTGTAGTTCTTTTCTCATTTATATCTTTTTGGGTAAGAAAACGAAATAAGAAACAAATATGCAATTTTAAATTGTACAAAATTTAAATATATGTAGTCAAGCGGGTTGATACGTTTTTGACGTATCTTACTGTGATGTAGTCAACAGAGAATATATATAAAAAACTAGTTTTTCAGGTAATCAAAATGTGCATTTCAATTAGATTTAAATAATTCCGTTTTGTATGAATACAAAAATAAGTCGTCTAACGATAAATATTTTTTCAATTGAAACTCAAATAGATTGTTGGAAATATTATCTAAAAATACTTAGATACTGTCAATACTCCAATGCTTCTTCATTACTACTCACGATTGGTGTCTGCAATCTTCCACCACGCCTTGATATCTCTATCAGTGGGGTTCATCCCAATCAGAAAGGCGGCGTCTTTTAGCTCTAGTTTGGAGATTCTTCCGTCCTTATTAGCATCAATAAGGGTGAATGTGTATAAAATGTCTGGAAAAAAATACATCAGTTATATAATTCTTTAATGAATTCCATTTAAGCTAAATAAAATTTGGAAGAAAAAAATGTATCATAGCATTTTCTAGATAGAAAATGACGAATATTTAAATCATTAAACTACATGGTTCCACAGCCAAAAAAATTGTTTTCTTCTGCTAAAGAGTATCATTTTGTTCTGTGTTGAGTATACACGTATCATAGTAAAATATTAATATAAAACTGTAGATATATCCAAACCAAATAAAAGAAATATATGACATACTTGCAAACTGTTCGTCTGATAACTCTTCGGGCTTTTTTACTTTTCGTGCGTAAGGAGTGGCACTTATTGTTAAACTTCTTCGTTGACTACGGTCGTTCTGTTCATCATCAGACATTTTACCATCCACCGAATTATCTTCTTATGTTAGAAAAGATTTTCCAATAGGATCTTCACTTCAAGTTTTTTTTCTCACAAATGTTCGAATCATAACAAAGATTCACATTTCCATTGTTTATCAAAATGATGCATTACAGATAGTTTTCCTAATATTTTCGGTCAGAAGTTTTGTACCTTGAGGTCAATTTTGAAATTAAAGATCAGGGAGACATATTTTCAACACTGAACAGACCTTACCCTCACGACTTAATCCTAATTAATACTTCTCTATATTTAACACGTTCGTAATGCTCACTTAGGGTTGAACAGGTGTCTTAAAGGAGTGAAGATTAAATAAATAAAGCATGTTTCTAAATTACCCCAAAAGAACTTTAATTTTTGGATATAAATGGTACACATATCAAAATAAATGGTACAAACTTTGTCAGAAATTTAACGATTAGCGAAGAAATATTAACTTCTGACTGCTTATTACATATTTTATTAGAAAACTGTAAGATATCAATCAAGCTCAATACTAGTATATTTTGGACATTGGTATGGTAGTTTTTCTATTTGAAATATATATTGATGGCTTCTTTTTTATGTTAACGCCATTTACGACTTCAGTTCCATTACGAATCATCATGTATGACGGAATAAAATGTCCAAAATATTACTGAGATTAAGAATTTCCACGAGAATGTAGAAATCCTACTAACACCAACTTATTTGACAGTAACCCTTCTTGATTTAGACATAGTTCTCACACAGCTAATTCTAACGCTTATAGAGTTGACTGGAATAAATTTTAGCGATATTTGTAGACAGACATGCCATTTTAAAATCTGTGTTACTTGTATGTAGGTTTTTTTTTTGCTAAACAACCTGCATTCCCAGCGATATACGTACATGTAAGCAGTAAACAATGTTTTAAGATGCTTCACCTTTGGTTTTATTTCAATACTTTTTTAAAATCGATGTCATAGAGAATGTATCCTTGTGATCACCTTCTACACAAGAAATACTGAAATCTGAATTAAAAAATTAAAAGATATGCATTTTAGAGGGGAACAATCACAACTTTAAAAAATACAGGCACTTTTTATACAATATTAATCTTTTTTCTTAGACTGAATGATGTAAAATGTATGGTTAGTAACAAATCACTGAATAAAAATATATTTAACAAATAGTTCCAAAGAGCTGCATGATTGAGTTTTTGCTTAAATTAAAATTACAATTTAATCAAGAGTTAAAATAAATCTCCATATTTCATTTGTTTGATATTGATGATAGTAGCAAAATCTGTTGTAAAATGCGGATTTGTATTCTGATATTTTTTGATGTAAGTAAAGAATGGTGAGAGCAAGTTCTTTTAATGAAAGGAATATATGATGCACAATAAATACTGAGTAACCAGAAAAAAATCGGGGATTTCACTAAGTTTATCAAAGAAAAGTTATGATATTGTCGATATATTAATTAGCCGTTTTCTACAGTCTTTGACACATCATACTGCACTACTTATTTGGAACAATTAATCAGTTAAAGGGATAAAGGGTTAATTTAGCAGTAAAGAGCTTGATGTTTGTCCTCCATAATTGAGGTCGTAAGTTCATTAAAGTGTTCTTTGTCACTTTTTAAATTAAAAAAAAGTCTCTCAAATTTTTCAGAGTTTATTATTTCATAAGTTATTGTTATGCTACATACGTGATACAATAATCAAAATTATATTTAAGATTGAAATTTACGATGAGTCATTTACACATACTTCTAAACATATCATGATACATATATACATTTCCCATATGTTCATTTTTGAAATGTAATTTATATATAGAATATCTTGAATAGCATGAAGTTATATACAAATTACAGTTTCGTTTATCTTATTATTATTTTTCTGTATACTCTTCATATCATCTTATCATCAAACTCAGTCTAGGAAACGTGTTTCTTAAAAGAGAACATCATACATGTGGTTTGAAATAAAATCTGAAAAAAAAGAAATACGCGTATGTTTAATATTAAGATCTTAATAACAAAATATTAATAAAGTAGAGGAATATCATCTAAAAAATAATACCACACATAATGCAGATTGCACAATTAATAAAATTAACGTCTGAAGACACCCCCGCCCCAGATCATTGTTTTTTTATTTCCTGATGATATACGAAAATGATTATCAAATATCATTATCTTGTTATCTTGCAGACTCAGAGAAATGCTCAGTCCTTCAGGGCACCTGATCCCACCTCTGATGTTTAAGAGATCCATATTTGCTCTGTTCCTGACATGTATTGTCAAATGAACTTTAAATCTGAATACTGTTCGTTACCTCAATATAATTCAATCTTAACTTTTTACTAAATGCACAAAATTACATAAACAAGCCCGTTGTAAATTATCCCATGTTTCCCATTTGTTGATGTCCCTGACATACCCTCCTAACTAGACAGTATGTTTATATTTGCCATTTCATTGTGAAATAAAAGTGTAGACTTAGACATTAAGAATGTAGACTAATCGATTTAAATTACACGAGGACTTCCATGCCAATTTCAATAGTCCTCGCCAACCGACGTCAAACACAAAGGCAGCCGCACGAGATTTACATATATTTGGCCTTTTAAAGACACAAACAATGCAAAAAAATTATTAGTCCTTAGCTCCCAAGTCTATCGACCTCCCTAATTTACATTTTTTTATCAAGAAATAAACTACCCCTAACTTTCAGAGAGAGAGAGAGAGAAAAAAATTAGAAATGGAAATATTTTAATCTAAACTCTTTACTAAATGCACAAAATTACATAAACATTGTAATATTATAAATTGAATTTATATATTATACCATAAAAGCCCCTCTGGATTCTTGTCATATGTTTGGTAATGCACCTCAGATCTTTGCGAATAAGCTTGTTAAAGAAGCCAAAACGATTTTAAAAATAATTTATTATTGAGTAACATATTGTTGACCTTAGAATAAAAAAAATAAATAGGGAGCAATGTACTCAAGTCTTTGCAAATATATTTGTAAGCTTTTAAAAGGAACAAAGAAATAAAAAAAAATAGTTATTAAGTAACAAGTCGTCGACCTAAAGTTAGTTTTTTAATAAGAGAGAGAGAGAGAGAATTAAGATCTTGAGAAGTTATGTTTTACCATTATAATTGATATATCCTTTTCCATCGGAGTCCACTTCCTGGAATAACTTATCGGCTTCCTCCTGTGTGAACACATTATTGAACAACATGACTGTTCGGAACTCCTCTAGGGAGATTTTACCATCCCCGTTCTTATCTATCACTCTGAATGCTGTCTTCATTCTCTCTTGCTCAATGTCCACAGTCACATAGTTATCCGACATGATGTTGATGTACTCTTCCAAACTGATTAAACCATCACCTGAAGTAAAGTCAATTTTTAGTCTGAACAACGATCATGCAATTGAAGACTGCTGGACACATACTTATACCTTCTCAGAAATGACTACACGCTTTGACCTCTTGGTCTTAAACGCAGACGTAGTTGATTTGAAAGAAATTATATATGATGCAAATATGATTATTCGATCCAAACCAATAGAACCAAATTATTACTTACAAATATTTAAATCTCGAGGAAGGAAAATACAAAAAAAAACTTCTTGGCCATACACAACATACTTGTTCACAAACTCTGTACCTTTTTCACTGACATATCTATTTCAAAATCAAAGTCCCACAAGATGTTGTTACAAAAAATCAGCATACAATACCAGGAGTTTTTGCTGGAGATAATTTTTTTTTAAAAATTAAAAGAAAAATTAATATAAATATAGTTTAGCTGAGTTTTCGTATAAATTTGATGTACAGGATTCATACAGTTCTCCCAAGCATCATAAAATCGCAAAAAGTTCCTTCAGTTATTGAAACTTTTAAATCAAACAGGGAAAAAAAAATAATTCAAGTTCAAAACAATGTTGTGTTTGTGTTTGTTCTAAAAGCAGAAGTCAGAATCTTTGATACAGAAAAGCTAAGAGTATCCGAGCTCTTTATCAGACTAAACAAACTGTTACACGTGCTATACAAACTTTACACCCAAGAAATTTCTACAATTATTTGTGGAAGCAGGCATTATCTATATCAGAGTCAGGACTAGTACCGTTAGTATCGGCCGCTATAAACCAGTCCTCTAGTTCCTTATCGGTAGGGTTCATCCCGGCCACTCTGGCTGCATCCCTCATCTCGGCCCTCGACAGACTGCCATCTTTGTTTGTGTCAATCACATCAAAGGATGTCAATATTTCTAGTCAAAGATTAATAAGAAAGGTGTCACCATAATCAGTAAAAATATCGATAGTAGGAGTCCTTTAGTGATGCTTACAGAATTATTTCTTACATTCTAACAATAGCAAGATCAAGAAATAACAAAAAACATGGCTGACACCAAAACATGGCTCACCTTTGAAGTCCGTCTCTGACATTCCCTCGGGAATTTTTACCTTCTTGGACATTTTCTTTCTTCTGCTGCTCATAATCACACACTGTTATGTCCAGTTACTCAATTAATTATCGGTTTAAGCGCAGCTATCTACACGTTGTCGCCTGAACAAGGTAAATCTAGCCTCGATTGAATCCCTCTCTGAATAATTGAATTTCACTATCCTAATTCAGATACTTTTTCTTGAATTACATAACCCGTATATTATCATTACTTTCAGTCAACACCTGTTCAAGAAGGTTTCTTGCAATTTAATAAGTTCTTTTGTTACATGATTTGATAACATTTGGCGAATTTAAACATTACCTCTGTATGAAAAACATAAACTAATTAAAAGACAATATGTAGCGTATTAAGTTTTGGAAGTACTCAAGTAGCATGTCGAAGTTAAGAGGCTTATAGTATCTGCATTATAGGTATCATATAGGGGACAAATGGAGCGGTTATACACAGATTTCACTTGCACAAAGACAAAAGGGTGTCCCTAACCTATGAGTGCAGTATACACAGGTTCTAGGACACTTCAGGTCACAAATAACTTGAATCTGGAACAACTTTGAATCGCTTCGTGCAACCGATTACATCTATGTCAAATTTTAAGAGTAATTAAGAATGAGCATATCGATTTTGCATTACATCTTCATCAAAGACTCTAGTATCATCTTATAATTCATGCAATTTATATACGGAATTTTCATATTTTTTCTCCATTTATAAAAAGCAACCAGCTCTGCATCTTTCCAACAAAATGAGCTCATGCATTGACTTGTTTAAAATGTCCAATCGTTTGTGTCATAGAGCAATATTACAATATTGAAGATATAACCTTTGAAAAAAATTATGCATTCCGTTTTTGCAAATAAAGAGTTTAAATTCATTTCGTCACAACAATCGTTTTAATTACATTTTCTCTACATACTACATTATACAAAGCAAAAATACAAATAAAAAAACATTAGTGTAAAATAATATTACATTATTATTCTACCTACAAATTATGTACATCTTTATGGATATTTTGTCCGTATGCATTACCCTCACTGCTGATATTCCAAGTAAGCAGGTGGATATAGAATATCCCGTACTAGTTATGCATATTATAGTTCACTTTGTCTTTGGTAAGTTCTTGACACTTATTATTGACACTAATTATCATTGATAATAGAATTGATTCGTAGAATCGCCCATATGTATATGATGACATCACTGGAAGACGACTGAGCAAATATGGCTGTCGATAAAATCTAAAACATATTTATTAAAATAGTTAAAACTACAAACAGGGTTCCATACATAAGTCATTCGATTTTTAAAAGTGATATGCTATTCTGAATAATTTTGACTTTGCTCTTGATTCTTTTTTATCATAAATCATACAAAGACAATTGAGTGCTTACATTTGAAAATCACAAGAGCCACATTTGTGTCAGTGGACGTCTTAGTATTTATTGCCATTAAGTCATATCACCTACTAGTTTTTGCTTTAACTATTACTGCTTGTCTGCAATCACAGTAGTGCCTTCATTAAATTCATTATAATGAATATCTGCGCTAATTTTGCCTTTAAGGTTGATTTATACAACTGTACTATATGAATGAAACATATGTAATTAAAATATTGAAATAAAAGTCTTGTAAAACAATATAAAAATATATATGATCAAAGAACCTCCAAAACATCAGAGGTGCATGGATCAGGTGGCATGGCATCTTCGCTAGCCAAGGGTTTCTGATACGTAAATCTCTCCTCATAAACCCTTGGCCTGCGGTGTTCATAGAAATTGGGATTTTTTTCCAGAATTCTGATTGGATCTTCAGTAAAGTTTTGAACTCTTGCAATTGTTTTTTTAAATGACGATATTTGCGATGTGTACATCTTCACTCTTTAATCTGGAAATGAAATAAAAGTTAATTAGACAAGATAACATTCAATTCTATGAATAGCCAGGTGTCATCCAATATCTTTCTAAATATGTGATTAAGAATCCTATATTGAAGCTTCATATTTGTTCTATAAATAATGAATAAAGATAACTCAATTATTTCTTCTTAATTGTTCTAGAAAAAACTTTGATTTAATTTTTTTTTAACACGTGTCTTTATTTCTGTCGATGCTGTAAATCTGTGCGTACCTGATAGACTTTTCGAGATCAGGTGACGGAAAACAATCCCGTCTTTTTACTTCACCGTATGCCAAGGGTTTTGGAGGAGAGGAGGTTTATCAGAAACCCTTGGCTAGCGAAGATGGTGGCATGGAGGAAAACATCCCCTGCTAGACCAAGGATTCACACCCGCCGTGTGCTCCTTGTCATGATCGGGAAATAACGGAAAAATACTTTAATTCAGTGTATAAATAATGGACTAACAATCAGTATGAAAACCGTCAGTCAGCATTTGATTCAATGATAAACTGTATTTGCTGACAAGGTCAACTGTTCACGACGATTAATTTTCGCAATCAAACTTTTTTGGATGAAGGATATGGAGTTTTAGAAATTGCATTCATACTCAAAGTCCATAAAACAATACAAAATTATTGCAGAGTATATAATCTCTGTATGCAGGTGATGAAGGTATATTGCTGCATAAGAAGGGAAGTTAACGATAGAAAAGTTAAACCCATCACGTTTGCTCCATTGTAATTAACTTTTGAAATAATTCTTTGAATAAATGTTTTTACTGTATACGTTAAGTAGTTCTAAAACCAATTGTTGATGTCGCTAAGAGAGTAACGAAAAACTCTGGATTAGCATTTGACTCTTTGATTAACACTTTCATTTTTGACATTTCTTTAAAACCTTTGAACGTTTGCAATGAAATTTTAAATCTTTACATAGTATGGATGTGTACATCAACTTCTTGTCAATAAATTATGAAATAAAAGTTGTTCATACGTAATTAACAACATGAGCACTACTTCTGTATATATACACTATTTTTGTAAAAATATAATTATATATTCCATTCTTAAACATCGGACAAATAGAGAGATAGAAAAGTTTTCACTTAAAAGTGCATCAAACATTTATCTATAGGGGATTTAACCAATGGAATTAACGGTTTTTTAAATTTACAAATACAACTGTTGAAACAGATGTTTCCACCTAGGTATATTTTTATTCTCTTTTGATACTTTTGGAGGATATATCGGTCAACAGAAGGGAATTAAATGACCATTGTTGTTAATAGACGCATACACTTAAAGGACCCGTTGGTGGCGAGAACCAATTCGAATACTAGTAATAGGTGATATCAACTACATGTATTTATATCAAATAGGTAGAATCCTTTATTCGGAAAGGTTATCAACTACATGTATTTATATAAATAGGTAAATTCCTTTATTAGAAAGGTTATATTACCTATTCGAACACGTAATATCTATATGAATGAGTGATACCACCTATTTGAATTAGTGAAACTACAAAATAGCAATAAATACCAAAACAACATCATACAAATGTGACAACAGAAACGATTTTATCAGTAAAATAGTAGTTTAAGCCTTTGACAAATTTATATCAATCCAACTTTACTTCTGTAATTGGCTTTCTTATCATGTTTATCCTGATAAAATAGTTTCTCTTGCTACATTGAAAGTACAATATGAACAAAACAAGATGTATTAGTGACACACAGATGCCACGTTTGGTCTATCATGCATGTACAAGGTTTAAATTTTCAAATGTAGATCAAATCAATGTAGGAAAAGGTAAAAACCTTAAATGTTGATCATGAATACACAAGTCCTATACAACCAATCAGTCTGTAAATGTAGTCGAGGTTAAATACGATGATGGTGCTCAAGAAAAATATAGATGTATGAAATTAAACACAAACGAAACAAAAAAATCCTCCAACTTCAAACTTTCAAAGATTTAAACCAGATTTTGGTATTTTGTTTGGCAATAGTATGACAAATTAAAAAGACTATTTCAAAGGGTAAAAAAATATTGGTGCCAAAGGAAAGTTCTGGCAACTATGAAACCCCTAGCATCAGCCACTCAAAAGTAATGGGCAAGGTATTTTTTTGAGGACAAAAAGATAAACAAGTTAACAGACAAAAAAACAGACAGAACAAAAACTATAAATTTTCGATTGTGGAGGAATAAAAAATTAACTATAGCGTTCTTTAGTACATATTCAATCCTTGAAATTATTGTGAAACTTTTTAGAGATTTTTATTTAAAGTCAGTTTTAAATTAACTACGATGAATTGCACACTAATATTAAATTAATTCATAATTTTTTAGTGAGTATAAACATAAATATAGTTCCCTTAATTGATGCTTTTATTAACTGTGTTAAAAACTTTGATACTATATAGTAAACTACTGGTAACTATATAGTAATTTTGTGTTAAGACAACTCCTACAAACGTTGTATTGTGTGGATCCTCTGAACTGCCACACATTGTAAATACATGCATCAGAACTCTGTATTAAACTTACCTGTGTAATCCAGATACCCTTTTCCTCCGGAATCCACCTCCTTAAAGAGTTCCTCTACTTTCTTTTTGGTCATCTCATTGTTGTTGAACATCATAACGGCCTGGAATTCACTGAGTGAGATCCTCCCGTCCCCGTTCTTGTCCAGGAGATTAAAAGCCGCCTTCATCCGCTCCTTCTCCATATCAATAGAGACATAATTTGCTGACATTATTTTGACATACTCCTCCAAAGATATAAATCCATCACCTGCAAACACAAAATTAGCATTTACAGAACATATCTGGAGAGGTGTTTGTTTTCGTAGTCTTTTAAGTGCTACTTTTATGTTCTTTATGTGTTTTGTTAGTTTGTTGTTTAAAGTCCCTCGCTAGAATTTTCACTCATATGGAGACACCACCATTTGATCTGAGGTCAGCAACGTCAAAAGGATCTATGAAGGAAAAATTGCCTCTAGCAAGTACTTTCAAATATACTAGAAGGTATGGAATTGAGTTGAGGATATAATTGTAAACTGACCGTCTACATCCGCCTTGGCCCACCACTCTTCGAGCTCTTTAGATGTGAAGCTATTTACATTTTGTGATATTCATTTCCTTTCTTGAGAGTCTGCCATCTTGGTTTGCGTGTTATGGTTTTTAACTCACTATTTCTGCAAAATAAAAAAAAAATGATGCATATAAGACTGACATGTAGAAAATTTACAATGTGTAATGTATGATACGTATGGAAAACGGGAAAAAATTAATATGTTTTTGAAAGTACCGAAGCTTCTTCATCTTAGCTCGAAGTCAAGGCTTGAGTTTCTTCACATAGAGTTAAAACATGATCGATACTCGAGAACATGCCCGAGAAGAATTTTGCAATTCTAAGTCATGACACACTAACCAACTGGAGATGCTCTCTCCTCTTAGTCACCTGATCGCATCCAGAATTTTTGGGCGTCCATGTTTATGCCCTGTTCACATGATTGTATATAGTCTGTACTTTCTATAAGATTGATCATTGTCCGTTATCTCCATCCTTTTTCATAGATATGTTAAAATGTAACAGGGATTCCAACAACCTCGTTTACAGCCAGCATTTTGTTGGTAGGGTCGCTATGTAATGACCTTATTTGAAAATATTACATTTAACCACAACACTTGTTCGCATTTTGGCTGACTTTTATGCTTTAATTTAGGCCTTAATAAATATATAAGTTGACTTAGATATCTTCCGTCCAACTGATATGTAGGGCTCACTTCGGGTATTACCGTCAACATGGGGCACTTAATCCCACTTCTGGAATTCCAATTTTTTAATGTTTTATGCCATCGTCATAGATTTTTTATAGACTTTTTTTTTAGATCGAGCATCTTTCGTTGTCTTTATCTTTTTTTACTTTTATTTCAATTCGAAAAAAGAAACTCACTAAATTCGTCATATAAAAAAATATGAGCTGCATTTTTGAAAATTTTATTTTGCTATTAAAATGTGTAATTATGATAAATTTGTATGTAACTTTAACCTTTATGACGAGGTAAATTATTGACAACAACATTACTTCTTAAGTTGTTCGATACAATGACCTTGTCAGCAAATACAATTATTCATTAGTAAAATGCTAACTGACGTTGTTCATACCAATTGTTAGTCCATTATTTATACACTGATTTGACGACGGATTTCTCCGTTATTTACCGGTCATGACCAGGAGCTCACCGCAGGTGTGTCCGGTCAGAAGGGGATGCTCACTCCTCCATGGCACCTGATCCCACCTGTGATGTTAAGGAGGTCTGTGTTTGCTCTGCTCTTATTTTGTATTGTTTTATGGATCTTATGTAGAAACAAGACTTCTATAACAATTCAATATACAGTGTTATATAAGAAATCATTATTTTATAGGACGATGATAATGTAATTTTGATTCAGTTGAAGCTTAAAAAGTTCTTCCATCGCAAATATGAATAACAGAAGTTTATTAACATTACTGTATGTTGAGAAATTTTCGTTGTCTTCACCTTTTTTAAATTTTAACGTTTAAATACATATCAAAATATAAAAGGGTGAATTTAAAACGTGGCGAGTCAAATAATTTCTTAAACAAAACAATTTGATAAAATTTAAAACGGGGCTAAATTGTTTGCAATATAATTGTACCTAAAAAAAAGATATGCACGGAATGGCGAAAATAACAATGTATACAGTATTTTTCTGTCATTGAAATAGTTATTTACAATTTTGCAACAAAAAATTCCAACATCAAAGTTGCAGCTCATATTGCTTTAAAACATCTCACAGATTTGGAGATATAGCAAACTTAAACAGATTACCAAGTGAACCGGGTTTATTTTGTACATATCGTGTATGTTTTTTTTTTTTTTTCTCTGCAATTTTGGCTTTAAAAATCAAAATATTAGACTGATATAGTTAAATATTTTACAGATATTGAGCTAGTTATTTTCGTTTTGCTATAAATTGTAGAAAAACGTCCAAAATGTGGTAAAATTTTGGACTGTAAAAAACAAAATATAAGACTGATATGGTTAAATATTTGACTGATGTTGAGTTGGTTATTGCACTGCCTTAACAGTTAAGTAAACTACAAAAAAAAAAAAAAAAATAAATATATTTGAAATTGACCTCATAAAAATATTTTATATTATATATTTAGATACTTTAAACCTTTAGATAACATGGATTTTAGACAATACCGATATAATTATGACTATGAATATTAAAAATTAACTAAATTTACTTTAAAATGTTTAGAGGGCTATAAAGGCTAAGACTGCCGCCAAATCCATTTATAATTTAGTACACATTATATGTTCAAATCATAAATTTGCTTAAAATGCTGACAAGCAGCTACCTTCAAAATGTTCCTCGGACATTTCCCGGGGTTTTTTCGGCTTCTTTAGGAAGGGGATGACAGATTCTTTTCTCCTCTCCCTTCTCCTGGGTCCGGTACCGTCTTTATTCTCCATGTCTCGACATTAATGTCTCGGAGGAGGGTTTGATCTTTGGAGTACTTTTGAGTTATGTGGCAATTTTTACAGAGTTATGATAATCTTCGGAGAAGGAAACAGGATTACAAAGTTTAGGAGTCAATTCAAGTGGAAGGGAGATTAAGATTTACAGCACTTAGAATAAGACTTGGTTATTTCAAAATAATGGTATTTGACGATTCGTGTGTGTTAAGTTCCCTTTATAGACCATAAGATTAATCTAATTGTAAACTTCAGAAACTAATTACAATTAGGACTGGTAAATAAGGGTAACTTGCCTTGGTTTCTCCTTAATCTTCTCTAACCCGCGTTACTTGTTTATTTTGTAAGTTAAGGCATAGATTATATCTTACATCTTTTTTATACTCGAACTGCATTTAGTCATAATAATTTTGATAACATATGAATCCTGTTTGTTTCACATCTTATTGATAGTTTTGTTGTTCTCTTTGTATTTGTGACGTGATTTTGTTTGGTAATGCGGCTAAATGTGGAACAAACACGATTTAGAATAAACTTTCAGTAAATAATGACCACATAATTAATAATAACATATGTCCATATATTAATATGTCACATACTATTTCTGGATAGTGTGTGTATCTCCCCTCCAAACAGTCTCACTGAGTGACAGAATAATATTTTTTCCTACTCTTAATATGAAGTTTTTAAGTGAAATATAATAATTATGAACAGTAATAAAGCTCTAAGGTCTATTCAAACTAGGGATGTCAACGAATATTCGAATATTCATTCGATGAGTTGATATTCGAATATAAATTTGTGATTCGAATATTCGGATTTTAAGTATACAAGCATCAAAACCCCCCAAAAAATCTGGCAAAAACTGAAGTTTTATCAGAAATTGAATCAAATCACTGGCGGATTTAAGAGGGGGGCGTGGGGGCGCACGCCCCCCCCTAAAATTTTCAAAGTATGATGTGACTAATATTTATAATGCCACATTTTGGTACAAAACTAACCAAATAACTGTTATTCTGCCTGGTTTTATTCTTAAAATACACAAAAATCCAGGAGCTTTCAGGGGCTGCGCCCCCTGGGCCCCCACCATTCAAAGTATGACATAACTAGTATTAAACACGTCGTACTTTGGTACATCACTAACTAATACCACTATTAGTAAGTTATAAGTAATTAAATCGTTTATTATATAGTGGCATGTGTTACAATAAAATGAAAATTGAGAAACATTCAATACATTTATTATTCAAAAATCCGGACCTATATGCTATAATATACTTTTAACAAAAATAATCGAAAAATATGCACTATTATTGTGCCTGGTTTTACTCTAAAATACACGAAAACCCAGGAGTTCGCCCCCTGGGCCCCCACCTATAAGCTATATACTTTTAACAAAAATAATTGAAAAATATGCACTTGTTAATATGTGCCTGGTTTTACTCTAAAAAACATGAAAACCCAGGAGCTTCTGGGGGCTTCGCCCCCTGGGCCCCACCTATATGCTATATACTTTTAACAAAAATAATTGAAAAATATGCACTATTATTGTGCCTGGTTTTACTCTAAAATACACGAAAACCCAGGAGCTTTTCGCCCCCTGGGCCCCCACTGGACCCACTGGGGGCCTATTAGGCGGCCCCCAGACCCCTTGCCTCAACAAAGTTATCCACGCCCCCCCCCCAACCACAAATCCTGTATCCGCCCCTGCAAATTATTATCGTTGACCAACAATAAGATTTTATTTAAAACAAAATTGAAAGACACTCCTCTTGGATTACCTTAAAGGTGTGAAGGGTGTATTTATTAAAATAATAAAAATTATTCATTTGATCATTTAATTAGAGGTATAACAGTGTCCAGTACTTAGAATTAGTTTGTATTGTTGAAAAGACACATTTTTTAAGTAACATACATGGATCCCTTGTTTATGTATACATCATTTAAAATCATTATCAGGAAATTAATTAGCTTAGAGTAATTGCTTTTAATGTTTCTCAATTAGATAATTGTTCTGCGTGGTATAAATCTGTACGGTTATCAATGTACAGTTTGGTAAGATGATTAATTAATCTGGAACTTATTAAAAGAATCTTTTGAATTTTCGGGGGCAAATTTTTTTTAAATATATTTTGGATGTCAACACTTCATATATTCTGTAAAATATTTTAAGAATATACGTACATGTAATTAAAGTGCATTAACTAAACTCTACATGAAATTTAATTCCAAAATAAGGACATAAAACGTATATTGCTTGACAAAAGAGTGAAGTTGTATTATGCAAGATGTATTTATTTTATCGAATATTCGAATATATTCGAATAGTACTATCGAATATTCGAATATCAATTATTGACAATTTTGACATCCCTATTCAAACAATACAAATCCGTGGACCCATGGAACACCAGAGGTGGACCAGGTGCCATGAAGGAGTAAGCATCCCCTGCCGACCGGTCACATCCGCAGTGTGCTCCTTGTCATGATTGTGAAAACAAAAAACTCAGTAGACAATTAATAGTGTAAATTATGGCCTAAAAATTAGTATTAAAAACTTCAGCCATTATTAGTTCTGACGTAATGATAAACTGAATTTGATGACTTTCAGACAGTTGATGCTCTTGTTTTATCACGAAATGCGTCAATTTCTTCATATTCTGAAAAAGTCTACAAAAACAACCAAATTTTAAGGCTATTTTTCAATATTTAATACTCATAGAGCACAACCTCTGATCTAAAATAAACAACTAGTAAATGACAGAACTGTTTCTGAGGATTACAAGACATATTTTATCTTTTAGATCAGAGGGTGCGCTCATATTATTTTTCTTCTTTGAAAGTACTCAAATATATCTGTTTGCATTAAAATTGAAGAACATTGCAATCCCATAAAGCCTGTGATCCAAGACCTGGAGTTAAAGGAGGAAAAATTTTGATAGGAAATGAATGTACTCAGTCTCTACTTTATTTTGATCGATGTTTAAAATGGAACATAAAGTGTTGTGCAGAAAGTGAACCGAGTTTTTTAGTAACAGAAAGATTGTATTTTATAAAAAGCATTACACGAATTTGCAAGAGATTGATTAGATTTTTTGAAAATGTATATTCTGGAGTGAAATTTCTGATTTCACAATCTTCTTACAGAGGTCTGATATTTGAACTTGAGGAAAATTTTGGCCTAACAATTAGCTTTTATGAAAAATTTGTTTCAGCATTTGACTAAATGATACATTGTATTTGCTGACAAGATCACATTGTACAGACCATAGAACTTAGAATTGATGACTTTAAACGAAACTTCTGATATTCTAGTTTCATCAACTTGTTTGAAAATAACTTACCTTGTTTTAGAAATTGTTCATACGTAGGGCATGTTTTTACAGGTGATGTAGGTATATGCTGCATACGGAAGGGAAGCTGACGGTTGAAAAGTTAAAGTAACCACATTTGTCATAAAGCCATGTTGTTAGATGCCATAAACATCTTTTTTATCCAATTATGAAACAGATGTTTCAAGCTCTGTGATACCTTTTATTTCAAGCTCTACGGGATAACGCATCGACATAAATATGGAAATAACCATTCTCAATTGACAATACGTCGTCAATATACCGATATGTCCGGTTGAAGTCATTCGAGCCATAAGTGATTTTTTCACCTGTAAAACTTTAAACAAATATGCTTCATATGAATACAAAAAATAGTCTACTAATAACAGGGCGCAATAGGTAGCCAGGGTATTCCTAATAGATTGTTGGGAGATCTGGTTCTCAAGCATCTTTTAAAATCAACTTCAGAGTACTTGTATGTACAATCACAATGTTTTTATAACAAAATAACTTTGCAAATGACCAATGACACGGTTATGCCTAGGTCACATTTCCCGGCCGGCGGCCGTAGACCGGTGGTAATCGGTGGTAATCCGTGGTGTTAACGATGCTCCAACATCGGTGAAACTGCAAGCAGTCCTAAAGAATCAGTCACATTATCCAGCGATGGATAAACGATGGGCAACCAATGCATTTTATGATAAAAATGGCGTGGTTGCGGATTGTAAAGGCCCAGCGATATAAGCTATCATAAAAATTTTTTTAGGATAATCGGCCGATGTATATTACATCGCTGAATTCATTGGTGAACATTGTTAGCATCGGATTGCACAGTTTGGTCGGACATCGACCGGTGATCGGCCGTTATCTGTTGAACACCACTCACAGATGACCTCAGATTCAACGGACATTAATTGTTATACATCCAATCCGTGTAAAATGTGTTATCATGGGTTAAATTTATATATCAACCATCGTAGATAATTTTAACTACGAATTATTTCCTAATGACCCCACCGATTCGCAAAATCGCCTCAGTCACTTTTGGTGCCCGGCCGGCAACCACGCCATTTTCATCGAAAAACGCATCGGTTTCTCATCGTATACCCCATCGCTGGATAATGTGACTGATACTTTAGTAATTTACGATTTACATTTTCATTGAATAAGCAGCTGTCACTGGTGTCAAAAAGCTTAAAGTTATTGGGAATAGTTGTTATATAGAGTTGAAAAGTTGTAAGTTTTTGTGTTGATGATTTTGGTAAAATTTTTAGATTTCAAATTGTCCAAAAGTTCTTTTGAAGTTTTAAATGTCCACGTCTGATTTACGAATATATTGTTGCCCATTCCGGGAATTTCTCCTCCACTACTGTTAATATTTTATTTGAGGAGTCAAGAAAGAAACTTGGTTGAATATTCACTGTATCAAGTAACTAAATAATAAGTGAGTCGGGCGGCCCAGTGTTTGAAATTCACCGTAAATGTAGCTAGACATAGTACCGGACTGACTGCTGGTAAAAATCATCAGACTTGCCAAAAATCTACTAGCTCTACTAGCCCGAAAAAATAATTTTCTTTCATAAATTTGTGTTTTTAAATAATATGAACGGGGATCTGATCATCAAAACTTTGATCCCAAATCTATAAGCTTACAAATTCTACCCTTTTACTTGTAAACACTTTGCTACCAATACCATTAGTTGTTTGGGGAGCGATTAATCAAATTAATAATTTGGGTGGCTCGGACGGTGGGGCGCACGGTTTTTTCAAACACTTATCAAGTAACAGTACTTGCCTCAATTTAAATTTTAATTCAATATACATGTATCCAAGTTATATCTCATGACACATCTGTTTCATATTTTGATACTACTAATGTTACTGTTAATTGGATCCTGTTCATGGTGTCCTATAAAACAACAAAGTCTGATAAACTTGATAACTTCACCTTGACTTTACGAGCTTGTCAGCAATTATTTACGTTTCAAATGTCTTTGTCCAAGATAAAATTACAAATAGTAAATGTACTTTATTTCTACATAAATCTGACAATGCATCGGTAGGCGTGGTTAAAAAAATCACGTGCGGGGCGGGACAAATAGAGACAGAAGCGGGGCTTAGAGCACCTGGATTGGTGGAATCAACAGCATATAAATATAAGGAATAACGGTCGGATTTTTTGGTTAATTTTTCGGCGTTTATGCACATTATCACGCAGGCCACTCGACTGATCACATTAAAAAAGCAAAAAATTAGATACTTATTCCTAAAATACAATCTGTCATTAATGGAACGATGAATTTTATATTCCAATTATTAGGACATTATTTTTACACTGAATTTTCAACGGTTTTTTTTCCGTTTTTCCTGATCATGACTAGGAGAACATAGAGGTTGTGACCAGCTTCTGGGGAAACTTACTCCTCCATGGACATGATTCCACCTCAGACTTTTTTTGGGTCCATGTTTGCCTTGCTCATGATTTGTACTGGTTCAACAGATTTTGGATTTGATTACCGTATTGTTTGTTATCCCCACATATGATTACATTATACAACAGACCAATGCACTGTAACCAATAAGACTAATATTCAGTTGTGAGGAGCCTTAATTCTCTAAGCTTGTTGTTACAGGTTTGAAAGAAAAAAAACCTGTAAAATTTCAATTCAGACGTTTATTTCCATCTTCCCATACATACTCTCATAGCAATAAATAAAAGATATACATAATATAAGTAAAATCTGGACGGATTAAATACTTCACAGAATTATGAGATTATCACAGAAATAAAACTATAAATTAATATCACAGTAACTAAAGCTTAAAATAATTATAATGCTCTAAATTCACAAATGATAAAACAGTTAAAATTAGTCTTGTTACTTGAATTTTCATTTTTTTTCAATTTTCGTTCACTAAATCAAATGTTCCAAAATTCTTGCACAATACCAAATAAAGAAGTAAGTAGAAGACATGCCTGCTTTCAATACTTTCGTTCATACTCTTGGCAGTGCTGATGTTAGAAAAGCATCTACATGTGTATAATGAATCATCAATGTTGTGTTGGTATATCAATGGATATACAAAATTTATATATAAATGTTTTATACTTTACGTTTTTTAAAGATCTTTAAAATATATGTATGCATATTCTCTATATATTAAAGTAATTTAAAAAATTATACTCTAACAGAATAATTTCATCATAAAGAACTATTATTCAATTGTTAAAATATTGTATTCTATTCTAATTGTACACTTTGTGTAAATGGTTCTAACTGTAAAATTGGTAAGCTCTAATATTTTATCTACAGGAAAATTTGCATCTATGCAATAAACATGTGCTTTAAACAATAACCAATCTGTCGAAATATATCTTTTTATAAAAATCTATCTAGCAGAAAATTTTGTTCTCTCATAAAAATAGATACATGTATAAAAGTAGTAATGAAAATGTAAGGATGTCAAATTGTTTAATATGCAATGCTTTGTACTGGATCATTTTCAGTTCTGTGCAAATGCCATGTCTGGGAATGCTTGCAAGTATTAACACGTACATACGTAATACTTGTTTTACCATCTTCTATAAATTTATCTTTTCTAGGAAAACAAATTTTGTGACAAATGACATTGACCTCATTAACATTTGTGATGACAATTGACAGTTTAAAATGACATTGTGTTTAAAATCTGTAGTACAATATTTCTGAAGTAACAATTTATAACTTGTCACAAAAATATATAGAAGAAATGTCTTCTTTAACATTCATCAGATACAAAAAATGATTTTTTTTATATGAAATTTATCTATGTGAGGCAATGAACTTTTTCATCATTTATGCCTTCTGTTTTTCACAAGAAATTAGTTATTTATCAATAAAAAAATAATTTCCAGTTTTACTGAAAAACAATCATTAAAAACAAAATGTAGCTTTTTTTAAAAATAAAAACATCCTTACTAATTAGTAATTGTAACTCTTCAGATTTTCTTTAAACAACAGTACAATTAACATCATTTTTACTAGACCTTTAACTGTCTAACAATAGTTGTGACCCTGAGACCTGAGTACTGCCTGACCCTGGGGCCACCTCAGTAATGCCTGACCCTGGGACCACCTCAGTACTGCATGACCCCCGGGCCACCTCAGTACTGCATGACCCGGGACGTGGAGGGGGAGTGGGCCATGGAGTGGGACAGGGTCCGCATGTTCTCTGCCAGCTTCTCAAACTCCTCCCACTTCTGACTCTGGACCGTGGACTCCAGTGTCTTCAGGTGTTCTAGGTCCTTCAGTTTGACCTCCATCGTCTGGACCTGGGTCCTCAGCAGGACGATCTCCTTGTCTTTCTGTTCCAGCTATGTACAAAAACAGAGGCTTAATATCATGTGACATAGGGATTGTCAAGGATTGGTAAAACTGTATATTTGTATAAGTGTAATAGTTTCTAAATCAAGAATACGAAAAGCACAAAACTTTTTTTAATTCATTAAAAAAGTAGAATTTACAACTAGGGAAAATTAATACTGTTTATAATGTACAATAAGTAAATGCTTCATTTTCATGGTGCTATATAAATGTAGCAGATTTGTTCTAACCTTTCTCTGTAGCTCAGACACGTGGTCGACCAGTAGCACTTTATCCTTGCGTAGCTGCATGTTCTCCTTGTCCACACTGCTGTGTAGGCTCTCTAACTCGGCCACTCGACTCCTGCTGGTATTCACCTCTAACTCACGCGTTGTCGATAGAGATTCATACTTTGTCAGCTGTTTGTTAAATAAAAATTACATTCTATAATCATGTCTGAATTAAGAATCTAAAAATTATACCTTTGATCAATTTTAAAAGCATTCCTATGAACACTTGCATTGGTATTAATTCTGTAGAAAAGAAAGGTAATTTTTTTTTTTGGAGTCACAACTCACAACAAAGTGAGATAACTCCTGCTGCTTTACCTGATCTAGAAGGTTCCTGGCTTTTTCCTGTTCTTTCTTCAACAGTTCCTGTGTGTGTTGTAACTCAAAGCGGACCTCCTTCTCCCTGTCCTTGATCTGGACGTACTCGGAAATGCTCTGGTTCTGACGAGACTCTGTCGCCTCCCTATAGGCCTTCTCCTGTAGACATTATAACATCTGAGATACATTCTAAAAGTGGGATATTAATGGCCCAAAATATCAGTAATAACTTTATCTGATTATATTTGATGATTTCTCTGTTACACATGGTTAACTCACCCTTTCTAGCTGCTTCTTTAAGTCAATCATCTGCTGGTTCAGTGCTGCGTTTTCTCTGGCAAGATTTGTACTGTCCTCTGTAAGCTTGACTTTCAGGAAGCGGTCTTGGTCAGCTGCCATTTCTGTCTCTTTTAACTTTTGTCTCAGAAGTTGGATCTCTTCCTACATTTCAGTTTTCATGTTTTGTATTGATTTTTTCCAACATTCAAGTGCTTATTTTTTTTTTAAATGTGGCCTAATTTGTACACAACTATAATATGTTGACTATTATTTTTTGCTATTAAATTTACGGAACTTTTCTTCATCACTATTCTTAGAGATTAAAAGATGACATAACTCACAAATATATATATTGTGGAAGTTCAAATTTATGTTGAGCAAGAAGAATAACCTTGTGCTATTTTGTGACCTTGACCTGTATATTACCTTGAGATCACTGGCGACCTTGTCCTGTAGCTGCAGTGTCTGATTGTAATACTTGTCCTCCACCTCTCTCATCTGAGTCTCCATACTCAGGAGTTCCGAGCGCTTCTCATCCAAAGCGATCTGGGCTAAATTGTGGGCTTCAATTCGTTGTTCTAGCTACAAAGAAATTTATCACAGTGAGATTATACAATTCTTTTGTAAAACAAGAGATATCTATATATGAGCAACATTAAACTTAACAAGAGTTATTTCCCATTTATTGGGGTCAACATGGCAGTTTTAACTTTTTATAATGGCACTTGTGGGCTGGGAAGAATTGTTTTTCAAAAATATACTTTATTTTTCATAATATTTATTCCATAAAGATTTTCCCCCAAATATTTCTGCTACACCTTCTTATATTTGGTAGGACAAAGAGGTAAAATTACCTGGTTGACCACCAAGATGGTGACCAACGGGAAATAACTCTTGTTAATATGGGTCTACTGAAAACTATCTATTGGAACTCTTATATTTTTTGGAAATTAATACAGATGTCGAAACTTTATTTTCTATTATAAAAAGATTACAAAAATTTGCCCTTGCCTGAGTTCTTAGGGTGTCGATTTTAAGTTCTGAATTTTTTAGGGCTGTCGAGCTTTTGTCCAGTTCTGATTTAGCGTCCATCAGCTGAGCGTCACGCTTGGCGATTTCACGCTCCATTACATCCTTGTCCTTCTTTAGCTGGACAATTTCGTCCATCAGCATTCTCTTGTCCCGTGTCCTGGAAGCTGGTCACCAAAACAAACAAAACAAAATCATAAAAAGATATTTTTCACAAATTCATTTTTTTTTTTAAATCACTTCAAATGTTCCATAACCACTTCTTTTACGTAACAATAAGAAGAATGAGACTTTTGCAAGAATATCCCTTCTGGAGAGTTGATTTAAGCATTCTCACTGTTAGGAATAAGAATATAACAACAGTACTAGATAAATAATTACCTTCTTCATCAGCCAATCTCTCCATGATTTTCTCTTTCTCTGTCTTTAGTAAAGCTATGTCTGTTTCTTTCCTTTTCACCTCCAGCTGTAGATCATCTATCTCTAGCTGCATGGACTGTATCAGTTAAGAAATATGGAGGTTGAATTAATTAGATTGCTCATTTTCATACACAGATATTGCACATTACATTGAAAAAATATACAACTAATTTGATCAGGTGTACTACGGTTTTCACTTCTACTGACTGGTCAGTAAAACTCAAAGCAATATACTAAGACAATAAAAATGAGTTTGTCTAAGAAGGTCCTACCCTGAGTTTTGCCAGCATTCTCTCTGCCTCGGCCGTCATCTTAGGATGCATTTCTGTGGCTTTTTTCAGCTGTTCTCTTGTAGGATGAAATAAGGAAAGCTAACACAATAAAGAGTTATTTCCCTTTGCTTAGAGACATACCCCGGTATATGATGGTATTTGAAAAATTTTGTCCTGTTAAAAATATTTTATCTGCTTCATTTTTTTCTTCTTATTTTGAAAAACACTTTGATATTATAAAGTTAATATTCATATTCTTACTGTACCTCTGTCATAATACAAACCCAAATCCTATCCTGGTGTCAAAAACGCATTCAATATTCATTATAATGAAAAGTCAATAACAAAGGATATAAATAGTTTGATTCCAGCTCTAAGAAGTAGATTTGCTGCTGGAGATTTTTTATGTACTCTCCTTCCACATTCTCCAGCATGGCACTTCTCTGTAACTTTATGTTTCTACAAAAAAAATATTTATTAAGTGATATTGTACTCCAAAAGTGTTTCCACAAAAAGAAATTATCAGTCTTAGTAAATGAAAACCCATTCATTCCTGAGCAACTAAGATAATGAAAAGTGAGAATTACTAGTATATTCAGTGGATAATAGAGATCTTACCCAGACCCTCCAAGATGAAGTGAAGATTATTTAATAATACTCTATTGTTTTCTGAGTCTCTAAGAATTATCAGGTATATGAGTGGATATTACAAGAGGTTAGCATGTGTAACCTGTCACCCTTCCAGAATTCAAGGAGTGGATATTACAAAAACTGTTACATACCCTCCCAGAATTACCTGATTATACATTACAAGAAACGCTATGTGCCCAGATCTCCCAGAGTTACATGAGTGGATATTACAAGAAACATTACATACCCAGACCCTCCTAGAGTAGCGGCCAGAGAACCAGTGCTCTTTCTGAGGTTATTATTAGATTTCTGGGATTTCTTGGTGGACATGGTTGACATGGTTGGAACTGAGTTTTGAACATCAGTCAGATAGGCACCTGTACAAATTGAAATAAAACATAGTAAGGAATCATACTTAAAAAAAATGACTAGGGTCACAATGCTCACTAATTGCCCTGTTGCTCTTCATCAACATTTTCATCCATATTTTTGTAAATTTGACCTCATATTGTGCCCAACCTTACCCCCAGGAGTCATGATTTAAATATATTGTGGTCCCATTTTAGATTTTACCCAAGGGTTTGAAGCTATGCTTCCATATTGATATGACTATAATCATGGCTTAGTTGTTCTTGAAACAAGATTTTTAATTTAAAAGAGTTTCCATATATTTTCTATGATAATCTTTGATCACCCATTGTTGCCACACCCTACATCTTAGATGAGTCATGTTCAGTGACAGCACTATGTAATGAAGCTTTCACATCAATTTTATCTTTTCTGGCAAAGTTGTTCTTTTTTAAAAGATTTTTTAAAGATGGCGTTAATTTTTCACTAATTCTTGGTATATTCCTTGGAAAGAGGACATGACCATTCATTTGAACAAACTTGAGTCGCTTCAACCAAAGATACTTTGTAGTTTGGTTGAAATTGGCCTAGTGGTTCTGGAGAAAAGATAAAAATTCAAAAAGTAAAAAACAACAATAATGACAGACAACAGACAAATTTGATTAGGAAAGCTCATTTGAACCTTTGGCTCAGGTGAGCTAAAAAGTAAATTCACTGTAAAGTTGTAAACTGCGTATAGGCAAATAACTGATTTTTATGAAACAATATGATAGATGTTTGAAATAGTTTATTGACTTATTATCTAAAACAATATATTAACATTAATAAATAAATTTCATTTCTGAATACAGATTTCCACCAAAAAGTGACTTGCTGGTGTTGGTTGTGATGTTATTGAGGGGCACTCCTAACTCAATTAGATTATTTTTTCGAGGGTATGTGTTATTTGGTGGCTAAAAGTACCACTGAGGCATGTTAGAAAACTGTGTCAATTTGGAAGTGAACAACATTTCTGTTTACAACAGAATCTGCATGCATTTTTTTAAAAATGTAAACACATCACTGACATCAGTAATATCACTGTCATGAAATGTGCTGCATTTCTCAGATGTGCCTGCATAAGTTTGTTTAAATACAGTTATGAATTTGAGAACTTTACTTTCATCTCCATCTTCTGAAAAAAATAATATGTGTTTTATAAGCATGCAATTTCACACATGAAGATCTGAGTAAAAATTTATTTTTACGTTACAATATCTAGCAGAAATAAATAAAGCACTAAAGCCAATCATATTCCTTGTAACCAAATTAAGCTGTTTTGAAATAAATCAAGAACTAGTAGAGAAGAAGCTGTTTTTTAAGTATGTGTATACAGGATTACTCAAACTAACATTTACCTTTCCTAGATGTGTGAGAACGAGCACTGGTGAGTCGGGATGGTGAGGGACTACGAGATCTCAAATTTTGACGAGTTGGTGAGGGACTTCGGAGAGACCTGCTCCATTCAATCACATCGGGACTCTGTGAACCAATCGGCTCACTTATTCTCCCTCGCTCAGTCATGTTTAATTAGGTCACAGATAGTAGTCAAGCAAGCAAATGTATCAGAAATGTGCTTTGTGTCAAATATGTACCTTCATGCACAACACTGTTCCTCCCTGACACCAAGAAAAAAATCGTGTGTCTACAATGTATTTTAGATAGCCTTTCAATCAAATGTAACGTAAATTCTATACGATCTGTTGCTGCTGACACACAAAACTATGTTATGTACCTAACGTCAAAAGTGCAGATCAGCTGTCAGTGTTGAAATGCAATGATTGCGAACATATATAGGATGGTGATTCCTTTGTCTGTATAATATCAAGCTTACAAACCTCCAGTGTGTTTCGGTGATGACTTTAAACTTGCTTGTTTGCCAAAGGTTGATGATATTCTAGACATATCAAAGGACCGAGAGGAGAAAATTTACATGTATGGACGCGGCATCGGTTGAGAGGCAACAACATCAGAGCTAGGATCCATGTTTTCGTATTCAAGTTATTTTCCAATTGTCTATTCCAAAAAACAAACAGTGAAGTTATCTTCAGCATCTATTTTCAACTAAATGCATATTTAGTTTATTTTGACCATTTCTTGATTTTAATTTAGTTTTGTGCTACAATTTACGAAACTACTTGTAAACACTGAGTTATCACGTGACAATATATGGAAAAATGGCCTTCCTACAAGTAGGTGTCTTACTTTGAGTAAATTTTGGCAAAGTTTCTGGCTTTCTTAAGAAAAGTCAGATGTTAGCTATCAGTCTCAGGGAATGTTAACTTCTCAGTGTGTACAATGCATTGAAATTTTATCAATATTAAGAGATAAATTTGTAAAACAACGGGGGAAATCAAAAGCAACATCATGAACTTCAACTTGCATGCATTTTGTATAAATACCGACTTAAATTGTTCCCAATTAATAAATATGGTGGAAACCTCTCAGTGTGAAAAAGTCATTCATCTTTATTGTCTGTATATAATATCATTTCAGTGGAGAAGATTTAATTTTTTTGACAAGGAGGTTCTGAAAGATCCAGAGACTGACCAGGTGTATGACAAGTTAAAGGTAAAGGATTGCTCCAAGCCTCCAAAGGGATATTAATTATATCTCAGACTAGTTAAAAGAAGCAACACAAATATTCTGTACCCACTGATTGAGATTCAAAGCTTTTTGTGTACAAGGTCAAAGATGCGATTTACAGTGCACAAAGCCAACTGTAGCGACATTCCAACAGGTTCATCTGCCTTCTTATAGCTAAGGCGATCATAATTTGATTTTTAGTTTTACGGATTTTTTTTCAAGAAATGTCAAGTCGGAGGACGAAAAAAAAAAAAAAAAGACAAAATCATACCTGTCGACATAGCCGAAATTTTTTCGGGGGAAGGGGGGGTGAGCTAGCAACGACCTTTTGCACAAACAAAAAGTCACACATTTCATTGTAGTATAAAAAAAAAGCAAAAGAACAACTTACAAGATATATATATTTTTTAATATTAGGCCAAAAAAAATAATAGTCTTGTTTCCTGCTACCAGCCAGAAAAAAATAGGGTAGGTAGGTAGGAAAATTATTTTATTTTTTAATTTCATTTTATTTTTTCCAACGGTATTTTTGGATATGAACTACTACCAAATCAAAATGAACATGTCACAGCTAGGTCAATATTATCTTTTAAAATGAAATTCCATGTCTTTTAATGCACAACTCAAGTGGAATTTTATGAAAGTCCATATTTTAAACAAATATTTCATGTTATACAACTTGAGTATATATATTTTTTTCACTTTTGAAACATGAAATTCCTAAAATTTTGAATTTTCCCCCAAATGCTAAAAAAAACTTTAGGGTCGGGTGCTAAAAAATAGGGTAGGTGCCAAATTTTAGCTCTACTGAGAAGCTTATGCGATTTTGCGTCCGTCCGTTTCTTTGCACTTGTTTTTAAACAATTTTTCAAAATGCTACTCCTCCTACATTTTGGTCCAATTTCAATATAACTTGGCACACAAGTAGACTACACTAAGATACATAATTCTGTGTATCGGTGTGTGAATGGTGTTGCCGTGGTTACTAAAAATAGAAATTTCTGTGAAATTCTTTCAAAATGCTACTCCTTCTACAGTTTTAGTCTGATTTCAATATAACTTGGCACACAAGTAGACTACACTAAGATACATAATTCTGTGTATCAGTTTTTGATTTCGATTAACGGTGTTGCCGTGGTTACTAAAAATAGAAATTTCTGTGAAATTCTTTCAAAATGCTACTCCTTCTACAGTTTTAGTCTGATTTCAGTATAACTTGGCACACAAGTAGACTACACTAAGATACACAATTCTATATATCGGTTTTTGATTTCGATGAACAGTGTTGCCGTGGTTACTAAAAATAGAAATTTCTGTGAAATTCTTTCAAAATGCTACTCCTTCTACAGTTTTAGTCTGATTTCAATATAACTTGGCAGACAAGTAGACTACACTAAGATACACAATTCCGTGTATCGGTTTTTGATTTCGATGAACGGTGTTGCCGTGGTTACTAAAAATAGAAATTTCTGTGAAATTCTTTCAAAATGCTCTTCCTCCTACAGTTTTAGACTGATTTCAGTATAACTTGGCACACAAGTAGACTACACTAAGATACACAATTCTATATATCGGTTTTTGATTTCGATGAACGGTGTTGCCGTGGTTACTAAAAATAGAAATTTCTGTGAAATTCTTTCAAAATGCTACTCCAAATACAATTTTAGTCTGATTATAATATAAATGTTGCATGCAAGTAGACTGCACTAAGAACATAAAGAGACTTAATCAAGGATAATTATTCTATTTATCTGTTGAAAAGTTTCAATTTTCAACTGCTTAAGTACTTTTCTCTTCCTTTGCTATAAGTACAAACCAGTAGAGCTTCAGTCTCGACAGAGACTTCTGGTTTATTTTGGCCTTAATACATATTACATGTAGTTATTTATAAAAATGACAACTTTTTATTCAAACATTGTTTATAAGTACCATGCAATTTTTTGAAATTATAAAAATTTATGTTCTTCACTGTATAGTTTGCACGTTCATTAAGAGTGTCATTAATTTTGAATAATATTCAGGGCAAATATCAAAGTTTAACATGGCAATTAAACAAATTAATAAGATTCTGCAGACAGTCTGAGTTTCCAGCTTTGAACTGATGGATGAATGGATTTTGCTCATTATAAGGAGCAAGAGAACTGTTTTCTGGATTTAATAAAGATCTGAAATTGAAAGAACTGGAAGTAGTCAAAACTTAATACTTTATACATTTTTTTAAAGAACATGCGTAATCTAGTGTGAATGAAATACATGGATTCTTAGATCCTGAATTCTTTCTTTTACTCTTAGTACATTTGATATCAAAGCATTATTGTAGTCATGTTCCAATATGATAACTTTATATTTTAAAATTAAGAAACTTTATTACCCTGTTTATAGCTACATAAATTCAAATAAATCTTCTAGAGGTACTGTCAAGTTGCTCTGCAGTTTCAAGGGCTTTTATATGCTGATGTTGATGTAATTTGCAAAGTCAAATCTCATTATTGATGTTCCCTCTGCAGACTCTTTATGAACTACCATGTACTTGCTTTCATTTCCTCGTTAAATTAATAATAAAGTACTGTAGTTCATGTCTTTCCTGATCACCGTATTATTTATGGAGGAATTGTTTTGTTTTAGGTGCATATAAACTTATTTGCAGCAAAGTATCAAGTAAAATCCATATCGCTATTTACCGTCCTTTTTTTGCAAAAGTTCCACATCTGGCATCTCTGTCTTTGATAATATACACTTTTAATGGGAATAAGGAGCACTTACAGCTGCAATTACATCTGGTAGCATAGTTGACACCTTGATGATTACCTGTTATCAGTGGCAATAAACAGATTAGCTACCGAGAAACACTGCATGACCTCCATTTTTGTGTTGACATGTCGGTATTTTACAAATCGAAGTAGGTAAAAAAAAAAAGAAACAGCAATTAAAAAAAAATATTGCAATGGGGAGGGTTCAGAATAAACTCTATAAATTCGAAGTTGACAGCTCACCTTCTTCTATCATTCTGCACATGTGTATTTTTACGTGTCTGACTGTTTGCTTTTATAAAACACAGGTTTGACACGAGCGGCTTGAAAAATTCTGATTTTTTTTTTTTTTTTGAAATGCAAATTTTTAGAGTCGGCGGATCCGTAAAACTAAAAATCAAATTATGGTCGCCTTAGCAGTGTTGTCTCTAAAACCTGGGGCTGGAGAATTTCACACCTGTAATGACGTTATCCCCCAGTACTTATTCTGGTATTTCTCCTCACTCTTCTGATAGGAGAGGAACCCAAGATTCACTTTTACTATTTTAATGTTTGAACTTTAAATTTTCAAAGAGATTCAATCAACATAAGTTACATAACCATTGTCAACTGACAAGTGCTTGCCTCTTTGCCAAATTTTATGAGAAGCAATTTTGCTTTTTTCTTTGCACTTGTTTTTAATCGGTAGTATAATTAATTATTATGTTATTTACAGGATGTGAACATCTCAGCGTGTGTGAGTGGGCGGGGCCAGCTGATCGTGGGGGACCATGAGGGGTACGTTTACATGATTAACAAACAGCTCAGTCTCAACATGTTCAAGGCATACGAGATCAGGGTCTCCCACCTTCACCAGATGAAACAACACAACCTTCTAGTCTCCATAGGGGTAAGATGCATTGTATATTGATTCCACGATGAAGCATATATCTAATTTTACTTCATCTCCAAGAGAAAATGAAAAATGTAAATTTCATATTTCAGGAAGATGAACAAGGAATTAATCCTCTAATTAAAGTTTGGAATTTAGATAAGGTAAACTTTATACATTCTTTTAGTCTGCTTCACTCTTATTTCCAATACTGTACTACGTAAATGATTCAGATAAATGTGATTTATACTAGGCCATATAAAATTGAAATCTTGGTTCTCAGGCCCGCGCGCATCCGTTTTGAGGTAGCCGCATTGCCGATTTTATTGTATTTTTGATAAAATAAAAAGTTGGTGTTGCGGAGACCAATCCGGGAAAAAAAATCCGACCTCATTTGTTTCGTAGTTTAGTATTCAAATACCACTTCCGGTAGTCGTTTACAATGAGAGATTTTGGCTACTTCGTTTGAAAATACATTCGAGGACATTACCTACGATGTTAAAACGCTGTTAAGCAATGGACAAACCAGAAATTTTGACCAGACATGGAAAGTATATCTGTGATTAAAAAAATTATCTTTATGTTAAAGAAAATTCGGAAATTAAAATTAAAAAAAATACCTCCCTCATCTACTTTATTGCCAATAAAATGAAAAATAAAATACCGCCCTCCCGCATCTGTTTTGGAGAAAATTGGCCTGAGAACCAGGGAATTAAATTTAGATAGCCCTATGGCTGAATATTGATGTTTGTTCACTTGTCCAGTACCTGCAGGGAAAATTTTTTCACAGACAAGTGGATATTGCTAGGCTTTGTCTAAATTTTCTTTAAAACTTCAATAATCAGTCACTTTGGAAGTATTAAGTGACAATCTCACAAAGTAAGGAATTTCAGTACTGGAATGCACAGTTTTCAGATAGTTCTATTGAACAACATTTGAACAAAAATTATGTTTCAACAAGTAAATTTTACAGCCAAATGGGGAAATATGAAAAATTCATTTTGATGATCCCTGTACACATGTTTATATACAAACTTAAAATTTTCCTGTATGCAGTACATTAAGAATCATGTTTTTTATCATGTTATTATTGTGCCTGTATTTTGTACTTTATTATGTTATTATTAGGCCTGTATTTTGTGTTACAGATGGACAAAGGTGGACCAATGTGTACCAGAATTAGCAGAGCCATCCCTAATAACAAAGCCACGCCAGTATGTCCTTCATACAATACTGTAAAGAAAAAAAATAAACATCAATATTTATTGAGTCATAAATCTCTTAAAATGAGAGCTGATGAAAATTCAGGAATCTTTAGAGAAAAAGACATAAACATCACATATTCATATTTTAAAAAGTCTTTTTGTTAATTATCTTTAGGTCACATGCCTAACTGTTCATGAAAATTTGAATTGGATGGCTGTTGGGTTTGAAAATGGAAGTGTTCTTCTGTTCAAGGGAGATGTGACAAGAGACAGGTATCTTTCATTTATTTTGTCAAGTGGTGAGCTATTGGCTTATATGGCTTAAAGAGAAAGAGAGAGGGAGAGAGTGAATCAGTGAGTTGCTAAAAGAGAGAAACAGGGGAAAAGAGAAAATGAAGGGTGCTGAAAAGCAACCAACTAATATTTTTGAATTTTTAACAGACACAGTAAGTCAAGGATAGTCCATGAGAGTCCTAAGCCAGTGACTGCCCTGGAGTTTAAGACGCAGGGGAAGAATATTTTCCTGTTTGTGGTAACAGATGCTAATGTGATATCTATCAACATCTCGGGCAAACAGGATATCAAGGTATGTGGTGTTATAGACGTTACATATAGTTTATAAAGGTATGCAGTGGTATAGTTCTTCAAAACTGTGTATTACAATGTACACAATGTCACAAACAGTTAGTGAAATTTAAGTTTTATTTTTATATTTTTTGGTTTTGATAGATTCCTTGAAATTTGGTTTAAACTTTTAAATGATAAATTACTGCTTAAATTAGAAAAATAATTGGAGTGTTTTTTCCCAACTCAATGTTATCTTTATTTTGTATACACTATATTAGTTTACTTTTCATTGAAGACTTTTAAACCTCGGTATTATATATATTATGCTCAGTGTACCTATGCATAAAGTGGATCTGAACCAGTTGTGATTCATAGCCATGGACACTACTCAGAATAGTCACATGTATTTAATAAAATTGAGTAGGTCATAATTTTCATGGCCTTGTAAAATACATGTGTACCTTGCAGAGCACACTGGAGATGTTTGGAGGTAAGCGGGGTGGAGTGGTGATGAGTGACCAAAGTCAGGATAATCAGCTGGTGGTAGCCAGACCTGATGTAAGTGTAACTCACATAGAAATTGCATATGTATGCATCTATACAAGTGTAAGAATTCAAGATAAGGATATAACCTGGATTTATCAAGGATTTAAGATTTAAAGGGCAAACTTTCCACATCAAGATTTGAATTTATCCTCTTAATTACTTTGTAACTGTAAACTGATTTATATTGAATCTATATCTTTGTTAGTCATTAGTTTAGATATGTTTGATATATTGACCCATGGACAATTCTTTTCAAGGTCACACATTGATGGCTAGGGATGTGCATATAAATGGGGAAAGGGAAGTTTTTTCCCTAAAAACAAAAAGAAAAACAAGCTAAAATAAATATAAAATGTTGATTCTACATTTTTTATAGTTTGCTATTCAACTTATATCTTTATAAACAATTTTAATGAATACATGATACAGGGTATAACTACAGTCACCATGAAGGTTAACCCATGCTTTTTATTCTTCCTCTCCAGGCTGTGTATTTCTACCAGACAGACAGTCGAGGGCCATGTCTGGCCTTCGAGGGGGAGAAGTTGAGACTCCATTGGTTCAGGAACTACCTGATTGTTGTGGGGAAGGAGGATAAAACCCTCCCCAGACCTGTTCAATTGTAAGTTGTAACACACATACCGATGTGTAAACCATGTGACAAGTGATTCCTCATTGTATTTTATAGTCTTATTATTTTTTAAACAGAAGTAGCCAAAACACATAATGACATGTAAACCATATGATGTAATGATATCCATTAAGAAATTTGGTTTTATATTACTTTGGTTATTTTTGAAACAGAAGTGGGCAGGCGATGGAGATGCACATAGTGACGGTGTACGATATACAGAATAAGTTTATAGCTTACTCCGCCCCCTTCCCTGATGTGATCGATGTCCTGTCAGAGTGGGGCAGTGTTTATATCCTAGGGGGAGACCAAAAGGTATAGGAAACATCTTATCTCAATGCCGTGTAAAGAATTTTACAACACAAACTCAAAGTTTAATTTAATTGATGAAGGGCATTTCCTTGTTTTAAAAATGAATATTTTATTCATTCCATAATTTGCTAATTTGAAGATGATAAGAAAAGAACTCAAATTGAATCTGCACATTATTTAAACAGTCAGTAAAATGTACTGCTTCATTTAATGAAACATGCATTAATACATATTCAAATGATAAAACTTGTGAAAGATACAAGAGCCATGTTTACATTTTCAATTTTAAGTGTAGCTAAGGTCTGAGTCCAGAAGTTTTGTTTTACAGATATATCAGCTACAAGAGAAGGATACTCAGACCAAATTAGAAATGTTATTCAAGAAAAATAACTACACACTTGCCATCAGGTAAATTTAAACAAGATTCAGAGTTGTCTATCTTTGAACACTGTTAAATTCATGCTTGCAAATGGGGCTTTGAACAAACCTGAACAGGTACATGTATCTAAAGATGTACATATCACCAACTTTTAAATTTATGTTAAGTTTAGTGGTATTCTGTTTGATTACTAGTTTCTTGGTCTGTTTCAGTCTTGCCAAAAGCCAGCATTATGATCAGGAGGGATTGATTGACATTTTTACACAGTATGGTGATCACCTGTACAGTAAGGGGGACCATGATGGGGCCATTGACCAGTACATCAAAACCATTGGCAAACTAGAGGCCTCCTACGTCATACGCAAGGTAAGTCAGATCATGTAATCAGTAGATCAAAACCATCGGCAAGCTTGAGGCCTCCTACGTCATATGCAAGGTAAGTCAGATCATGTAATCAGTAATCAAAACCATCGGCAAGCTAGAGGCCTCCTACGTTATAAGAAAGGTAACTCAGATCATAAAATATTTACATTTCTAATTTTTTCTCTGTGATAACTCTTTTAAAATTAGATGAGTTGATTTTTGATAATTTCACATGAATGGGAGTCCTCTTATATTTTAAATCTGTTTAATAGACAGCATTTTTTCCTATATAATTATATTTACAAATTTATTTCAGATATTAAAAAAAAATGTAAATATAAGGAAACACTGGTCTAGTTTGCTGGGACATCAACAACAGTTGGAAATGTGGGATAATTTACACTCAACAGGCTTAGTCTGTTCTGCAAATTATCCCATGTTTCGTACTGTAAATCTGACATTAATGTACATGTGTATTTCTTATTAATTTAACCACAGATAAATTTTCACCCTTTTGTCTTGTAGTTTTTAGATGCCCAGAGAATCCACAATTTGACAAAGTACTTACAAGCTCTACATAAACAGCAGCAGGCCACAGAGGAGCACACTACACTCCTCCTCAACTGTTACACCAAACTCAAAGACGTCAACAAACTGGACGAGTTCATCATGGTAACTCAGGCTCATATTTAGAAGATGCTATCTCAAATGCTTAACCAAACATAATTTGGCCTTAGTACAAATAGGAGTATTTTAAAGATTAATTTTCTGGGGAAAGAAATCTGTAAAATTCAAAAAAATTTTGTTTTGTGACAGACTAAAGACCGTGAGGTAGATTTTGATGTAGAGACGGCCATTAAGGTGTGTCGACAGGCGGGATACTTTGAGCATGCTCTGTTCCTCGCGGAGAAGCACGGTAAACACGAGTGGTATCTAAGGATACAGCTGGAGGACATCAAACAATATCAAAAAGCCCTGGAGTACATCGGAAAACTAGAGTTCACTGAGGTAAAAATACACAAAATCTGTGTAAATAGTAAAGAGATTTCATATCATTATAAATTAACTTCAGTAAACATAATTATGTTCAGGGAAGGAAGGGAAAAAAACCTATGAAATCATAGAAGTATATGAATGTTAAATAATAGATGCTATGTGTAAATTGTGTAACACAAATTCCATTTTTTGAAAAACTTAAACTTATTTCAATGCTATAAAAACAGCTGATTTTTTTTATTACGCTATAAGACTATAAATTTCTAAGACTCTTGAATATTTCACAGTATATTTATTAATGTTATCCATGAACTTAATCTTTTGTCAGACTGAAGAGAATGTGAAGAAATATGGGAAGGTGTTGATGGCTGAGGTCCCCCAACAGACAACAGAATTGTTAAAGAGGTTATGTACAGACTACAGACCAACAGACAGTTAGTATACAACATCTTCCTCAAGTTTTACTTTCATGCAATTATTTCTGAATTCTTTCAAATAGAACTGACCATTTTTTTTTGCTGCTTGATATGTATTGTATTGTAGGATATTTATATTGTCCAGGCCCTTATACATTGAAATTAAATTTGAAATTTTCCTTTTTAGAGCCATTAATTGATCAAAGCATGATGGATGGTATGTATGTTTTACATTACTTATTGATAGAAATGGTATAAATAGGTTTATTTCAGTTGTGAATTTCTGCATGATGATTTTATTAATTGACAGGGGGAGTGGCCAGAATAGAGCGGGCACCTGCGGAACATTTTATTCATATTTTTGTCAACAACTCGGAGAAATTAACCGAATTCCTGGAACACATGATTAAGGTTAGAGACTCTTACACTCAAAATTTGTAACAATTACAGGACTGATGGTGAGCTCTGGAATAGTACATATGATACATGTATCATGTATATACATGTATTACCCCAAAGTTTGCTTCATTCTGTTTTGTAATAAATTTCATAGACAAGCTAACACAATTAATTGATAATTGTTGATAAAATAAAAAACAGCAGAGCAAACAAAGTTTTGAACATACATCTGTCTCCAACTAAAATGTGTTCTTTGTCCTTTGAATTACATACCGGTACATGTGATGTATATAAACAGGCTTTACATAAAATGTCATATATGCCTAACTCTTTTCACAGGATCTCAGTGTCACATCAAAATTTCTCAGGAAATTAATAAATGCATTGGTTCTGTATTTTTTGTTCGTAATTTTTCATGTATATGTATTTCATTTTCAGGTTCAGCCTAATTCTCCCAGTCTGCTATACAACACATTGTTAGAGCTATACCTACATGACATTGTGCATGAAACAGACAGCACGGTAAGCACCTCCTAGTACAACTAGTATAACAGCAGATACTAGTAGCACAAAGCACTGTCATTACACTGCTAGACAGCACGGTAAGCACAGCCTTGTACAACAGCCAATAGAAGCAGTACAAGATACTGATGTTACACTGCCAGAGCTGTAGCTAAATATGTTAATTGACAGTATGTCATCTATCTAAATGTCGAGTTGAAGTTCACAGCAAGTGTTTTCTTCTTCTTTCGCTAAATGACATCAGCATGAAATAACAGAGGGAACACATCCTTGCACAATATCACATGCTAGCAGTACATAAGTGTCTACACAGCATTGTGCCTGTAAAATACAGCACATTTTTAGAAGATTAAGCGCATAAAGGTTGCATTATTGATCTTTTATTGTACATTTATTTTAAGTAAAAAATATTTTGAAAAAAGCAACTAATGTTGGAAATATTTCTTTATCCAGAGAAAGACAGAGAGAGTGAGGAAAACGGAGGAACTGTTGAAGAATCCAGATGTAAGTTTGGATATTGTTATGTTAATGTACATTATCATTCTATTATAATTGTCAGAGAAAGTAAGGTTTAGATAATGTCTTAGCCAAAATATGACAAACTACCGGTATATAAAAACCAAAAATCTCTCAATTTTGGATCAGTCGGTTTTAGAAAAGTATATGTATATATAGCACCAGCCAGCCATGTTAGAATGAAATTATTTCACTGGTTCCCCTTTACATTTCTACAATTTTATACTATCTGAAATTTTGTAAAAAAAAAGTCTGTACACATTTAACTTGAGGATAGATCTAATCATTTTTAGCTCACCTGAGCCGAAGGCTCAAGTGAGCTTTTCTGATCACATTTTGTCCGTCGTCCGTCCGTCCGTCTGTCTAGCTGTCCGTCTGTCTGTCCGTTGTGTAAAATTTCACATTTTCGCACTTCTCAAGAACCACTGGGCCAATTTTGACCAAACTTGGTACAAAGCATCCTTGGGTGAAGGGGAATTTAAATTGTTAAAATGAAGGGACATATCCCCTTTTGATAATCAATTTAAAGAGAAAAATAGGGTTGGGTCATTAAAAAAATCTTCTTCTCAAGAACCACTGGGCCAGTAAAGCTGAAACTTATGTGGAAGCATCCTTTAGTAATAAAATCTACATGTACTATAAATTGTTCAAATCATAAGACCCCCGGGGGAAGGGCATTTCTTAATGGGGAATCAAAGTTTTATATAGAAATATATAGGAAAAATCTTTGAAAATTTCTTCTGATTTAAGGGCCAGAAAAGCTGAAACTTATGTGGAAGCATCCTGGTATAGTGTAGATTCTATATTGTTCATATCATGACCCCCGGGATTTCGGGGCCACAACTGGGGAATGAAAGTTTTACATAGAAATATATAGGAAAAATCTTTAAAATCTTCTTCTCAAGAAAACTCCATAAAAGCAAATAAAACTTATGTGGAAGCACCTGGTATAATGTAGATTCTAAATTGTTCAAATCATGACCCCCGTTAAGGGTGGGGCCACAATGGGGAATCAAAGTTTTACATAGAAATATATAGGAAAAATCTTTGAATATCTTCTTCTCAAGAACCACTGGGCCAAAAAAGCTGAAACTTATGTGGAAGCATCCTGGTGTAGTGTAGATTCTAAATTGTTCAAATCATGATCCCCAGGTAAGGGCGGGGCCACAATGGGGAATCAAAATGTTACATAAAAATATATAGGAAAAATCTTTCAAAATCTTCTTCTCAGGAACCACTGGGCCAAAAAAGCTGAAACTTATGTGGAAGCATTTGGTATAATGTAGATTCTAAATTGTTCTAAATAATTGTCCCGGGGGAAGGGCGGGGTCACAATGGGGAATAAAGTTTTATATAGAAATATATATAAAAATCTTTGAAAATCTCTCTCAAGAACCACTGGGCCAGAAAAAGTGAAGCTTATGTAGAAGCATTCTGGGGTAGTGTAAATTCTAAATTGTAGGAATCACTGTTTCCCAGGGGAAGGGTAGGGCCACAATGGGGTATCAAAGTTTTACATAGAAATATATAGGAAAAATCTTTGAAAATCTTCTTCTCAAGAACCACTGGGCCAGAAAAGCTGAAACTTATGTGGAAGCATCCTGGTATAATGTAGATTCTAAATTGTTCAAATAATGACCCCCGGGGGAAGGGTGGGGCCACAATGGGGAATCAAAGTTTTATATAGAAATATATAGGAAAAATCTTTGAAAATCTTCTTCTCAAGAACCACTGGGCCAGAAAAAGTGAAGCTTATGTGGAAGCATTCTGGGGTAGTGTAAATTCTAGATTGTAGGAATCATGACCCCCGGGGGAAGGGCCCATTATAGGGGAATCAAAGTTTTACATAGAAATATATAGGAAAAATCTTTGAAAATCTTCTTCTCAGGAACCACTGGGCCAAAAAAGCTGAAACATATGTGCCCATGGAAGGATCATGGGGTAGTGTAGATTTCAAAATGTCTAAATTATGATCAGTGGGGTAGGGTGGGGATGCATTATGTATAACAAGGGGGAAATCTGGAAAAGAACAGAATGGTCAAAGCTTCTCAGGTGAGCGATGTGGCCCATGGGCCTCTTGTTATTGCCATCCTACACAGTTACTCTGGTAAGCATTGTGGCCTATGGGCCTCTTATTATTGCCTTTTCACATGTCAGCCTTAGTGTGTCAGGGGATCATCAGGACATTAGTTTTATAATAATGAGTTATTATGGATTATCTTTATCATCATTTTCCATACTTTCTACAGTGCAATATGCAGTCATTCGACAAGGTTTGACCTTGATATGTTCTTTACAGGCAAAGTATGACCTAGATCAAGCCATGGTTCTCTGTCAGATGAATGACTTCAAGGCTGGCATTCTCTACCTGTATGAAAAAGCTCACCTGTAAGTACATGTATTTATAGAACTCACTTGTAAGTATTTAAAATAGAAACTCGGAACAATCATTCATTTATAGATACATGTATCTGTATACAAATAGCTGACATGTAAACATCCATCAGAATTCCCATATTATCCCCTCTGTTCTAATGACTTTTTTTTTGTCTTTCATATTTTTTTTTATTGTTCTTATGACTTATTTCAACATAAACTCACAGAATATAAGTTCTAGTGTCTTTTTTATACTAAATAAAGCTCTAATCAACTTAGCCCTTATAGTTCACAGTGAGGTCAAATCTAAAAAAAAGTTAAATTAGATTCTTATCTTACCTGCGAAGTGAATGCAAAAAGTTCCCCCAATGCATATTGGGAATTCCCTATAATGAAATTCTTTTCATATCATTTGGGTATGAGTTAGAGCAATTGGTAGCTGTGTTATATGAATGCATTTCCTTTTATATTTATGGAAGATGTCAAAAGTATTCATCTAAATGTAGAATACTATACCTCCCGTTTTCTTGGTGGTTGGGGGGGGGGATGTTGACATTTATCATAACCAATGTAATCATGGAGAATTGTGCACTTGTCGTTGTCAAATACAGTCCACTTGCTTGAAATCTTTGTTAATATTGGTACAAAAAAAGTATTTGTGTGCTCCAGGTCAAATCATGTGACATCTACAGAGATTTTATGATGAGTGGCTTCAAAAATAACTACCCTAGTGAACAAAAAATAGTTTTATAGAAAAACGGTATATTTTCAAATAAAAGTAGAAGATGGTGTAAAAAATAGCGTTGACTTCCAACTAAAGTGGTAGAGTTAACTGGATGGTGTGGGCTATATAACTTGATTATGGAACTAATCAAAGGAGGACACTCCTACGTAGTGTTCAGAACATTTGACCTTAGTGTGTCATTTCACTTATATTCCATCAAGTCCAGGGTCACTGTCAGATAAAGAATAAAATTCTTTTCTGGTCTACATACTCCATACATCTCATTCCCACTTCAACTTTTTAAGTCCTCATTGCAGTTTTGTAAATGTGATTTGATTTTGCCTCTGGTCTTAAATAATCTTTGAGTACAGTTATGACATCAAATGTTTCTCCAATAGGAAATTATAAATTGGACCCTGGATTTTGGTCTTGTTCTGCCAGTGACCTTGAACTTGTGTTAGTTTGTTCTGTGTTAGGAAAGTAAGTTTTCAGTTGAGGTTTGCACAAAATATTGGCTGTAACATTTTATTAAATTATAAATCAAGTTGGGTGATAGTTTTATTTTACCTGGTTTTAGCATGTAAAGGGCTATGTTGATTATAGTGAATAAAATTTCTCTCTTACTAGAAGTAAGCTGAATGCAAATACATTTATTTTACATACAATCTAAAAATACATTAGCAGCATTACCAAGACCCTGTGGAATGGTAGCTCTCTCATGAACACATTAGATTAAAATTTTGGAGAGGGCTACATCATTGTAGCTACATGTAACTCTCATGCTTTGGTTATTCCGATAAATAGTTGCTAAAATCATTATGGTGCCAGCCCGGGCCTGCTGTAGTGGGGCCAACATTTCTTAAATCCCTCTGTCAGTAGAAGTAAAGGTAGCTCATGTGAGCTTTATGGCCCTTGGCCTCTCAGTGCAAATCCATTGATCAATTTTGTGTAATTAATCATCAGAGTAAATTACAGTTTAGAAATTATTATAGAGATTACTTTTGCTATTTTTATGTAAAAAAGTATGATAAAGTTCAGATTAATGTAATGTCGATGTCAAAGTACTGGGTTACCTACAGAATGATGGGAAAAGGGCTTAATATCCTTAAAGCCGTAATCTCAATTAGAAATTAATGAAGTAACAACACACGAGAACTATAATAAGCCATACATCATAGAACACTGATGTTATATAAATCCTCACTCCCCTGTGGAGCTCTGGCCTATATAAAGGAGAACAAACATCAATAAATCATCAGAATTATATTTTTTTGTACAATATCCTATATAGCTGACATTAAGATAATTGTTTTATGGCATAATGCAATGATATGAATTTAAGTTTCATTGATCTATGTAACACAGGGAACTTCTGTTTCTTGAATTTTTTTTATCTCAGTAAAACATGGTCTTTTTTAATCTATGTAAGAGCATTTTCTTTCTTAATGTGGGGGTGGGGTGGGGGTATTCGTCCCATTAGGACAGTTCAAGTTTCCTCTGGTCTTTCTTCTTTCTTCGTGTCCATTACTAAATAATGTTATATCCTTAATATTTTTAGTCTCATCTTTATCTTTTATTTTCAGATACCAACAGATTCTACGGTACCATATGGAGCATGATGACTTTGTGCATGTCATTGAGACCTGTAAAAAGTTTGGGTGTGTATTGATGAATGTAATCATATTCTCTTTGTTGTCGAATTAAATTTTCTTGTTTTGATATTAAACAATGGAACTTCATTATCTCAAACTTGATAGGGCTGAAAAAAAGCAAGGTTTAAGATATCAAGGCTGAAAATCATAAAGAAAGAGTCTTGGGATTTCCTGCTCATTTTCACTTATAAATAAATTGTATTCCAGATATCAATTTTGGAGATAAGGTAGCTTGTCAATGGACATCTATGAATTTGTGTGAGAAAATAAGAAATCTTCCCTTTCAGACAACAGGACTCCAATCTGTGGGTGCAGGCCTTGTCATACTTTGCCAGGAAAGAGGACAACTGTAAACCTCAGCTGATGGAGGTCCTGTCTCGTATCCTTATATAGCAACTCTCATCCCTTGTCACAGTGTTTAATGGCTCTTATATACATAGAGAACTCTAGAGTCATCCCTAGTCACATGTCTAATGGCTCATATACATGATAAGGAACTCTCATCCCTAGTCACATGTCTAATGGCTCATATACATGATAAGGAACTCTCATCCCTAGTCACATGCCTAATGTCTCTTATATACATAGAGAACTCTAGAGTCATCCCTAGTCACATGTCTAATGTCTTTTTTATACATAGAGAACTCTAGAGTCATCCCTAGTCACATGTCTAATGTCTCTTATATACATAGAGAACTCTAGAGTCATCCCTAGTCACATGCCTATTGTCTCTTATATACATAGAGAACTCTAGAGTCATCCCTAGTCACATGCCTAATGTCTCTTATATACATAGAGATCTCTAGAGTCATCCCTAGTCAAATGTCTAATGTCTCTTATATACATAGAGAACTCTAGAGTCATCCCTAGTCACATGCCTAATGTCTCTTATATACATAGAGATCTCTAAAGTCATCCCTAGTCAAATGTCTAATGTCTCTTATATACATAGAGATCTCTAGAGTCATCCCTAGTCAAATGTCTAATGTCTCTTATATACATAGAGAACTCTAGAGTCATCCCTAGTCACATGCCTAATGTCTCTTATATACATAGAGATCTCTAGAGTCACCCCTAGTCACATGCCTAATGTCTCTTATATACATAGAGATCTCTAGAGCCATCCCTAGTCAAATGTCTAATGGCCCTTATATACATAGAGAACTCTAGAGTCATCCCTAGTCACATGTCTAATGTCTCTTATATACATAGAGAACTCTAGAGTCATCCCTAGTCACATGCCTAATGTCTCTTATATACATAGAGAACTCTAGAGTCATCCCTTGTCACAGTGTTAAATGGCTCTTATATACATAGAGAACTCTAGAGTCATTTTCTTTCTTAAAGTGGGGGTGGGGGTGGGTGATTACCTATGTTTAAGCTATTTTAGAGCCCAACATCCCTAGTCACATGTCTAATGTCTCTTATATACATAGAGAACTCTAGAGTCATCCCTAGTCACATGCCTAATGTCTCTTATATACATAGAGAACTCTAGAGTCATCCCTAGTCACATGCCTAATGTCTCTTATATACATAGAGAACTCTAGAGTCATCTCTAGTCAAAGTGTCTGATGTCTCTTATATACATAGAGAATAAATTGTATCCCTAGTCACATTTTGGAATGTCTTTTTTAATGGACATCTATGAATTTGTGTAGTCACATGCCTAATGTCTCTTATATACATAGAGAACTCTAGAGTCATCCCTAGTCACAGTGTCTAATGTCTCTTATATACATAGAGAACTCTAGAGTCATCCCTAGTCACATGTCTAATGTCTTTTTTATACATAGAGAACTCTGAGTCATCCCTAGTCACATGCCTAATGTCTCTTATATACATAGAGAACTCTAGAGCCATCCCTAGTCACATGCCTAATGTCTCTTATATACATAGAGAACTCTAGAGTCATCCCTAATCACATGTCTAATGTCTCTTTTATACATTTAGAACTCTAGAGACACTCTTAGTCACAATGTCTAATGCCACTTATATGCATGTAGATCCCTAGAGGCATTCTGAGTCACAATGTATAATTGTTCATATATAGTTATATACATATAGAACTCTTGAGTAATTCCTAGTCACAATGTCTAATGCCTCATATATACATGTAGATCTGTAGAAACATTCTAGTTTGGTTTAATTTCAATGTCTAACCGTAGTTCTAAACAAAAAAATTTATGAGTCCCGAGTCGTAATATCTAACTTTTGGTTAGCTGCAATAATGTAGCCCTCTCCAATTTTTTCATCTGAAAAAGGAGAGTGCTACATTATTGCAGCTAACTTTTGGTCTACATGTAAAATTACTTACTACATATATTACTCCTTAACACAGATAAGAAATTGACAAGAAGAATCTATTACCACCATTACTTGTAATACAGACACTGGCCCACAATTCCACAGCAACCTTGTCTGTTGTCAAGGTAAAAAAAGATCATTACTGATCTCTCCTAAATATTTGTTGCCAAGCACCATTTTATTCAGAGAGTTTGTGCTGTATATATATAGTTTCTGTTTCTTTGTTTTGTTCATCATCTGAAACCTTTATCTATTAACCTTTTTATTAAACTTAAATATGAATGAACATTAGGTTTGTGCCTTCTCCTGATAGTATACCAATATACTGTACAAAATGACTCAGTGGACTTAGGCCTGCATAATTGTTTATCCTGATGGCATTTAATCCACTATTTGGAGGATAATGTTAGGACTGAATCCAGACAATTTCTCCCCATAGAATTTTACTATCTAAGTGTTATGTAATATTACTCCTGGTTTTCAGGACTACATTATCCGAAGGCTACAGATGGAAAATGATCAGATCGCTGAGGACGAGAGATTAATAAAACAGTACAGAGAGGATACTGATAAAAAACGAGCTCAGATTGAGGAACTCAAAACAACGTGAGTAGAATTAATAAAACAGTACGGAGAAGACACCAATAAAAAACGAGCTCAGATTGAGGAACTCAAAACAACGTGAGTAGAATTAATAAAACAGTACAGAGAAGACACCAATAAAAAACGAGCTCAGATTGAGGAACTCAAAACAATGTGAGTAGATTTAAAACAAGATTTAGTTCTAAAGGAAAGCAGTGGGAATCATCAATGTTCATGGATCTTGTTGGTTACCCTTACCCAGGAGTTAAAATTCACAACAAACATTGATATACTGTATACAGGGAAAATTTTGCCCCCATTTTATTTTCACCCCTATCGCCCTACCCTCGGTCGGGCGAATTTAAAAGGGGGTGAATTCATAGAATACACTACAATTTCTTAAACATGTTAAACAGAACTGTGACTGGATGAATTTAAAACGGGGCATAAATGTTTGCAAATGTGTAAAAGAGTGAAAAAATGGCCCTATATTCTGTACATGTTCATATTAAATTGGCATATTCAAAATTTAGCACAATCAATGGATATCGTGTTGTTGACGTAATCATGAATTAGCGCTACACATGTTCGTGCCATATATTCTATTTATAAATGAATTCTTAGTGGTATTTATGAATTAGCGCATCCTCGTCTGCACCAAATATGAATCCCGCTATTTTAAGTGCACATACAGTATACATAAAACATGAGCATTGTAATGTTACATTACTTAGACATACAAGGTACCTTCAAAATAGGTTCCCATGAACCAGTAACATTTTGGATATCCATTGACCACTATTACCAATGATGATTACCCAGTGCCTGTACTTGTCTGTCATATTTACTGGTCGAGGGCAGTCCTCAGGATAATTAAGTATCTACCATAAAATCTGTTGTTTAATGTTTTACAGAAAATAGAAATATTTTTTTGGTCATCAACTACGACCAAACATGCTATCCTTAACTATGATTAGGTCATAACAGCCAATGAAATTAAATAGCAATAAAAGTACCCTTTACAATGGCAGGGGGAATTACTTTCTTAATATTGTTAAAGTTATTTTCATCAAATAATGTTATTGACATTTTAGCATGCCTCTTATTGGAGAATATCTCGAACTAAGTCTGCCTTTATTTGATTATTGGAAATAATACAAGTGTGTGTGAATGTTTAAAATTGAACAAACATTGGAGACACTAAAATGTCTGGCATATTTTTCAAGAAAACAAGTCAATAACAGCACTGTAAGAATATTAATATCACCCCAGGCCTTGGCCTTTTAGGATAGGTTCAGTTACTTAGACGTAAACATCTTTTCATTTTGATTTCAAACACTTATTCTGTATGTAATGCTCTTTTCAGTATAAATATTGCTTAACCATTAAAAAAAATGCCCCACTGAATTCTTTTGTGAAACCTATCTTAATGTATAATGCATCAGAAATTGAAAAGTGCCCAAGATACCTTTGAGTTTTTTATTGCAGTGGAATCTCATTAATTAGTTATAAGTCAGAACTGGAGAAGGTAATTAAAAGATGTCAATATTTAAAGATAAAAAATTAGTCCAGATTTCTCGTCAGTGTCAGGCTATATTGAGAATCTGAAAGTGGTGAACTCGTTAATTATTAAATTGATTACCAGTACAGCAGGAAACTTGATCTGGGTGAAATGCAGGTATACAGCATACTGTGGAATGGGAGGTGTGTGAAGTGTGCATTGTACTGCAGCTGTTTGCGGAGATCAGTGTAACCTGATGACATAGCAGTCTGTACAATCAATATTGAATGTTAATTTAAAATACTTGTCCCTGGGTATCAGAGAGTTTGGAATTTAAATCTTGGTTCCACTGAATAGAGGACTTGGTAGTATGGTTCATATTGTTTACATGTAACATGGGAGAAGTGATTTTGGGGTTTATTTGTGATTTGGGATGGAAGAATTTTAGATTGAAATATTTTATTATAGGGAGCCATATATGTTGTATCCAAAACCAAAAAAAATCATAAAATATATTCCGATTTTAGGTACATATGTAGAATATGAGCAGCAGTTGTTTTTTTTTTCAGCTGAACACTTTGGCCCTTTTTGAGTCTTGACAATCAAAAAATTTAGCCCTAGTGGAACTTATTGTATTGCTATTTATTTGAAAAAAATTTCGTAGTTTTATTTCCATATTTAGAAAATAAAGTATTTTTGTAAAGAAAAAATTAAATCATTTTTTCTAAATGTCAATCAAGCAGGTGGTCACAAAATATTTGTGGGTGAGGTGAATTCAAAACTCAATGCGAAGTGAAAGTACATGCACATGCATTTATCAATTTTTTTAAATAACAATCAGTGATATTGTTCCTAAATGTCTGATTTCAGGGCCAAGGTTTTCCAGGCTTCGAAGTGTAACATCTGTAACCATCCTCTGGAGCTTCCCTCTGTACATTTCCTGTGTGAACCACATTCCTACCATCAACAGTGAGTAAATAATACCCTTAATAGTCTTAAACATATTCAGCACTTAAGTACAGGGGGTATTTATAATAGAGAGGTTGAGATTTTAAACTTGTATATGTACTTGTGCATCAACTTCGACGTACACATACACATTTTTGTAATTTGTCAGTTGAGATTTTTATGACATGTAACATGTACGTGTACACCACGATTAGAGTCTAGGTAACAACTTTTTAGAAGTTTTGATACTCAGTTTGATTTTATGTAGCTAACAAAACATGATTAAAATAAAAGCTCATGAAATTAAACATCTTAAATAATGTATAACAACTACATTTTCACACATAAATTGACTGATTTTTGTCTCGCCTGCGACGAATGTCGCGAAGCGAGACATAGCGACCATAGATTCCGTCGTCGTCGTCGTCGGCGTCCAACTTTTGGTTAACCCAAATGTCAAAGTTTTATAAACTGCAATAACTTTCTCAAATTTTATTCAGTCTTCTTGAAATTTGGACACAATATTCAGTATGGATAAAAATTTATATCCCAAGTATGATTTTGAAAAAAAAAATTCAAATTTTTCCGTATTTTTTCCTTAAGTTGGACTTAGTTTTTTCATGATAATTTATGGTGAAGACCTATATTCCAGCAACTATAAGTTATAGGGATATGATAATTAGTCAGTGGATACATCATGGGTAACCACAAACGTCAGTACCAGAATTAGGTCATCTTGAATGAGTGACTTTGGTTAAATTTTTGGTGGAGGTCCATATCTCAGCATCTATAACTTATAATGGCATGATGATTTGTCATTGTACAGGTTATAAGTAACCAACAACATCAGTACCAGAATTAGGTCATTTTGACCTACATTTTTCTGCATGAATGACTTTGGTTAAATTGATAATGGAGGTTCATATTTCAGCAACTATAACTTATAGTGGCATGATAGTTAGTCTCGCCTGCGACGAATGTCGCGAAGCGAGACATAGCGACCATAGATTCCGTCGTCGTCGTCGTCGGCGTCCAACTTTTGGTTAACCCAAATGTCAAAGTTTTATAAACTGCAATAACTTTCTCAAATTTTATTCAGTCTTCTTGAAATTTGGACACAATATTCAGTATGGATAAAAATTTATATCCCAAGTATGATTTTGAAAAAAAAAATTCAAATTTTTCCGTATTTTTTCCTTAAGTTGGACTTATTTTTTCATGATAATTTATGGTGAAACCTATATTCCAGCAACTATAAGTTATAGGGATATGATAATTAGTCATGGATAATCATGGGTAACCACAAACGTAGTACCAGAATTAGGTCATCTTGACCTACATTTTTCTGCATGAGTGACTTTGGTTAAATTTTTGGTGGAGGTCCATATCTCAATCTATAACTTATAATGGCATGATGATTTGTCATTGTACAGGTTATAAGTAACCAACAACATCAGTACCAGAATTAGGTCATTTTGATTTTTCTGCATGAATGACTTTGGTTAAATTGATAATGGAGGTTCATATTTCAGCAACTATAACTTATAGTGGCATGATAGTTAGTCAGTGGATACATCATGGGTAACCACAAACATCAGTACCAGAATTAGGTCATTTTGACCTACATTTTTCTGCATGAATGACTTTGGTTAAATTGATAATGGAGGTTCATATTTCAGCAACTATAACTTATAGTGGCATGATAGTTAGTCAGTGGATACATCATGGGTAACCACAAACGCCTGTACCAGAATTAGGTCATTTGATACATTTTTCATGAGTGACTTTGCATTTTATGGTGGAGGTCCATATCTCAGCAACTATAACTTATAGTGGCATGATAATTTGTCAGTCTACACATCATAGGTAACCAACAATATCAGTGGTAATCTTCACCTACATTTTCTGCATGAATGACTTGATACATATACAGTGGATTTGATTTCAAAATGCAAGTTCAAATTATTGCGACTCATAACACGTTGTGTAAACCATTGTGGTTTGCTATGAACTACTAACACAAACATATGATACAGTGTTTTTAAAGTGTACATAGTATTTCCAGCAGTTATTCGGAGAAACTTAAAGTGGACAAAAAACAATCTATCTCTTGTGAATAATATGAAATATGGAAATTTTAAACTGTACAGAAGATATTTAACCTACATGATGCATTTGGATCCTACCTACTCTTGTGAATAATATGAAATATGGAAATTTTAAACTGTAAGAAGATATTTAACCTACATGATGCATTTGGATTACTTTTCTGTTTACCAGTTGGCATATGCAGTGCAACACATTGACTAAGAGGAAAATGTTGTGTTCATCAGTATGCAAAAGTTATATATTAAATCCATATAAAATATACCTATAGTCAGTCCAGATAGAAACGTTTTACAGTTCTTATTAAGTCCATGACAATATCTCTTTAAAAACCAGCAAAATGACTCGATCCACTTTTTGAGTTATTCCTTCTGAAATGTCAATAAATGCTTCAGTTTATCAGACAATCATTTCTTACTAACCACAGCGACAGCAGGCGAGACACAGGGTTGCGGGCAACCCTTACGTACTTTTATTATTAAAGCTACACGTTTGCACTAATGTGTAGACGCCATTCTACAAGTTCTAAGGATGTGTAGAAAACTCGTCATCACTAAAATTGATGATGTAATATGCGAGGAATTTAGGTAATTCCCATATCAGACGTACCCGTACACGTATGAAATCTCAACCTCTCTAATATTCTTATTGAAAGGACATGAAGGTCTAATATTGCAATGGCAGGAAAAACTTGATTAGCTCACAAAAATATTATTTTTTTAAGAAGATCAATTATAAGAATATTCCAATGAAGAATTATATTATTGACATGTACATGTATCTTCCTGTATGTTTTTCAGCTGTTTTGAGAGCTATGCAGAAAATGACTCTGAGTGCCCTGTTTGTGCGGCAGAAAATAGGTAGGAACATTAATACAGTTGTCTTAGCATGCCAGACAAAACAATATCCTTATAACATATACAAAGCTGTTATGTTTATACTTCTTGATAAGTATTGTGACAGGTTAATGAATTTGTAAGTAAATAAGTACACTGTATCTTACTTCACTGAGTGTGTCAATCAGTTCTGTTGTATTTGGTACATATTGTAGATAAGTACTGACTCAAGATGTCTGAGAGACCTGACTCAGTGTTATTGTGTTGAGAGACCTATATTCAGTTAACCTTAATCTTACATCTGTTTTTGTTTTTTAGGAAAATCATGGACATAATCAGGGCCCAGGAACAAAGTAAAGACCTTCATGAACAATTCCATAATCAGGTAAACTTACAGCTTCACAATCATATAAATTTGGCAAAGTTTGTCTACTCAGTAGATATTGTATTAATAGACAACTTTTTGGCCAATAAGAAACATGCAATTCATTGTCAGAGAGTTGGAAAGAGGGTAAATTTAGAGAATTATACAGAAAAACTTGTTTATATGACAATGTTGTTAATTCAATTTTTTTTTACTTTTTTTAAGTTACAAAGATCTCAAGATGGCTTCTCTGTTGTGGCAGACTACTTTGGAAGAGGAGTTTTTAATAAGGTAATACTTAACCTTTATTGACTGGGTTTGAAAGCAATATTGGTTTTGTTGGATGTAAGGTTTGCAGGTTCGACAAGACAAATTTTGCCACAGTCAATAAATGCTGAGTTAGACCTTTAAATTTTTTTTTGGGGGGGGGGGGATATCTTGTGCTGGCTTCCTTAAGGTAAATGTCATTTACCGCTCTGCTTTAGAAACTGGGTCAAATTTGATAAATTTTGAACTCCAATGAATGCAAGAAGATATAGCTGATCATGCCCAAAGTGTGAGGTAAAAGCAATCAAATACTCTAGACGTACTATTTTCCACGGGGTCATAATTCCGCGGAATCTCGATTTCTCTTGAATCCGTGGGTAGAAAATTACGCAGAATTCTTAGACTCTCACTATATTCCTTACAAGTACTTTGAGTATGATGAGACAAATTTCCGCGGACATTTTGTGACCGCGTACATTGCATATATTAATACCACGCGGAAAAAAAGTACTTCTACAGTAACTCAGTAAGTCCAACAAGATTACCAACCAGTCTAAAATTGATTTTTTTTTTTATGCTCAGTGAAACATTAGCATTTTTTTTTCAATACATGTTATCAAAGGGGTCAAATTTTAAAGGTATAATACAATAATTAATGATTTACAGTTTGTGTACTAAAAATGTAGGGGTCTGCTTTTTCTGTTTTCCATTCAGAGCAGTACATTTTCTTTTAATCAAACATGATATTTATGCTTTAGTTATTTATATAGAAAGTAATCTAAATGATGTTTTATTCAAAGGTCATGGAAAATTCTTTTTTATCATCTTTAAAGCTCATATTGATTTTAATACAAAAACATGATTTTAAATGAAAAAATCTTAATGCTTAATCTAAGATGCAATTGGTTGCTGTACAGGTTTTTCTATTGTAAAAATGTATCTGGAGTTTCATAAATTAAGTAGATACATCTTAATGTTTTACTTTTCTTTAGCTATTATAATGGTATTACAATTACCTATTTAAAAAACCAGAATTAGATTGATTTGAACAAAGTATTGAGTAACAAACTGTCACAATTTTAACTACACTGTATATTTTGAACTTCTAAGACATAAACAATTAATGGAGCTATTTTCATATCTTGAACTTCACTCAAAAACTGTTATAAATTTAAAGATGATTGCATCGATGATTTCAGGTCACCCTAATTACCGATTCACCAGCAAGACAACCTCCAAAAGCGGCATCCACAAGTAGATTTGTGTGACATTAATTACAAAGGTCAAGGTCATCATGCAAACGACCTTGAACAATTTGTTGACTGCCTCCAATAAAAGATGCTACAAGATGGAATGGAATTCCAGGACCATCGGAGAGATTGTTTATGTTTTGTCACAGAACAGAACCATCTGTGATTATCTAGTGCAATATTGTTAAAGATGTTATAGCAAATAAGATTTTATTGAATAAATAATAACATATGTAAAATATTGTTTGTTTAATTTATGTTCATTAATTAACTTTGAAGCTGTTTTACAGTCAAATTTAGTATCTCCAACTCAGTTGATCTGACAGAAACTTATGGGGATACCAGTCAACAGTTTAAAAAGATGAGGATTACTTACTATCTTGTAAGAATCATAGATTCTTATTGATGCATCCAAAACATTCACCATATTATTGTTTGAGTTGACAAACTATTTATGCAAATCCTGTTATCTCGGACAAAATTGACAAAACAAGAGGTGCACAGAAATTGAATAATGTTTACAACAATAGACAAAAGCTCACTTTAGCTTTGGCTCATGTTAGCTAAAAATGGAGCATTATATACCATTTGTAAATAAATCAAGGTCAATAATATGTTTATCCTATTTTATTTACTCGCTTCCAAGAGAAACACACTTGGTTCCAAGAGAAACAAACTGGGTTCCAACTATGTCAGAAAGTTTGTTCTTTGGTTCGATATTTTTAACTCTTTAGTACAAGTAGTTCCATATTCACTTTTTGCTTACTTGAAAGCTGAACTTTTCTGATCACTCACTGTCAGATGTCTGTCTGTCTCCTACCTTCCATCTGTCCGTATTCTTTTCACATTTTCAACTTCTTCTCTAGAACCTTTTGCCAGTTTAAATAAATAAAATATCTCTTGGTAAAGGGGATTCTAAAATATTAATATGAAGGACAAATCATCCAACCAAGGGTGGATAATCAAGTAAATGCAAAAATAAGGGGGGGGGGGTAAAAATCTATAGAACCACTGGGTCAGAAAAAGCTGAAACATGCATGGAAGCTTCTTGAGATGGTGTAGATTCTAAATTTGTTTAAATCACGCCCCCAGGGATAGTGTGGGGCCACAATAAGAAATGAATATAAATATAAGGAGAATCTTCTCACTGGACCTGAAAGACCAAAAATAAGAGGAAAGCTTCCCAAGGTAATATTGAAAGTGAATAATAGTAATTTACATCAGGTGTCCCAGGGGTGAGATGGGGCTACATTAGGTATCTTATAAAGAAAAGCTTTAAAACTCTTCACAAGAGCAGCAAAACCATGATGAATCTTAGTACTAGTAATGTGGAATCATCCTCTAGTAATGCAGATTTCTTTTTCTTCAACTAAAGCCTCCTGTAATTAGGTTGAGGTCAATAAGGGCAATCAAAATTTTACCTAAGAATAGATATACCATATAACCTTGTATTTCATAATATTGCTGGGAAAAAGGCTTGCAGAAAAGCTGGGCCAAAGGGATTCAGTTGAGCATTGTCTCCCATAGCCCTCCCTGTTTTAATCACAGCAATTTCTTTTTACCAACTCTTGTTTATCTCCCCTTGGAAGCGAGCTTGAGCCTTTTAAGCCCAGGGATAGGTTGAAACCACAATAGGGAATCAAAGTTTATGGGAAAATTCCTTTAATATCTTCCCAAAAACCAATGGTCCAGAAAAGTTGAAACTTGTGTGAAAGTTTGTTGGGGTAAAGTAGATTCAAATTTCCAAATCATGACCCCAGAGGGTAGGGTGGGGCCACATTAGAGAATCCAGGTTGTACACTGAAATATAAAGGAAAGCTTGGCAAGAATAAGCTGACACTTATATGGAAGCTTCTTAGGGTAGTGTAGATTCTAAATTCAAATCATAACCCCCGGGAGTAGGATGGCGCTACAAGGGGTAAAATCTGGTGAAGAACTACTCAGGTGAGCGTTGTGGGCCAAGGGCCTCTTATGAATTGGAATTTCCTCTATCCAATTATGCTCTGTGTCGGCTCTAGATTTATAATCAAAACTGGCTTACTGGTTCTTGAGAAGATTGTTGAAAAATATGAAAAGTTTAAAGATGGGCTGACGCTGGGCAATGGGTGGTCAGAAAGGTTCACTTTCAAGAGCTTAAGTTTATAAGCTCAGTTAATTTGAAATTTTCACTAAATGAGTGACTTTTTCAGACGACCCTTCGGCAATTTAATCAAAGTGCATCGTAATCAATGTCGGTACATTTCTCAAATCGAGTCTAGAACTCGGAAAATAATGCATTTCTAAAGCTTTATTGTCTCCCACAGAATTCAGTGGGCACCTGGTGTACACAGATACAATAAAGATTCCTAGCTATCTGTTCCTCCTCACACAATATATGTTTTATTATGACGACCTAACTGATTGAACCATTGATTTCCGGTAAACAGGTTAATATAGTCGTATCAGAAAACACCAGCTTGTATGTTTTAAAGTATTTTCCCGTACTCCTTCTTTTAGATCATTGATCGCCACTGAAATTACTGCGACATCACTCAGATCTTAGATTGATGCGCGCTGAAATTAATCTGTCTTGAAGTTTGACTGTACATTCGCGTGCTGTGTAGCCACAGGGCAAAAGTGGGAAAGACACAGCGACTGAAATTAAACTAGATACACAATAACGAGGCTGAATAAGACAATGATTTATTATCATTTTGCAGTTTCTGTAACAAAGTGAAAATGTCCAGTTTTTACAGAGTCAGTTCATAAGACAGCAAGTTAAAACCCCGTCAGAGGATTTCTATATATAGATCAAGATCAGTCGTTAATAGGAGGGAGGAAAAAGGGCGGCAGAGTAAGAAGTGTCTGTAATATATGAAAACTCAAGACGTGCTAAAATCTGACAGGATTTGATTTTCTTTTTGTAATTGATATGATTATCCTCATCCTTTTGAAGCTATTTTCTACAATTAGAACAACTCTACATGTACATCCGTCTACAGTCTGTTTGGGAGTTGATCGATATTTCTGCCTGCAGTGATCTTTTGGCATTTTTTTTTCTATGCTGTATTTTCTTTGAGTGAATAGAAAGTTTACCTTTCGTAGATAAAAAAAAAACATTGCTACACAGAAAGCCAAAATGGATAACAAGTTTATTTTCTGAAACAAGTTTTTCTTTTTAATATTGTCGAATACAAATAATCACAATGAGTTGCTGTTGTTTGCGATAACTATTTCCGAATATTTAATATTGATTTTCGAAATAAAAAAGCAGCTTATACAAAGATGCAATGATTTTTTCTTCTTAAAAAGGTGTTTTTTTGTGTAGCATATGGTTTAACAATAAAAATTTTTGTTTGTATATAAAGGAATATTGGGTGTTTGACTGGCTATATTTAGAGGGGAGAATGAGAAAAATAAATTTCGCTGTGTATATATTTATAATATTATAAACAATTATATACATGAACCACACACACGATTGATATACATTGTTCAACAAATAGAACTGATAAGTTCCGTTTCCGGTCTACAACCGGAAGTACTCAACACTAGGGGAAAAGAAAAATAAAATTCTACAAGAAATCAACAGCATATTTAAAAAATCAGCGTATCTCAACAAACCACTGGGGTCACTCAGAAACATTAGCTGTGCCACTAAGCACAAAAATGAATTAAGTGACGCCTACCCAGGTCAATTTACCATGACAATATTAGTTGGTGCCTGTAGAAACGTACAAGATATAAACTACAAGTGCTAACAATGTAAACTAGTATACTTTTTCTTATTCAATTTAACTCTAATTCATAATTTGTGATTCATATTTATTCTACTTTGTAAACTTGAACATTTTCTATTAACAAATTTTGGAGTTTATCCTAGTTTAATATTTGTCTTCTAAAATTTTACTCTATGGCTGAATATCATGATAATTGAATCTTTAAACTGTAGGAAAAATCCAAATAATAGGCGATTTTGAGACACTGAGTCTAAAAGACTTAAAAACTTTTCAACATAAAATTCTTGGCATTTAACTACATACAGTGCGTAAAGATGTACACAGCAAGATTACTCAGTTGTGGAGAATCTTCCTTCCATGTTATGACAATACTGAAGCTGTATATAATATCGTTCGGTTGCGTTGTACATGTTAACAAAACAAAGGACTCGCTATCAGTCAGTGATAGCATTCTCAGGGGGTTCGTTGCAAATTGTTTTGTGACCAATTTTAACTAAGGAGGAAACGGTAAACAATTTTAAATTGTGCACATTGTGATATAAGTATTGGTTTCGTATATGGGGAATAACTCTGATTTGACACTTTAAACTGATAAGAATCTACATTTTTTGCCATTAATGAAATTCTCTAGTTAATTACATGGGACAACATTTAATATGTGTAAAGGGGTCAACATCACAGACGTGGGAAGTGAATGAATTCAAATATTTGTTTATATAGAAATATAGATGGAAAAATCATCACATTTCTATGCATGTTCCTAACCTACACCAGGTGTCGCTTTGTCATGTGAAGCAGAACACGAGGACATTCTACAGGTAACTAGCCATTCTCCGACAGTCCCACTTCCGGTTTCGAAGAGCAGACGTGACGTCATAAACTTTATTTTCCGATATGTCTTGCTCGGCTGGAAGTCACTTAACTGGACGACATAGCGACACGAAGCCTGGGTTACGTGTTGACAGCCACTAGATTGTTGGACTTTGGGGGTGAGGTGGAGGGGGAGTAGTGTCTAGGCTCCGTCGCGTTGTTCACGGCTGAAGAGTTTGATATTTTGGAGGGGTCTGTTGCAGCACCATCTGTCACGTGAGCACTGTTCACTAAGTCTGCTGCAAAAAAAAATTATTAAAATCAAATGTAGTTCCTGATAGACATAACGAAATTGTGGACACCGTTCAATAGTGCAAAATACATGTATCGTTTAGAAATCCAAATCTGGATTCTGGTATTAACCTAAACTGTTTGATTGTACATGTATTTGTATTTTTACATCCGAATTTTTGAAGCCATTGTTATGAATCACCCAATAAAGAATTTATTGCAAATTTTCTTTTTAATTTCCATCCTCAAATAAGAATGGAATAAACGATTCCTTCCATAGCTTCGAAAAAACTCTTTCTAAAATCAATCGACAAGTATTTTATTTACATGCAACTGAAATTTATTGGTCATGTATTTGCTTGTTACATTGTAAAATCGGGAATCTTGATTTTTTTTCCCCAAACGTTTTACCATCATAATGGCATGATTTATTAGCGTCACGTGATGCAAATTGGTCGTCACGTGATACACATTTTTGTCCCCCGCTTGAAAAGTGGGGGATATTAATTTGGGTCTGTCCATCCGTCCGTCTGTCTAGCTGTCTGTCCGTCTTTCTGTCTGTCTGTAATGCTTTCGTTTCCACACGATATCTCGAGAAGCCTTTGAGCTTTCGCAATGAAATTTTGAAAAGCAACTCCCTATGGGCTAAAGAAGAACCCAATTAATTTTGAGGTCAAAAGGTCAAAGGTCAAGGTCATTAATTTGCAAATTCTGTCTGTTATAATACTTTCGTTTCCGCGCGATATCTCGAGAACCCTTTGAGCTTTTGCAATGAAATTTTACGTAACAACTCCCTGTGGCCTAGGGAAGATCCTTATTGATTTTGAGGTCAAAAGGTCAAAGTTCAAGGTCGTAAATTTATATATTCTGTCTGTATGAAACACTATCCTTTCCGGGAGATATTTCAAGAAGATTTTGAGCTTTTGCAATGTAATATTATACCAAAACTCCCTAGGACGTCTCTCGCCCCTCTCAAAGTGTCCCGCCCCTTTTGTTTTATTAGTATTTATTGTATTACGTCGCTATTTTTAGCACAGGGGCATAAAGAGAGTTATTACGTATAAAACAGGTTCTCAGTGGACTTTATTAATATTCTTATTATATCTATTAGAACTGTTTAATAAAGGTTAAATTAGACACCATGCATCGTGTAAAATTTTGACAATATCGTGAATATATACAAGTTTGTGACTTCATTCTTGCATATAATTTTCGTAAACGTGAAGCAGTTCCGTGGTCTAGTGGTATGTCTCTCACTTCACATGTGAGAGGTCCCGGATTCGAATCCCGGACGATCCATTTTCTTTTTTTTTCCGAAATATTTTTTTCTACTAAATGATAGTATTCAGCATGTGAAATGAAAAAATTTATGAGGTCTGGTTTGTACAAACTCATAAATCATCATTAATGTGATAAATATTCCATATAAAAAGAATCTTCTATACACATAATAAAGAATAAGCAATCAAATCTTTATATTTATATTGGCATATTTTATTTGCTTCAGTATACATGTGTATATTTAATAATTCTACAAATTCAGTCAAGGGGGTCCGACCCCCTCTCCCCCCGAACTGCGCATGGTTTACTTTTTCCCTAAGCGGGGGGACACAAATTCTCTGAATTAGCTTGTATAATTTGGTGTTCTTCCATTCCAACCACAACAGAACTGATGGAACCACAGAGGAACCGTTTCATTAACACCAGGCCTCCCTCTCCTATCGAAGTCAAAAAGTAAAGGGTTGACGTTTTTTATAATCTGACTGACCTATGGGGGCAAGTAACAGTCGTTTTCCTCCTTTTTCACCCACCCTTTACTAATCTATTACAGTTTACGATGGTCACCCCACTAAGTAGAGAAGATAAATAGATCTTGACAAATCTCTTATGATCCATAAAACCTGCAGCAGACCAAATGCAGACAAATGAACAATTTTGATAATTAACAAACAAATGACTATTTCATGTGTAAAAAGAAATGGGAGCGGAGCTATAACTTTCCATACAGGAAGACCGATGCGTAATATCAATGTTCAGTGCGTCTTCAATGCATAGAAAAATTTAGCTTCCTATTGTTTGAAATATTTATTATCTATCTTCTTTTGGGCTTGTCTTGTTAAATGATTATGGAAAATGACCCTCTCTTGTCGTAATTATTAATGTATAGGGAATACTTTTTTGTTAGATGAGTCGGTTTACGTGTTTAGTCTGATTGCTTGATACTTTGATAGCGTGCAACAGAATAATCTTGAATGATTAAGTCGATGTCATTAAAGTATATAGTTAGAAGGTAAACAGTTCTTTTATTTTGACTCGAAAAGGTATTAAGTATAATTGACAAATAAAATGACTCGTTTGAGTTTTCAAGAAGATAAACTTGACAAGAAGGTTCTCTTTTTTTTTAAAGTGATAAGAAAAAGTAATCGATATCAAAAAGCTGTAATTAATACAAATCCGTGAACACGGTGTAAAACATGTCAAGTTGCATGTAACTCTTTTATGGAATCAGGTGCCTTGGAGTTGTAAACATTCCCTGATAACTAGTAACGCCTAGAGCCTAATTATGTATAAATCAAGTAGACAGAGTACTCTGTATTGACGCACAGGACGTTTAACAGTTCGTAACAACATGTTTTCGAGGTTGGCAGGGTTGGTCTAATTAAAAGACAAAAAGACCAAACCTCACAAATTCTCTCTTATCGATGAAGAAGGTTACATGTTTTGAGTCTCTGATCAACTGTTTAACAACTAAAAATTTAAATTCTAATGAATCGATTTCGACTTCCTTTATCAAAATTTTCCCGAACTTTTTCGTAGTCCTCTGACTTTTCCCTTTATTCTATGAAACTCGGAACTCGAAAGTTACCCGCTAGGTGTCGTTTTTGGATCACTTCCGTAATTTCTGGTTTGACATTTCCAAATTTTTCACATTTGACGCTGAATACTCGGATAACTGGGGAATGTCTGGGCAATTGAATGGAACGATTAAAAACAAAAATATCCACCGAAACAAGATATCATGACACATTTTGGTGACATATAGTAGTTATACGATATTTTAGGCCCGATATTCAAGAGGGGTCCGATGTAAACAACCGAAGTGACTTACCTTCTCTATTTTATAATACCAGGGTATGACTTTTTTTTAGTAAATCGTTAAATCTATGTTATTTTTTTGGATTTTTCATATGGAATACGTTGTAAATAAGTACTAGAAACATTATTCATGACAAGAAAAAAAAAGAAAAAAAAAGTTGACCAGGGGTGTACATGTATATAAGGGGGCGGGGGGTCCTGTCCACAAGTATCCACAAGTACCTGTGACCCCACTTTTGATATATCCTTGATAATTTTTGTTTTACAAGTATATCAACTGCATGACTTTTGAATTAGAAAAATACGTAGTATTCTCAATATGTTAACTTTCTCTATACTTTAAGAACTGTAAAGTAAACTTCATTAGTAAGCTTACTCGTGATTATAGAACAATAAAGTAACTTGACTTGTAAACTAACTTGACTTTGAATACTATACAAGATTAGGTAACTTACACTAATCTACATAACTACTAAGTTAGCTATATTAATAAATTGTTTTTTGACATTTAGAATGTAATTATATGTAGTACGCTTTCAGTGGTTCATTAACTTGATTGACTTATTTTTGACTTAGTGAAGAATACTTGATAAGTTTAAAAGTTAACTTACTCTAAACTTGAACAAAAAGTAGCTAGATTAGATAGTTCTCTCCTTTTGGATTTTGTCATAACGAGGTTTGACTTTGTATAAACTAGAATAAATAACATTCTTGTCATGGATTTTGTCATGAGGTTTGACTATGTAAAAAATAGACTAGAATAGATGAAGAACTCTCCTCTTGGATTTTGAGATAATGAAGTTTGACTGTGTATAACGGAGATGAGATACCGTTCTCTTCTCTTCAATGGTTTTTGGCATAACGAGGTTTGACTCTGTATTTAGTGGACTAATAAGATAACGTACCCTTCTCTTGTTTTTGGCATTGCAAGTTTTAACTGACTGTGTATTTAGTGGACTATTTAGATAATAACGTTCTCTTTTCTTGGTTTCTGGCATTACGAGGTTTGTGTATTTAGTGAACCATTAAGATAACGTATCCTTCTCCTTGTTTGGGGGATAACGAAGTTTGACTGTGTATTTAGTGGACTTTATTTAGATGACGTACCCTTCTCCTGGTTTTGTGGTGACCCGGTGGTGGTGGCAGTGGCGGGACTGGAGACAGAGTTGCTGTTGACCCCAAGGCTGACTGATGTGGGGGTCGTACATTTACTCGCTCCCACAGGTGTGCTGTTAAGGTTGGCGTTTGGCGCCATAATCAAGCTCGTGATTCCTGTGGCATCTATCAAAGAAAAAAACATACCTAGATACATTTATAAAGTCTTATGTCAGCTGTATATTCAGTGTAAAGTTAGTCACAGTGTACCAAGTCCATTTACTTGTTAATACTTCAACGGAATTCTGATTTCAAGTTTTTAAAAAAGAAACAAAAATGCAGTAAGATAATGATAATGTATTGGTTATATATATGATATAAACCGATTAATGTATATATCTTAAACCTATGAACTGCATGTTTTTGATATTTTTAACCAATGCTTATAGGATTTTTTTTTGTATGTATATGATATAAACCGATTCATGTATATACCTTAAACCTATGAACTGCATGTTTTGGACATTTTTAACCAATGCTTATAGGATTTTTTTAATTACTCAGAGGGAATCATCTTTGTAAGAATAATTTTTTTAAATTTTATCCAAATTTAAACTACAGGGCTCTCAGAGACAAAGAATGTTGCTGAAGTTGTAAATATGGCGGGCATTACAAACAAGTTATAAAATGACGTTAATTTGAAGCTATCGCTCTGTCTTTGCGGTTTTTTTTTAAATGTCTGTCTTTAAAATAAATAAACCATTCTTTATATTTGTGCAAAACTTCCTTACATAAATACTGGCTAACTTTTTTTTTAATTTTTGCTATAACACCGAGTTTAACGCTTCATTGTGTATTCTGGTGTCTCCCTGTCTTTTGTAATCTGCGTGTTTATATACAGTAACCATTATTTACCAGCACTCACTCCGCAGAAATCGAACATTCCAATCTCGGTAACATTAACGACAGCATGCAACTCCAACATGGATGGTGATATCGATTTTAAGTAAACATAAAGTTAGAACTACGCTTAAAAAGGAGAAGATCTACAACTAAAATGCTGTAAGCCACATTGAATGCAAGCCGTGCTTCGCTACACGCAAAAGCTTGTTGTTTCTGTAAACCAGTTGTAAGTAGCGGAAATTATTTCCATGGTTTTGTTCGTGATTTGAAATCTCATAATATAACAACATTTATAGAAATCAATAAATACAAGATAGGGGGAAAAAATCTAAGCTAGTTTTAGAAGTAAATATGGTTCTATGAATTCTTATAAGTAAATTAAAAAAGGATTTTAAGAATTTTAAACAGAACAATGACGACAAAAAGCCACAAAACTTCCTCAGAATACAAACCAGTTGGCTTAATTTCGGTAACTTTTAGAGGGGTTCCGGGGTTAGAACTTATTTCCACTAGTCGCGGGGGATTCTTGTCTACCACATGGGATTGGGGTCGGGATCGAGGTACCGTATTATCCTCTTTATCGGTGTGATTTATCATCAACATCGGGATCGATTCCTCTCCTGCTCGGCCTACAGAAGCAACACAAAATGCACATATTAGCACACAACAACATGCGATTAGTACAAAACCAGCAAAAATAAACAATATCTACCATCGTCTACACGGAAGTGTTAGCAAGTACAGAGTCACATTCTACCATGGAAACAGTTTTTATTAATAACCAATGGCTAATTTTCCTCCTCGCAATGGGTTAATTAACTGTACGGGCTGCTTTACAAACTTTCTCTTGGTAAATCAGCTCAGTCTCAGTAAACCTCTTTTATAAGATATAATTATCAGATTGGCTGCAGTATTTAATGTTCTACAAAGATTTGTTAAAACGTAAGCGGAAAATTAAGATTGTAGCATTTACAAAATTAAAAGTGCTATTTCCGTAATCTACCGTCATCTTGCTCTACTCTGTTTAATTAAAAGAAGACTTGAGTTTCATACAAAAGACTAGGCTAAATTAAAGATAGACAAACTGTTAGACATATGAATGAAGAATAAGTCCCAAATACTTATTGCCTTTCTTAATTTCTCTATACTGTAGTAGATGATGCTTTATAGCAGAGCATTTAAATGCTGTAATTAAATTTTATAAAAAAAAATCGAAGATATATAAGTTGTGATAATTTTCTAATGTTAGTAGTTAATTTGCTTAGTGGAATAAACTGACCAGCTCGTGTTATTAGTACAGAATATAACTGTTAAAGATATTGGATACACGGTGTCTATTAATCATACAGAGTGGCATGCATTCAATTATTCGCTTAAATACATGTATCAGTAACAAAATCAGCTTAATACCAAAAATTCAGTGTGTTTGATATAATATATAAATATACAATGTGACAAGTGGTTGTTGCAGAATATAAGACTCCAGTAATATTGACCCAAAACTGTGAGTAAATAAAAAGCTTGAGAACTCAAAATGGAGCCAAATCCATAAGTTATTGTTTGATTCAACATGGCATCAACCAGATTGAGTAAACAGTAGAAAGTTAGAGTGGAAACTAATGGTGAGAGGGCAGACGATAGCAAGTCTTTAGTTACTACACAAATACTTCAGATAAACCTCGCTGATTGCCTCCTGGGAAATATTATTGTGATTTCAGAGCAAAAATGGTAAGCATTTCCAATCAATTTCCGAGGCATGTTTTTAACAATGTCGAAACAATGCAAACCGATAGCGAAAAATTGTGTTTGTTTGCGCATTTGTAGACATAAGAAATCACGGAGATCTTGCTATCGCCATCAGTATTATCTTTCAACAGATTTCCCTGACTTGCATATAGCAATCAAGAAAAGTTCTTTATCTCACGGCAAAATCATGGCATACTATACCTAGGTAATACCCGTACGGATATGCTGCAGAGGAAAAAGAACGGGACACATTAGCATACGACAACAAGCTCTAATGGTCACGCAACTCTTTAAGTTGTCAATATATTAACTTCTATATCATACAATTCATCCTCTTAACTATTCACTACTTGTGCATTTATCGATGTTAGTAATTTCTATTTCCTAGGCTACACGTAACACTATAATACATGTTATAATAGACATATACAATTTATAAAAAGCATATTCATATACGAGGTGATTTGTTATCTTTTAATCTAGACATTGATTGGTGTTTATTGTGATTATGTACAGATGGAGCTTTCTAATCTACATTGTGTTAGTAGGCATGCAATGTGAAGTTGGCCGAAGGTGACCACGTTACCCATGCAATACGCGGCCGAAGAGCCACCTGGTGAACAGAACCCTGAAATTTTTAATTAACATCCTGTTATTTAAAACTTGGTTAAGTTTAATTGAAATTAAATATATCGATGTTAAAATATAGCCAAAAATTTCCAATGTTGATACAATTATTCCACTTCTGTCACTCCCAGAATGGAATGGATTGTTTTAATAGAGGCTCTAATTTCTAATGAAAATTGCGCTTTGGCCTTGAGAGAATTTAATTATATAAAGATTTACAAACTGAGTTTATCTCGATCCTTCTCAATAAAGAGTACCTGCCATTTCTCCGGAAAGAATGTTCTCAGACAATGATATATTGTAGAAATCACAGTGTTAATTGTTTACCTTACTAACATTTGAAAAATTCACGATAACCATGATAATGAATTTCATTGCGTTTTGCTGTAAAATAATGAAAAGAATTTCTTTCATTTATCATTAAAATCTATTACATTTTTTACAACAATCTATTACATTTTGTACCATTTTAATCGTACTAGAGTATTGTTCCATTATATTCTATTACATATTGTACCATGTACTGAGGATTCTTACATCTAAAAGCCGATCATTCCAGTGTTTAAAACTATACCCTTTATCTGAGACTTCGGCGTTCAATTCCTTATAATGTACAGAAATTTGAAGCTTGGTTCATTTGTAGAAGTCTAGCCACTTCAAAACATAACCATCTATATTGATTTTATGTCTGGTCGTACAGTCATGCTAAGTAAACATTGTACATGGTAAATTCGTGAGTTCTGGTGATCACCACACGGAATGTTTTGTGACGTATATAAAATAATTAAAATAACCCAAAGAAAAGTAAAGAAGTAATCGAGATTTAGATAAAGTTGTTAGACGCAAGTCTTCAGGATCAGAGAAATTTAATTGTGCTCCTACAAAAAGTACATGCTAAACTCGAACCCAATCCGAGTTCAAATCAACTAACAAAAACAGTGTTTAGATGAGATTTAACATTGAGAAAACACACCATGAAAGGTCAACTAGAGGTTACCACTGGATATAAATAGCTGCGTTATGAAGTAGCGAGCATTGCTTTATTGCCTCTTTGGGGTGATTATGACTTGGAAGAATTATAATTCTATAGATTAATACAGATCGCAGGTTGTTTCGTTCCTGTTCGATGACTGTTGTTTACATTTGTTGGCTTTTACTTGTTCAATCATTGCCAAAATCATCGCCTTGAACTCCAAACCCTTGATAAAGCAAACGCAGGATTCTAAATAATACGTTTAATAGAAATGTGCTTACTATGAAATCCCAGTTGACACTCTACAATTAAGTCAGAAACAAAACTTTTTTTTTCTTTTTAGCAAATTTAGATTTTTTTATATGAAGTAATGAATTATATACTTCAAACTGAAAGAAGACGGGCGAATAATTCATTGTTTGTGGCACAAAGGGCATTTTGCTCACCTTTTCTACCCATATTCTTTAATGACATTTAATACTAAAGAGTCTTATTCACTAAATACGAGGAAAAAGTGATTGACTTGTGCGATATTGACCCAATCAGCATCCAAACATATGTCGTTTTAATTCTAAAACAGCTGTTTTTCTGAAAAAGTATTCCATTCTCTTTGATCATTTTTTTTTTCGTGACAACATGTACAAGGCAATTCCTCGTAAACCAGCCCATGGATATAATTACCGCGTCATTGCACTATAAATATTTAAAGCAATTCTTGTGTATAGTGTAAATTCAATTTACACAGAACATGTGCAATAAGATATGTACGTCATGGGCATAATAAACAAAGTCTGAATTCCATCTGTCAACAATGTGACTTGAATTGTGAGTTGAAGTCTTTGATTCAATGCTTATCTGGGTCTTAATGAGACAAGGTTTAAAATATTTACTTAAGGTTCCTCTTGTAGGTGAAATTGTTAGTGTTTATTGTATTGGCATGAGGTCTAGGGTGTTTCTGTCCGTATTTAGAACTAGCATTGTTTAAATCTAACATGTCCAATTAATTGACTGCTTCTGACAGATAAGTTGATGTTACAGGGACTTCCACAACCCTGTTTAAAGTCATCATTTTGTAAATTCTATTGTCATAATAAAATGGCCTTGTTAGCAAATATAACATCCCAAGAGGTTGTTTTTCGGCTGACATGTTTCATTAGGCCTTCGTTTTTATACTGAAATCGACTATGGAACGTTCCGACTGCCTGCTCAATACATAGAGCTCACGTCGGCTGTGACAGGTCGACAAGGCAGGGGATGCTTACTCCTCCAAGGCACCTGATCCCACCTCTGGAATTCCCAGGAGTCCATTTTATACAATCTTCACGGGTTCGTATTGGTTATAGGATTTTCTTAATCAGTCGATGAATGTTCGTTGTCTTTACCTTTTTTAATTCATTTGGAGCTTATAAGAATTATAAGATAATAAGATTTTGTTATTCCTGGCGCTAGATAGCAACGGTAAATTAAATAAAAGGCAAACATCTCATAGTGAATATATAAAATATGTAGTAATGTAAAGTCACCGAGAGAGCTTACCCCAGTATTCGAAGAGATTTTTCTGTGGATAAAATTAATCATGGATAATTGGTAGCGATTTCATTTTGGCACGCGTCACGCATACGGTATGTTTTACTGTACTTGCAAAAAGACTCTTCACTGTACGTTCCAACAGTTTAAATAAAAAAAAATTATTGTTACTGTTAAATTGTACGAGTAAAAAGGACTATATTTGTATACATTTTTTGCAGCACTATCTAGAAATAACCTAGGATGACGTGTATAATTTATAAAAGCAGAGATTTGCAAAGATGACTCCAGAAGATAGCGTGACACATGTTTACAAAGCACATTCAAGTTGTTAGTCTGATGTATGTACATGTTAGTAAGAGACGCACAGGAAGTTTCCTAGAGTAGTATCTACAGAAGCGCATGCGCCACACATAAATACAGAATGTTTCCGGTAACTTACTACGGAAGGGCATCAGTTGCTGTATACAACCTTGGTCTTTTCGATAAAAATAAGAGGGTTTTAGAAACAATCAGTCAAAGCAATCAGATTTATATTCATATCTGTAACTGTGGCATATCTAAACTGATTTTATAATAAAAGTATACCAAGAAGACTTGTTTTCTTAATTTGAAAAAAAAAATTGTGCTGAAAAATCTCATTGTTCTTAGTACAAACGTGAATCTAATCTATTGAAAGTGCCACTCGATCACTCAACTAGTTTATAAACTGACAAAAGTAAAACAGGTAAACATGTCCTAGACTATATACTACTCAATAACTGCATAAGTTGACAAAGAATTAATTATTACAAACAAGAAAACTTATTAATAAGAGAATCAACAATTGTTAGCATAATCGAAATTAATCTCTACGGGATAGGAATAACATTTGTCATGTATGACGTTTCTGTAAGGAAAAACATGTACATCTTCAAATCTGAACTATATAAGATTTTAAAAAAAATCATGCACGGTCAAAAATTAGACACTCCTACACTACTCCCAATGAACAATTAAAATGCGGCAAAGCGATTGAATCGACAAGAAAATCACATTGGAAGGAATTTAGAGAAAAACACGTCGATGAACACTTTGCAATTACTCACCCATTCTGTTTATTTTGTGGTCTTGCTGTCCTACGGGAGGGTGTTTTATAGCGTTCCTATGCCTGTTGATTGGAGGGGGTCCTCCTCCCGGCCCCATCCCCTTTGGACCCTTCGGTCTGGGCAGCTCTACCGGCAGAACTCGCCGTCTTTTCTTCGGTAGTTTGGATCGTGCCTGTGTATGGGAATAAAACAGGGCAAAGTTGCTCACGATAACTGGTACCGGAAGTGCAATTGTTAGTACACCCAGCAACGCACAGAGAGCACCAACAAACATTCCGACGTATGTTTTCGGTGCCATGTCTCCATAGCCTACAGTTGTCATAGTAACTATTGCCCACCACAGTCCAACCGGAATTGAAGTGAAATCATTATCCGGGTTATATTGAATTCGTTCCGCATAAAATATCAAAGCGGCAAAAATCACAATGCCTAACACTAGAAAAAACACCAGTAGAACAAGTTCCTTCGCACTTGCTTTGAAGGTATGAATAAGAATTTTCAGCCCTGCAGAATGGCGGGTGAGTTTACACAGTCGCATAATACGGATTATACTAAAAAACTCCAGTATATCATTTTCTTGTTTCAGCTTTGTCAACATAAAATCCAAATAGAATGAAAGTGTGGCAATTATGTCGATGATGTTCACCGGTGCTTTCAGAAAATCTAACTTATTTGGTGCAACTATCAAACGAATTATTATTTCAAATGTAAACCAAGCATTGCTTGCACACTCGATATAGAAAAAAGCCTGGTGAGGTTCTGTTTTCTTTTTCTCTAACCGCCATGACATTTGCCCGTCGGAAGTGTTCGAAGTAGTATTCCTGAGCACTGGCACTCTCATCTCAGGGTGAGTTTTCAAACAGAAGGAGAGAATAGAAACCACGATGAAAAATACTGATACAACGGCTATAACCTGGAAAAGGAAGAGAAGTTAAACTTTGTCTGGCTAAACAGCCTTAAACTGTAAAAATATTATTACATATTTTATAAGTATAATGTATATCTAACTGTAACATCATCAGTATCAGTATAGGCAGTACTTTATATCTAATGAATAGATATCCACAATTAGAAAGTTTAAGCCTTTACTGATGAAACAATGTAAATATGAATTATAAAGAGTACAGAACATTTTTGTACGTTTTTTTTAGTATAAAGTATAAATACATGTATATACGTATTTGCATCTTTACCATGGACAAACACTGTTTTATTACTATCAATTACATGTACAATATCATACTTTCAAAAATCTTGATTTTGCAAGCACTGTTTATAAAAGAAATAAAATCAGATTCTCTTAAATTAAAAGGAAGAAAAACGAAAGCTCAAGTTTTTCGATCATGTTTGAAAACCTATTTTTTCATATATTTATCATCATAAAAAACATATCTACAGAAAATGTATCTCTTATTTTCAAGTACCTGAACTCGGCCATTTGGCTAAACTGGAAAGTAATAATGTAAATATTTTGAAATTGTAGCTAATTATTTTTAATTTAAAAATAATTAAAGACCCAATTTTTTTTTACCGTACGGTTACCTGAGGAGGGGGAATGGTCCACGCAACAGTGGTATTATTTACCTGGAGACCCCCAATACCCAAGATGTCAAAAATCTATATACACGTAGCATTACACAGGAAGTCTGTGTCTGGTGATCAGGGTCAATATTCCGTGTTTCGTGTCTAAATTTGAGTGAAACTACTTGAAATAATTGAAATATTTCAATAAAAAAAAAAAATTATAAATACTTTCAGTGATATATAATGAAGAAAAAAAAATATATACAGAAATATCGTTTTTATATTTAAAAAAAAATGACAAATTAAAGAAAAGAACACAGTGTAAAACTACAAAGTAAACATATCTTTTTAAATTAAACTTGTGTAAATATCAAAATTTTAAAAAAAATTATATAATTAAATATTCCATTCATAGGTAGGCCTATCCGTCGTGTGAACATATACAATGTACCGTACTACGATAGGAATATTGCCTACGTTCTGATCAACAATAGTGTCGAAAATATTCCCCATTTCCGGGTGTTCGTGTGTTTAATTTTTTTTTATTGTTTGCAAGATTTCTTTTATACTTGTAAGAATTGATATTTGGCTGTATATATACACTTTTTAATTTCGAATATTGGGTATTGACAGATGTAAGGAAATTTAAAAGTTACATTATATTTTCATTTCAGAACTTTACAACGGAACATGGTATAAAATATATACGTAGATAAAACATGGGATAAATGATTTTTTTTATCCGTGCCGTTTGTGCTAAATATCTTTTCTTATTTATCATATTTCAATTTTAATCGACAATTAGCGTTTCTGTGCACGGACTGGTCTAAATTCTACAGAGCAGATATCTTGGACGACATATCGCCTAAAATACAATATAGCCGTTGAGATTAAAAGCAATTATTTTATGAAGTCATGTTTTAATTATCTACTACTTTAAAATAAAATTTTACCAAGATTCTTTTTTTAACCCCCGTGTATACAAGGCGGCTACATAAAAGTGTTTGACGCGTGACCAGGCAATCGTTTTCAAAGGACATTTATCGTAGTCAATCAAATCAGAAGCTATTGTTTTTTTAATGATTGACAGGCGGTAAATTATTGATCTTGAATCAGGTAGATTTTGGGGGCGTTAACATAAAATTGGGTGTTTAACACAGGGAAAGGACCCGGATGGTTTCCCTTTTATACGAATGCTTTACTTATTGCACTCTGTACTTTATTCAACCTATAAGCACATCAGCTGAATTTGTGAGTTATGATGTTATCATTAGAACACTATTACTGACGAAACTCCTTTTACTGGCGAGTAAGACCTAAGATCGTGTTCGATTCGTCCTGCTGCACCGAGATTGCTCACACGTGGAGGAATGTCTTTGTTGTTCTGAAACAGACAGCTCAACTGGTTGACAATTGTTCTATGTTTGGCCTAGGATGTGTAATCAGTGTATACCACTTGTGTGGTTTCTTTTACATTGTCTTATGTTATTGTTCCTCGGGAATATCTAGAAGCAAGAGATTAACAACTCTTATCCCGCGGCTTTTGTATTGGAGATGCCAGTATTGTGGCACCGCGTCTTCTTTAAGATCAACTCTTGGTTTGCCAGATAACGGCGTAACAAACAAATAAATGAGGTGGTACAAAGACACCACAAATATTTCTCCACAGCTGTTACTTCTAGCATTAATTCAAAAAGTCATTTTAGTGTCATTCTCTAGGAAATTTGAGTGCCATTCTTGATTAAGCTTTCACCTCAAAAATGCAGATTAACCACTACATGTATACATATTCTTAGAAATACTTTTTTTCAACGAAGATGGTCCATTAAAATTGACATCAAAGATAGTGTAGAATTTTATCAATTCTTTTTTTCTTCGTTCAAATTATTTGTAGTGTTTAAATAAAGTTTTCTCGTATTTTAAATATAGAAATATTCCCTTTGCCTACCTACATGTGCGCTTATGAATGCTACATCTTCGGCGTTTGCTGGGTTTTCAATTCTAGTGATTGTATATCTGACAATGGCAGATGATGGATGTTAACGGTCTATGACTGTCAAGAAGGCACAATTTAGCTTCAAAGCCTGATTATTTACACAGAAGCAGTTTTTTTTCTGCCATAGGTTCTGACTTCTGGTAAAAATATCATTCAATAAACAAGCTGGCAAAATGAACGATTTCCAGAGACCGGGAAAGACTAGCTAGCTATAACTGTCAGTTTAATGCTTTACCCTCGGGTAATTGGTGAACTCTTACGCTTGTATTGACTTCACAAACATTACACTGAAAATAAAAATCGGCAGACTCGAAAGACAATAGTCCCTTGGATACTAAGCTTGGCCAAAGTTCAGTGGCTCGTGGTCGGGGTCTAGAGGGCATATCAATGTTTTTCAAATTAAATACGGATATTGAAAAATAATCCCAAAAATGCAGGCATTTGTCATAAAAAAAATAATGATTTTTTTTTACGGGAAATAAGTTTTAAAAAGATAATTTCTATCCACAAATCACTTTGTTACAAAGAACATGGGTACTTAGTATTTGGTGCTTAATACATGCACTAACAACAAGCGTGTTTTTACTTAATCTTCAAAGATAAATTCCGAGTCAGAAACAATATCAAATTTGATGATGTATTTGATGAATGTGTTGTGTTTGTAAGTAATTTTACAAGCAGATTATCTGTTAATCCTAGTGAATTGAGGTTATTCCTTCTAATTGACCGACTTAATTCGGTACACGAGTCGTTCATCAATCACCTTAAATTACATCTGTCAGCGTCAATCATTTTTTGCAAAGAAGGTGTGAGTAAAAATAACCATAAAATGTTTTCGCTGATTGTGAAGAAACAAGGATTGGTTTTCATTATTTACCCTCTGAAAGAAAGAAGCGATTCAACATCCTCTTTCAATTTACGCGGACTAATGGAAGAAATTAATTTTCTGCAACTAAAATATTGAATGATGAGTAAGAAAGGCTTTTATTTTGGTTTCTGATTTGAAGCTTTGATTAGAGTGATGATAATTTTTTAAGCTCGTACGACAGAAGCAGGGTTAAACAATGCCTTCTTCACGATAGCATTCCTTTAAAAATAGATTGAAAAACAGTTGATTTGCCTTAAATAAGACGACAAGTTTTTTATTCTCCGAATCATGTGTTCCGTATATGAGTAATCTCGCCAAGTCTATAAAAACACGTTCTCTTACCTTGGCAGCATTGGACGAGTAGGGTTCGTCAAATAGGGCCCAGATCTTGGGCTGGATCCTTTGCCAGCAGTTTAACTCCCCTGCCCTATATTCCTCCTCCCAGCCGAATTTCTTCATGATGTCCTCCTCCGTCGGTTTGTCCGTGTCGAGGTCCAGTCGGTCTAGAATCGCCAGCACGTCTTGCGTGTCCCTGTGCTGGGTGTACGTCATCCAACAACACGGCTCTACTTGGTTAGAGTCCAGTCCCCAGAACTCCAGCTCCTCCTCAAAGAGAGGACCGCAGACGTCCGTGGGGTAATGGAGTTTCCCCGTCCTGTAGTAATTGAGAATTTGTGCGAACACCCCAGGGTGACGATCAAAGAAATATTCATTAAGTATAGGGTCGTAGTTGGCCAGAGCCTCCGTGAGACGTGACAGACGGGTGGCGGGGATCTTCTTCAGGGTGGCCTTGTAAGTCTCGTGGCGGATCCCGCCAACATTCAGTATGACCCGATTGTCATCGATCGTTGTCATTGTTTACAGAACGTTCAAAAACTGACGTTAAACATGTACTCCAAAATTTTACAGAATAACAGCTAGAACTGTGTCACTTTCACATCACAACAACGAACTGTTTCTTTCTTTTACCCATGTTCCAGAGAGCGGTGAACGACCAGCCTGGAAGACAAATTAATACAATCAACGCACACTTGTCAATATTTCATAAAGGTTCCAAACTTAATTTTCTTCAGTTATGGAAATACGATTATATCATAAATAGAATAACATAAAAACACTGTACAAAAATGTTTATTCGTGTTATGACAAAATGTTAAGACCATTAAACCTTTTGAATTATTAACGTCAAAGTCGAAAAAAGCCTATAGATTCACGTTCATTTGTTCAGAATTCAGGAATGATTAACTCAATTCACACAAAACAAAAAAGGAGTATTGAACAACGGTTAAGAACATCTAATTCAAAACTGGGAAACTTCGACAGTGATAACTCTTTTTTGAATATATTTAAATAGAACTTTTTGCGGAAAAAGACTTTCTACGTCAATATATAAATTCAATGCAGCATTGAATAAAAGTGGCGACTCGTCACCATAAATTCAACAAAATGTTTAACAACAGTTACGTACGTGTATATTATTAGTTATTAAGAGTCCAAAAAATAAAATAAGTGTACAGCAATAGGAATGCATAAAATATTCTCAATCAGAAACTGTTACAACTTGTTACCTCTTAACTAATTCAGAATATTCTTCAACAACACGAATTCCCTGACTTAAACCTCAACGAGTACATTCAGCAATATCTTGTCATAAAATTCAATCAGAATATTCAATGCAAACAACTTATTGGCAGTTATTCTTCAGATATAACAAGTCCTTACCATAAAAAACAAACGGCACATTTACCTTCAGTAACAATTTCTCACCATAAAATTAAAACACTTATCACAAAACATTATACTATGACCTCAATATACTTCAATAGTATACAAAAAACCGTTGAAATCGTATTTGTGTTTAATTAATTACAAGCATCATGATTTGACCCCTTTCCTGCTAGTTTGGAAAACTCTCTTGTAAAAAAAGTCTTTTTCAGGTTCCCACCACTTATTGGATTTTTCGTTTCTATATATATTTTGTTATACAAGTATATACATGTATCACACACTATGACTTAAGATTTTACCTAGCGGTAAATAAAATATTAATTTATTATAGTAAAGGTTAGAACTCTATATGTGATTACCAAAAGTCTCTGACGAGACTGTAGCTTTACTGGTTTTTACTTATTCAGGTAAAGTAAGATAGCTCTTGGACTGGAAACTATGGTACAGCAATAAATAATGATGCATGTTTCTTGATGTAGTCTCTTTCTGAGAGAAGTTTAATTGCAACTTGACAAAAACAGTAGTAGAAGTAGTATATTTAGAGAAATATACATTTTTTTTTATTTTTACCATAGAAACAAAGTTAATCAAGCTCAAGAAAATCACGAAACAGATAAACATGTACAGAGGTACATGTAGTCTACTTGTGTACCATGTTACATGAAATTGAACTATAAAATGGAGGAGGAGTAGGAACACAATTATATTATAATAGTGAAGACTAACTGCGTACCAATTTAACTTATATACCAATATATAAATTAAAAATAACATTAGAATTTAGAGGAGAATATTCAACATCTTTTTGATAATAGACAGACAGACTACGCGGACACGTTACCATGCAACAATTCTTAGAACAGGTTTCTGTCCAATAGATCAACAAATATGTTTTAGCTGTCACAGGCTATTTCGCCTTTCACTTTTACATAGCAGTTTTGGGTGTGTGTGGTTTATTTGAAGAATTTACGCTTTTGTGAAAATTATTTGTGCAGAAAAATACTTTCTTTGCTTTTCAAATCAAGCATATCGTTATAAATTCTGAAGAACAACTTGCCAAAACCTCTGTGTAAATTCTTCCGGAAGGAAAAAAAAAAACGCGTTCTATTTAGAAATCTTTGATCTTAAGATTTTTTTGGCAGAATTCAATAAAATCAAACTCAAGGAGATTTGGTTATACAATCATGATAAAATGTCATTTTTCGACACTCTATTTATCACTTTTCACAGAAGATTTAGAAGATTTCTCTCTTTTTTCAAATAGAGGGAGCTCGAGGTAGCTCTATATTGTTGAAGTGTCATATGTAAATCTAAATTCAACTCAACTTCTGGAAAAAGATTATTGCACTTCACCATAAACAACAATTAATATGCCAGCCTATTCTATAAACTAACTTCCGACAAAATGTATGTAATCACACTTATACGATGCATCGTACATATTTATTCGTCTTTATCAAGTTTAAGTTGAGTTAAACAGACGATCTCGATTTCCGCAGCTCGACCGCCGGCAACTACAAAGGGATAAATATATCATGGAATATAAACATTCTGATGATAAGTCGAATAAATCTCAAGACCTAGATCCGATACACACACTGGTTAACCCTGATGACTATAGCTAAATATCTACACACTGTTAATATCCACCAACAGATCTACATACAGTAGTCAATATCCACAGACACATTACATCTAACTAGAGTCAATATCCAAAGACCTGTCTACAATATCCACCGACACATGAAATCCACCAGCAAATCCACAAAATCAATATCCTCCGACATATCGGATCCACCAGCATATCTATATACGAACAATACATCATATCCACCAAATCATCATGTCTAGCAACACATCTTCTGTCAAACAGTATCTACCAACACATCTAAACACAAACAATATCGACCATTACACCTCAGCACAAAGACAATATCCACAAAGACATCTACACGCAAACAATTAATATCCAACAAGACATCATATCCACCATCATGTCTACCACTGAACATGAAATTCTGTAAATTACATTTTTATCGCAAGGACTTTATTTTCGCGCAATTATGCGAGATAGTTTGGTCGCAAAAATTTCATCCTCGCGTTTATTATCATTCCTAAAGATTATATAGAGCAATAACCACAGTTCGTGAAAAAATTGTTTCGCCAAATAAAGGATCAAAACTATCTCTCTTGGTCGTTTCTCATATTATCACATTCAATGAATGATGTGCATGATTATATAATGCATTGAACTTTATTTTAAAACATTGAATAAACAATCCTTTGGTTTAAACAATATTTACTCAGAATACTGAATATAGATTGCATATGGGCAACAGGCACACAATTAATGTTTATAAATACCCTCTTTATACAAGAAGTCAAAGAAGCAAATACGATTACATGTACTCAGTGAATATATATTATTACAATACGGGTAAACACAAACACGCACCCTCGCACACCCTCCACATCCTCTTTTACATTATATCTTAAAGCAGCAAATTAGTAAATGGTTAGTCAGAACAAAAAGTTTAAACAAAAAGCTTAAACTAAAGAAATTAAAAGAAAATATTTGGAGAAGATTGTGATGCAATTTGGAAGAAAAACGCTGATGAAAGTGGATTGGAGAACGTCTAAACATCCCCTCCTTGTCTGACGTGAAAGATGTACTTTAAAATGTCTAGGTTAGACAGCTTACGATTAAAATTACCTCCCTCCATTCAGTTAGGTTTTGATATATACGATGTCAGGTACTTGATTCTGTTCCGTTAGATTTGACAAAATCCTTGTTTCTCCTTAACAGATAAGAACCTCGGATACTAGATCGCTTTACTTAATCCTAAACTTCATTAAATATAACCGCATCCTCTTGTGTTTTACAAGTTGTTTTATGAAATAATTTTTGAAAGTGAAGTGGTTGAATTAAGAGCCTAAATAATGACGCTTTCCTTTTATCGTCTGGTCATCATTTGTGACGTATTACAACAAAATAGATTCGTATTTTTTTTTCTCAAAATAAGGTCATCTGAACATCTTGCTCTTGTTATTCTTATAGAATCCATGATCTTGAGAGCAGGACTTCCATTAAAAGTGGATTTTCCATATTTTAAAAAGAAAAAGAAAGTATGCCCGAAAACATAAATAGAAAGAATTCCTAAAGATCTAAAATGTTGTAGGTGTACATGAAAAGACTGAAATATGTTTTCAAGAGAAGCATATCTTTAACGTAAGTTCACGTACCAAGATAACAAAAATAAAGCATTTAGTATATTCATCAGAAGAGCATTCTCAGCAATAAACGTCTTTGATGAATACATAGTATAAGCAAAATTCCAAATTAGTGTCCTTTTACTGCCATTTGCGATCGGTCTTTGCTCAAAGATGGTTTATATAAATAGGTCAAAGATGAAACACCGTCCATGTTTGCCAAGAGCATCTGTTAATCTTAAATGAAAAATATTTTTGTTTGCAGAGTAGCGCTGTCTGGCAAATATCCTTGATCCAATACTAAAACATCAATTAATCTGCATATGTATTTGTAAATAAAATGACGCAGGTAATGGGAATAATTCTAGCCATCTTCTAACCGCAAACCATTGTCATTCGGTATATGTGTATCGTACATATTTATTGAGGATAGGTCCAACGACTATTACAAGTCAATGAAGTCAATCGTTAAATCAGACATTAAGTATAATTTCTGGGTTAAATGTATTATATCATTGTAAAAACAGGTTTTTGTTGGTTAAGACATCAATTCACATATTTCACATATTTGCAGAATATCCTATACACATTTCACTGTTTAAAATGCAATAAACATGTTCATTAAAAATGTCTTAGCAGGCAAAACACACATGACTCGAATAGTATTTTTTGTCCATACTCTCTATATAAGATACATATGTACAGTGTATATTTTTATTTCAAACTAAATTCAAGCTAACCTGTGCACAATGTATTTTTTCTATTAGTTCATTTTGTTCAGAAAAAACTACCTGTTCCTATATTGTCGAGTCGTGACATACTGCAGAAGGGTCTAATGAATTATTCATTCAAGATTGGGTTTCTTTTCACTCTTATTCACTCTTAATCATCACACTTTATCGTATTAAAATAACATTGATTTGTTGTAAACGTAACGTGTTTATAAGATATATCATTATCCATGTTATCTTTGACGAAAATCTGAGATTTTCTAAAATCATTCATCAGTACAAGCGCACAGTGTAATGAAACTGCATGATAAGCAAAGTTCATCCCATTAA